TCTCGACCTCGATCTTGAGCACGGCCGAGACGGACTGGTGGCTCTCAATCTCGATCTGGAGCTTCTCGACCTGCTTCCTGGCATCGCCTAGGTCGCAGTCGAGACGCTCGATGCGCTCCATCTTGGTATGGATCTCCTCTTGCGACTTCTTGAGAATGGTCTCGGTATGGCTGAGGGTCTCCTGAACGAGCAGAAGCTGGCGGTGGTTCTCGTTGGCGCGACCGACAGCACGCTCGCCCTCGTCCTTGAGGCGCTTCTTCTCGATAATGAGAATACGAAGCTCTTCTGTCTTCTTCGTGATGGTTTCCCGTAGCTCGGTACGTGTGATCTCGATGCGAGAGATCTCTTCGCGGAGCGAAATGATTTCACGGTCGCAGTGCTCCCACTTGAGCTTCCACCTGCCGCAGCTGTCTTCAGCCTCTTCCCACCGGCAGTGTTCTTCCTCAAGTTCGCGCTTGAGTCTGATGATGTGCTGCTCGAGCTCCTCCTTCTCGTTTTTAATCTTGATGATGATCTCTTCCTTCTCGTTCTTAATTCTGGTGATGGCTTCCTCCTTCTCACTCTTGACCTTGGTGATAGCCTCTTCCCTTTCGTTCTTGACTCTGATGACCGTCTCCTGTTGCTCCTTGAGCTCGTACTTCTTCTTCTCATACAATTCTTCTGTCTCCTTGTACTTCCGCTTCAGCTCATCGTACTTGTGGTCGCACTTGCGGATGTGGTCCTCAAGCTCGCCCCGCCTGTGAAGCCACTCATGCTTCTCCTCCTTAAGTATCAGGTGGCTCTTCCTGATGTCTACAAGCTCCTTGTGGTTCGACTCGAATTTGGTGGTGATTTCCTCGTGCTTGGAGGTCAGCTCGGTGAGCCTCAAGTCCATTTCCGCACGCTCGCCGCGCAGCTTGCCACATTGATCCTCGAGATCGACCCGGGCAGCTTGTGTGGCAACCAAAGTGAGTCTCGTCTGCTCCGAAGTCTTCTTGAGCTCCTCGTGCTCCTTCTTGATGTAGGTGTAGGTGTCCTTGGCCTCGGCAATTTCGTGGCGGAGGGTCTTGCATTCGTTGTCTCTCGATGCCAGCTCCAACTTGAACTTGGAAGCATTGTTGGTGGCGGCAGTGAGTTCCAGACGCACCTTGACAAGCTCCTGCTTGTGACCCTCCCGCTCGTGGTTGTGGTGGCTGTGCTCCCTATCCTTGCGCTCCATGACCTCGGTCAACTCCTCGTAGCGCTCGGTCATGCGGTGCATCTCAGAGTAAACGGACTCGCGCTCGGTGATAATCTTGCTCCATACTTCCCGCAACGACATGCTTCGCCTCGACATGCTAGCCATGAGTTCCGTGAGAGCCATAAATTCGGTCTCTGCCTGGCGGGTGAGCTCCTTCGACACCTCTGAACTGAAGCTGGAACTGTGGGAGCTTGAATGGAACTCATTGCTGTAGGAGCGACGGCTGACGCGGCGCTTGGTAGTATACGCGCTCCGGACAGACCCAGTAGGACTGCTTGTACGAGGAGATGTCGCGGATGGGTAAGACGGGATAAGGCGAGGCCGGCTTCTTTCGTTGATGCTCAGGCCCGACATCTCGCTCGTTAGCAAATCCGATTCGCCCGGAGTAAGAGGGGTGTGGATGTCAATGTCCACTCCCAGATGGGTCTGGGAGTGGTCATGGTTGTGATCGTGAGTCGTCGCCATATTGCTGTGTAGTCCAAAGTGTGAAGCAAGAGTAGAATCCAAAGACTGGTAGAAGCCCTCGGCCATGGGTTAAGGGGAATATCAACAGACTTAGCGAACCGGATTCGGTCAGGTCAGATCGCACATGCGACGCGGGACTTTTAAGGCATGGGCTTGACGGGGACAAACTCACGACGACACGACCCGGTCACCTCCGCTTCTGCTATTTTCAAAGAATGGTCATCGATACCGCTCGTATGGGAATGATGAGCACGAATTTCGTTCCTGAGAGGCTGAGACACAGCTGGAGTATGGCTGGTTTCCCAAAGCAGCACCGACCAAACTAGCAAGACCCCAATCTCCGCCCTTTCATCCCAAAGAGGCCCACCGGGCAAATAGGATGGCTTGCGATAGCGATGAAGCAACATTCGCAGCTTCTTGATCTACAGAGTAGTCCGAGACCTGCTTGTTGATAGAGGCTAGGCGATGTGGCGATGTCGGTAAACACCAGGGACCTCAATGTTCATGCTTGCATCCCTAGTTGTCGTAGCTGAGCCAGCCACAGGCAGCCCTCTCGCATGGGCCGAAGAACGTGAAAAGGTCTGATTGGCCCTTGCATGAGGATCTAAGATGGCGAAGGACGTGAGTTCGAGACTTATCCCGCGCGCAGGGCATAGCTTGCCACAATGGGAATGGTCCTTGTCTCTGTTACGTTAATCTACAAACTCGTCGCTTAGAATGGAGACAAACTGACTGAGCTATATGACCGAAAGCGGTTATATCTTCCCCCGCGTCGAGTACCTAGGTACAGTTCAACTTTGAAAATTACTGCCGGGGTTGCTGGCGCCTCCCCCGCAGAAGATTTGACTATCTAAGGCAAAGACACGCGCGTTTCTTACCCAATTATCGTTCGGCTCGAACTAAAATGAACTGGTATTGACTGTTAGATGTGGAGTCGTCGGTACCGATGTTCAAGTTCCAGCAGATTCATCTGAGACCCCGACTGCATTCAGCTGGGAGGCCCGACAGCTCGTGTGAAACATGTTGACTTAGCCCAACGGAGCACCTTCGACGGACAGCATTCTTAGGGCCCCTGATTGTCCCAAGAGAAGAAGATCAGCATATGTGATGCCCGTCGTCTCTTGAATGCACAATTTCTGCCGCGTTCCTTTCGCCAAGAATCGATTACCAGACGGCGATCATCACGTACTTGACTAGAGCCGGTGAAGCCAAACGCAAGTCCAGTCTTTGAAACATAACACCTCAAGAATTGCGAATGTCTTGTGGTAGCGCCTGATTACATCTGTCAGAGGTCTCTGGACTTTTTTGGGCTGTAAATATTGACGCAGTAGATGAGATTGGCAATCTGAGAAGGCACTGGCACGGAAGGTAACGCCTTGCTTTAACAGGCTGGAAGCGTGAAAAGAAGATCATCCCTTGTAAAGGATATCTTCAGTAATTATACTAGGAACAGTCCGTCGGGACTCTCATCCTTTTGTATGCGGTCAACTTACTGCAGAAGACCCGGCGGTATGGGTAGGTAATGAAGAGGATGGGCGTTGACTGGATCACCTCAATAGCGACACAGACTACTTCTTTCCATGAGATAAAAGCTGAAATCCAGCTATCCACTGATACAAACGCTATCAATGTGAACACTAAAGCTTTTTAGGCTAGAGTTCCTACCCCCGGAGCTTTCGTCCGAAACCCCCCTACCTGTCTACCATACCTTATGTGAGAGAGATGAGATGTCTGCATTGATGCCGTTGTCTTTTGAGAAGGAATTATGTGGCGGCCTTAAGAGAGTAGCCGTTTGACTTGCTAGCTCAAGGAATTACTTATGTATTCGTCAAAGTCACGTGAATGACTTACTATGTGACCTTGGCGGAAAGGTTCTTCTACTTCGACAAGCAAATGGGCTGTCCCTGTAGTAGTGCGGCCAAGCGACATGCAAGAAGGATGCCTACGATTTTTACCTTTCACAGGACGCCCGATTCCCCGAAATTGTGAACTTGTCGCTCAATAACTTGACAGAAGACTCCCGAGTTGAAATTACATCAGGTCTCCTGGATGGGTCACGGCACCAGGCAGACATCTTCATGATGAAGTGGCTTATTGATTGTTGACATTATTCAAAAGCTGCCTCATTGTTGTAAATGCATCGCTAGGCATGTTTAAACGCTCTCGGAGCGCTCTTCATTAAACACTTCGATCCTCATGTCAGCACTCAAGCCTTGTCGCACTTAAGACGCCAGTCGCTCTGCGGCGAGCAAACCACCGCGCCGTTGAACTTTAAAGTCGTCTTCGCCTGGGTGCTTCGTGCGTGGTTATAGGTGATCCAGATACCATTTTGCGCAATGTTCCTGCCATCTGTCGATCTGCAGGCGGTGTTGACCTCGTTCCACCATCCGGCCTTGAGCTGCAACTCATCTCTGCGGTTATCCATTGCCCACTTGAGGTCTCCGAAGCTAAGGTCGTTTCCAGTCCAGAGACCGGAGCACAAGAGGCGTTGAGCCTTGGTTGTGGCGCCAACATCGGCGGGAGCTGGCTCGGCAACTGCCTCTGGCGTAGGTGCGGCGATGGCGCTGGCCGCGAGGAGGAGGATGGCTTGGAACTTCATGTTTGCTGTCTAGGTAGTTTAAGGGTTTGTACCGTAGAGATTAAGGCGTCGAATTTTGTGGAAGAAATGAAGAGATGATGTCTGACTGGTGTGCGGTATGACGAGAAGTTTTGATAGTTTGAATGACAATGGAATGCTGGCTTGGAAATCATAGATGGCAGACCAACCCGTCGACTCAAATACTCTTGCACAATGTCTTCAAGTCAACCGCCTGGCCATGGTAATTTCCATCGATAGTATCCAAGAACACGCTATGCCTCACATGTTGTACATGACTTGTACCGGCGGGTCGATATTCAACGCAACTCAGTCGCTGATTTGCTCGACCGCCTGTAGAAGCCCACTGCAACGAATTATCCCACCGGTGAACGGATGCCGGCAGGATAAACTTCATGAATGAAGATCAACAGCTTGGTCGGGTGACCTTAATCTCATCGGCCAGTCCGCACACACTAAACAACACGGACTAGTCCGCGTATCGAGGTACACATGATTCAGCACACGAGGAGCCGGAGCTACAAAGTGGTGCTGTTCACTTGTTGTAAGCTGAAAGTTGGAACAGGGCTATCCGAAAGCGAATTGTTCGGAGCCGAACCTCTGTAAACTGGGACTCGGACCAGTCAATAGTCCGCTAACACAAATAGGCCGCCTAACGCAAGCAAGGTTTACAAAGCTTAAATGATTAAACACCGCTGCAATCTTCGCTAGCCGTTCGTATTACAGGCGAGTAGGTTGGAGCGTACTAGGGAAAATAAAAATTGGATTGATGATCTGTTGAATGCCAGACGGAGCAACCCTGAGAGAAACGGCTAGCTTTTCCACATTTGGGGTGTGTTTCCTGCACCGAATAGCCACTAAAATCATTAACCTTTGGACCTTAACTCGGATGGCAATATCAGTCATAAAGTAGTAGATCACAACAACATCACAATGCTCCAGTTCAGCGAACGAATCAATCATTTCTTGCCTCCGGTGAGATTTTTGAAATTCAAGTGAGCAGAAATTGAATAAGACAGAGATAGAAACCCCCACCTCGCGAATCTCAATATAGCTGGAAACTCGGACAGTCGGGTGCCGCAACTCATGCTGTGGAAGATCCCAGATCTCGTGCTTCTACTACGATAAGTTCATCTTCTCTGTCTTTTAATATAGGTAGTAGTATCTGCGTGTTCTACAGGAGTGCGTTGTATCAAAGACGGCGAAGCCGACCTTTACTGAACGGCAATATCGTGGAGGCCGTTATGCCTCGAAACTCGAAGGTCACAGGCTACAGGTGTATGCTCATCCCTGCAGATTTGCTTCTCTTCTCTTCCAGGACTCAGTTACCTGCCTTATCGCTAAATGAAAAACTATGCCGCTACTTCAGGTGTCGCAGTGCCCCCGTGGCCTCGACCTTTTACTGCTGTTCTACCTACACCGACCTTATCTCCCACCGATTGCGCTGCTCAGAATTGGACATTTTGACTTACAATTATGCTGAGTCTATCGTTGTTCATGTCACATATGGCAAGGTGGGAGATATTAGTCTATGAACCGAGTATGCAGTTCAAATGGCTGCAAGCACCAACAAAGAAGTTCGGTCAGCACGTATGTAGTCATCGCATCCTGCATCCCAAAAACCTCCAAGTCAGGACTATTCTTGGGGCATACTTCAGATTTGACAATATTCTGTCATTTCAAAACTTTTCCCTTCTTCCTTAGTCCCACTGGACTTGACCAAGTTGCTTCTTAGATACCCCTTGACACCAGTCATGGCCTACTGCGTGCTTCCTACTTTTCTATGACGCCCATCGTCTATAATTATACCTTTGAAACTTCCGTCTGTGATAATGTCCTTTGTGTCCTGTTGTTGATCAGACAGGATAGCTATTTGGCCTCCAATCCAGTCTCGCTCCCTGACTAGAATACCAAGTTGTTCCAAATATCTATCGCTGGGATCGATACCACGAAGCAATGCATGCTGAAATTTTGCCACAAAAGCCAGCTCCTCAACAAAGAGGCAAACCTGCGCGGCAATCTCGTACCCATCCCCATCGTCTCCACAGACCTCCAAGGTGTCATAGTCCGAGATCGCATAGAACTTGCATCCGTTCCCCCTAAACATCTTCTGGCCTTGGCCGGAATACGTCCAGCTTCCGAGTATTGGCATCGTATCGCTTGATATAACGGTTTGCTTTCGGCGTAGGCGGCTGTCAATAAGCCACAGCTTTGAACCTCCCCTGGCGATCAGATTCATTGAGGCCTGTAATAACGAATCGTACACGTCAAAGCGGTCCTTCGAATGCGCAGTTGATGATAGGTTTCTGGGAGGGTATTTGATTGGATCGTGTGAAGGATCCCATTCTATATCTCTTTCGTACTGGCGGAGCTCCTCAACGTTCCATGTAGGATCGAATACGTTTGCGGAGTTTTCAGCATGTACGAGCACATGCTTCCGGTCGTCTGAGGAGAAAAGCGAGTCGTGGCTCAACCCTATGAAGTCAGGTATGCAGCTGACGGACTGCAAAACGAAGAGGTCGGATTCTGGGAGGACCGTAAACCACTGGTCACTCTTGCCGTCGCTGACTCTGAAGGTGGCCGAGTCGTTTGAGGGGAACCGAAGTCTGGTTCTACCGTTCTCCTATCGATCCCTTCCGTCGTACTTGGTTTATACCTGCGACACATAGCTGCACGGGACTCTCTACAGGCGACCCAGAGACCCCCGCCAATCGCATAGGATGATGGGTTTTTGACGATCCAATGATGTCCAGCGTTGAGAATGGAGCCGCTAAAACCTAGATTTGGCCCTTGTGGACTTTCTCGACGAGGTGGTTTTGTTTAAACCTCCTTATCCTCGCGAACGAGGAGATAACATAAGTGTCTATCACCCAAAATTAGTGAACGCCTCGGTAGCCGCGGGATCGAACGGCGTGGTCCCAGATGAAATCTCGGATCTCGCCAGGGAGGAGCCGAAACTGAGGAAATTTAACATCAGTCATTGCGGATGTGTGGTAAATAACGATTTGCATATAAGGAAATTATTAGCAAGTTGATACGTCGGAGACGATTCGGAGACAGGAAGTTCAGATCTCGATATTCATCAATCTTGGTGAGACGGTAGAAGAAGAATGGCTTGAAGAAGCTGCCAGTGGCGGGGGGGGGGGGGGGGGGGGGCAGCTTCTTGACGCGTCACGTCAAAATACCTCCGAAAAGCAGCGCGAGAAAAGATCAGGACGACCTGTAAGTAGCCAGGTCCAAACAATCGGAGATACCTTCACTGAGGTATGTTGGGAAGGTACTCTGCGGTTGGTATCACTGAGCCATCCCCGCCACGCACCGTGCCATTCTTACTACGCTGATGGAAGTATATTGGGGCCTCTAACGAATGCTTTTAGCGCTGATTCCAGACGTCCCCTGGATTATATGCTTCTTATGTTTGAATACTGCCCAAGTCTTACCTTGTGTCTTGTCTTTCATGTTGGAAACCTAGGGTTATAAGCCGGGACCGAGAGCTGCAATGTGCCACGCCGTACATAGATTATCACTGCACTAGTAAAGATTTTTATCACATGTAACCTCGCCGTAGTTCCAGCGTTGACCTGCACATGATAGATTCTTCTTAGCGGTGGTGATGCAAGTAAAAGCTCGCCAGGAGCTGCTAGGGTAAGTAGGCCGTAAAGGTCGAGACTGCATCTCACAACGACACACCTTTTACCTTGCCACAGCGCTCAGTCACAAAAATAAAAGTAGTCGTCTCAAAGTCAAAACGTTGCTTGTCAAGGCCGTAAGCCTAGCCTCTGCCCAGAATCTCTCAGCCATCTCCACAATCGGAAAACGACGTCAAAGGTCTTACGCGAGACCCGCTTAGATCGTCGCTGGATGACCTGTGCGCCTGTCTCTGGTCCAAGTGAACCCCCGACCGACGCCCTACCAATATGGATGGAGACGATGACATCAATAGTCATGCGTAATTTCTCTGCTCAGGATATTCCATTCTTTTCTCTCCCTTCCGAGGGGCGCGGGATGGCGCCGCACCGTGGTGGACAACCGCTCACAAGCCTGGAAGATCTGCAAAGAGTGACCAATATCCCTAGAATGTCTCGAATAATTCAAACGTATCACAACCACAAACGGAATCTTTTCCGATATTCTAAAGACACAGGAGTTAGCAGTGCTGCTTCCTCTTCAAAAACATCATCTGCAGACATCAACATCTCATGCTCCTCAACCCTTTGAGCACGAGATCGTTAATGCCCAGTGCAACTCACGAAAAAGTATCACCTCAGAGTTAACCCAGTCTCACTCATCAGATTACAAGTTTAAAAAGAAGCAGAAGGGATGAAAATGATAGACCTACCAACAATCACCCTAGACACGACCCTCACAGACCTCTACCGCTGCGCAAGCCCCAGAAACGCAGACAAGCGCATCGCCCAAGTCCTCAGTCTCGTCAATTCCGGCTCAGAACTCAACCCCAGCGTTCCACGCAACGCAAAATACCTCTATCAAGATAGCCCCTTCAACGCCGTTCCAAAAGACCCTTCTAGCAGTAGTCTCCCAGGCGACGACGGCGGGAGACAGCAGCAGCGAGAACTAGCAGTGAAATACCTCTCGCTGATCCCTCAACGAGACGCCTTCATCAGCGGCGATACAGCAGTCATCCTCTTCCGTATCAACGACTCCAAGAAGCAAAAGCTACACGATAGCCGTGAGGCGGAAAGAACTCTGTTCGTGCTGTCCAAAACTCAGCAGCCAGATCTCATTTTCTGCCCTGGACCTTCAGAGATCCCCATTAAGGAAGCCGGCATCGACCTCATCGCGTATAAAATCGTCCTAGACGGCCTAGAGTCGTACAACAATCTCATCGTCCCGCCTGAGACGCACTGGTTTCTCAACTCCAAGGCTGCGCTCGCGCAGTCGGGCCTTCCTACCCCGAAAGCCAAGATTCTCGAGGTCGATGGGCTAGCAGGTGATGCGTGGGCGTGCTGTGCTTCATGCTACGGCGGCGACGCAGCAGAGTTTGTCATCCCGGAGTGCTGTACAGGAAGTCGGAGCAGATGGCTGGAAGAGCAAAGCGAGAGAGTCTACACGGATCTCGAATCCCACCCTCTGCCGTTCGTCCTCAAGAACCAGCAGACTTTTGGTGGTGCGGGGACGTACATCATCAACAACGAGGACGAGCGTCAGGAGTTGGTGCAGGACTTTAGAAACGGCATCCTGCGCAAGCTTCTCTCTTCGGTGACGGAGTCAAACGCGCATCTCCAGCCTGCAGCTCTGATCCTTTCTGACGTGGTCGAGAATCCCATGGAAAACTACGGCTTGACGTTCTTCGTTGCGGACAACGGAAGCGATTCGATTTTCCTGGCTGCATCGGAACAGATGACAGATGATGACAATGCGTGGATCGGAAGCACCATCAACTATCGCCGTCAAGAGCAGCTGAAGAAGAAGTTTGGGCTGTTGGTCAAGAAGATTGCGACTTGGCTGCAGGGGTATGGGTACGTTGGACCCGCTGGAGCCGATGTCTTGGAGACGGCATCGTCGACAGCGTATCCCCAGACGGATGGCACAAGAAATGGTGCTGCGAATGGCGTCACCGATGACATTCCACATGCAACAGATGGTAAATCTGATTTCCCCAACTTCCACATCGTCGACCTCAATATCAGAACGTCTGGCTCAATGTGCCTCCCCCTCCTACGAACGCACTTCGCCACCCGCAGCCTCTGGAGCGCCTCCTCCTTCTCCATCAGCTACGACAAGTCCCGTGACGCCTTCATTGAGTCTTTCCGAGAGGATTTTGAGGCAGGGAAGATGTGCATAATCAGCTGGTACGAGGATCCGGATACGGGGTGCAGTCTGGCTGACGTGGCTGTCGGCGCCGAGGATGTGGATGGGTTGCGGAGAGCGATGAAGAGAGTCCGGGATGCGACGGAGGAGGTGACGTTTTGACGGGTGCGTTTAGGTAGACGAGAGGTTGAGTGACTTGCTGAAGATTCCGAAGGGTGCGTGATTGGATAATTGTAGACCGAGACGCCGCTGGACGGGGGAACTTGACCACGAGATAGAGGCGTCTATTGCCAGAGCATAGGACTCCAACAACACATGATAAACTGTAGCATACGATTCACGAGCTTGAGCCCAAACTGAAATTGTATCTTCGCCACGCCCGTCCCATCCCAAATCAAGGCCAGCGTGAAAAACGATGCCTCGCTCGCCGTGCCCACCCCATCCATAAACACCTAATAGGTACGCTGACTCCCGAAACCTAGCGACGAACACGCCTTGCCAGCCCTTTTGCTTCTCATCATGCCAACTACCCGTAGGGTCGCTTGGTAGGTATACTATACAAACGCTGCCTCTTCATTACAAGTAATACAGCAGACTTTCCCTGTCAGAACGTCGCTCACGCCTCAATCTCCATCGCCCCGTCGCTTTCGAGGTTGAGGTCGAGCACGCGCGCGTACTGGATGGTCAGTCGTTGGAGTTCTCTGAACTTGCCTGCGCGATTGTTAGCATGAGTTCTTTTGTGGCGCGTCGATGAGAGAATGAACTTACCGAGAATCATGACGACGCCCTTCAGGAGCTCCTTCCGGTCCCAGCCACAAATTTCGTCCTCTTGGCTGAACCAGCCCCGGCCGCCCTCACTTGGCTTCTCGTCCTTGTCCCTCAAGATACCGCCAAGCAAGCTGTTGAGGAGCTCTTCAACCTTGCCCCGGTGACCCTCGGCACCAAGACGCTTCGCATACATGAACAAGTAAAGGCGGAACTCGTCCCTAGCATCCAGGTGTAGAGCGGCGGCGATGCGATTCTCAAGGTGAGCAATACTCACCGTTGATTCAAAGCCCTCAAAGCCGTCTTTTGTCAATAACATCTTGACGATGCGCTGCAAGGTATAGGCGCGACCCTTGAGCAGGAACTCGTTGGTCGTGTGCCTCTCGAGGTAAGGAATGATGCCGGCGGAGACATTGGCCTTACTGTCGTCCTTGGGCTTCGCGGGTGTGACGGGTCCAACGGCAGTTGACTGCAGAGCGCCAATCGAAGAGTCGTTGCTGTTCCAGTACTGGGAGCCAACAGCCCACCAGGCTTCGCTAACCCGCTGCCATGTATACATGTCCCGAGTGTAGCAATATCCGTCTCCGTTAGTCAGTGTAACAACAATGTGGCCAGTTGAGTTGAGCTGGGCTGATGTGATGCCGGGACCTGGTGTTGTTGTGTTGAGGTTGAGCGTTGTTGTCGCAAGTTCGAGGACGGGACCAAGCGATACTGGGGGATGCAGAGCTGCTTGTCTCTGCAGATCCCAGACGTGGCAAAGGCCGACAGCGTTGATGCATAGTAAATAATTATTACGGCACTCGAGAATGACTGGTTGGGATTCCATGATAATCGGGTTCATCAATCGGCGTCCAGCGGGCGTCCAGGTGTAGATACTGCCGTCCTCGCATGCCACTGCCCAAAAGTTCTTATTTCCAGTGACAAGGATTACTGCTCTGGGCAGGTAGTCTTGCCAAAGAAGCGCTCCACGCTTGGTAGCGGAAATGAAAGATGGATCCCTGATTTGAACAGGATTTCGGGCCTCGAGGATGATGTTTTCGGGCACCTTGGAAGCTTCATCTTTGCTGCTTTCCGGGAGCAAGACCCCGCGTTCGAGTGGCCTCACAATCTGAGATCTGACCTTTGGCACTGCCAACCGGATTTGAGCGAAGGCAATCGATGGATTTAATACCGCAGGCCTAAGATATTCGGGCGTGGGTACAACGCCGTAGGCAGCTGGCACGACGGAAGCCGGCTCGACGCCGTCGACGCCATTCAGCACCACGGGCGTTGGTCCTGTTGCCTGCCGCTTTGATGCAGGATCTTCTTCTTCCTCGCCCTCAAGGACTGTGGCCTTGCGCTTATTCCCGAGCAACATGGCAGCTACGCCACCTTTGGGGAGTCCTTCAAACGGTCTTTCGAGGTCTAGAATGGTCTGAGGCGTATCGTTCTGCGCGGCTTTTGAGGTCGATGTCGAGCCCACTAGCTGAGTTTGAGGAAGAGATGACTGGCCGGTGCCGGATGAGGAGACAAGGAGAGGCGCAACACGTTTCCTACCGTCCTTGCCAACTGTCACCCTAGACTTGAGCTCCTTGACCCTCTCCCCCGACTTGTCACCATTCTCTTCTGCCGGCTTCTCCTTCTCCGGCTCAACGTTACCGTTCGTGGGCTTTGGTGTCGAGGTGCCTGTAGCTATCCCATTTGGTTTGGTGCCGTTTGTTGCAGGCGTTGCTCCCTTGGAAGAACCCGGATCGCCCATCAGAGCGCCCATCCTGGACTCTGCAGCACGAGACTCGCCAGCTTTGCTTTGGTTTTCCAGGTTCAGACCTTCTATATCCTCTGCGATACCCATGCCTTTCCGTGACGCGCCATACTTCTGAAGAGCCTTATCGTTTTCGCCAGCATCTGCAACCCAGCCCAGCTCTCCGTGGTCGAACGAAATCCCTAGGAGCGTACCGTCCAAGCTGGCGGCGAAAATGGTAGTTCCGTCGGGTGACCAAGCCAGGTCAGAAATGGATTTGCTGGCTACGTCCTGCAGAATGACTACAGGTCGTGACGTGTTCGTGTTCCAGATACTGAGAGTCTTGTCTTGGCCTGCTGACGCTATAACAGTAACGAGGGCATTGTTGTCTGGTTGCTCCGCCGGGTTCTCCGTATGAAACAGGCGTGGAGAGAACATGCAGACCTCGGTCGGGCCTTCGTGGCCGATCAGGTTGATCTCACTGTCCCATCGGGTTCGCTCGATTATCGCGACTGAACTGACAGGACCATTGACGGCGTTTGGAGCTGCAATGTGGTTGCCGTCAGGAGACCAGGAACACCGTCGGAAATATGTAGTCAGTGGTGAACTCTTGAAGGGCCCGCTGATTGTTTGCTCCAGCACGAAGTTGTTAACCATATCATGTTGCGTCGCATTCGGCGCAGGGGGCGTGAAACGGAAGATCTTGATCGTTCGGTCGTCGCTGGCGGTCGCGAAAAACTTATTTGCTGGATCGAACGTGATGCCTTTTACGTGACTGGAGTGGACGGTTATGGTCTTCAGCTTCTCGAAGCTATGGCCCGACCAGACCACGATCTTGGAGTCCAAGCCAACCGACACCAGTATAGAGGAGTCGTAGGACCAGGCAAGATCCTGGACGTCGTTCTCGTGGCCGACAAGTCGTTTGTATGTCTTCCAATTCTCGACCGGTGGAGGTTCGGCGCCAAGTCCTATTGTCTTGCATTAGAATCCCCATCACGTAGGAGGGCACAGCGCATTGGCTTCCGGCAGGAGCGCATTACCAAAGGAGGCAACAGGAGGGCTCTTGTCAAGGTGGTATACGCAAATAAGCTTGTCGTCGGCACCTGATGCGAGATATCGACCGTTTGGAGAGAAGCGGACAGAGTGGATTGTACCGAGGTGATGGCTCATATGGCAGAGCTGTCTCGGCTTGCCTTCTGCGTCACCATTCGCATCGCCGTAAATTGCCTCGGTTGACCACACTCTGACATGACCATCGCCTCCAGCAGTCGCGAGTCGTTTCCCGTCGGAGGATACGTGACAGCTGTACACCTCGAAGTCCTTCTGCTCGCCGGAATGGCTCAGCCACGTGGGCTTAATGACGCGCATCGCGAGCGGCCTCCAGGGTCATTTAGACCAGGTCAACGGTCAGATAGGAGGGTTTGAATGTAAATGCGATGTTGACGATATGTTGCTGAAGCTCTCGTCGATGGGATAGGTGATGCGATTGATGCGCCGTGATGTGGTTGGTGATAGTGAAGCTGGGGAACCAATGCCAAAGACAAAAAAAGGCGACAGACCAAACAGGTGGGCACAAATTGGGGTTGATTGAATCTCAAGAAAACGCGTTTTGCGGAGCCCGGACGCCCTGGAATTCGCGTCCAAAGCTCCTGCTGCTGCGTACGCTAAATGAGCGGCCATTTGGCACCAAAACTGCTACCTCTTGAGCTGCTGCACAGACCACCTCATTCGAGTGACACACAGCCTCGGGACGGATTAATGACCCTCCTCTGGCGAGGACGGATACGTACCTTACTTATCTACCTATCCGTATCGATTGTACTTTACCTTGAACCTGGAAGGAGCACCTGGACAGATGGCAAAGGATAAGGTAATCGTCCTCCTTCCGTTCGATTCCCGGAGCCGGGCAATTTTGGTGGAGAACCTTGCCGGCGCTGTCGCGGAGCGGAGTCGGCTGGCAATTTCTCCTTCAGGGTCCACATTTCCGTGATAATTAGCGGTGTTTCTGTTCATCCTCACCCTCAAAACTGCAGGATTCCGATCGGCAAATGATGCCACGGCGGGATCATAGCAAATCAAGCTGACAAAATCTTCTTGAAAGGTCTTTAATCAGCAGTAACGTTATTCATCTTCAGGACTGAGAAGTGATGTATTTAGGAATAACACAGGCCGGCAGTTTTAAATCGAAAGAAGGCATTCAGATTGCTTCTCACAGGCATGCTTTTCTAAAAAAAAAAATACTCACACCATGCTTTTATCATTAAATCTTGACAAAATTGCTTCAAACCAACATGACTTCACGCACCGAGGAAAATTTTGGTCGTGCTGGGTGCCACCGGGAACCAAGGCGGCTCTGTGAATCGAACCTTTCTCAACGACATAGCTTTGGCCAGCCATTGGCATGTATGCGGTATTACTCGAAACCCGTCTTCCGATTTTGCCACCAAGTTATTAAATCATGAAGCGGAAATGATGTCTGCCTCTCTCGACTCCGTGTCAGAGCTCAAGTCAGCTTTCTCAGATGCATTTGCTATTTTCGCAGTCACCGACTTTTGGAGTGCAATTTTGACCGAGCAGGTTACGAGTAGGGCCGGAACAGATGGTTCCAATCTCGCCATTGCTACCCAGGTCCTAAAGGAGTCTTGGGGCAGGAACATTGCAATGACAGCGGCGGAAATACCGACGTTGGAGCGCTTCATTTTTAGCAACCTTCCACCTGTTTCTGAACTCAGTCAAGGAAACCTGAAGCACGTTCAACACTTTGACGGCAAAGCTAACAATGTCAAATACCTTCAACAAGAGTAACTCGCACTCTGGGCCAAGACTTCACAGATCTTGGTTGGATTCTACAACTCCAACATCCTACCCGACTCATATTTTGGTCCCAGCTTCAATCCGGCCACAGGCAACATCGAATTCGAGGGGCCTGCGAGTGACGACAATCTTGTACCGTTCGTCGACGCTTCGTCCAGCACCGGGAACTTCGTTAAGGCTTTGGTGCTTACTGAGCCTCTTGGCACGATATTGGCAGCCTACGACGAGATGAAGTCGCTTAAAGAGTGCATCGAGTTGCTGCGTAGGAAAACGGGTCAGGACTTTGTCTTCATGCAAAGAACCGTCGATGACATGGCGGCCGAATCGCCGCTAGGTCACGAGGCTCCTGAGAGCTGGGTTTGGCTTGCAGAATATGGTCTTTTTGGGGAGAAGATAGGTGGATGGAAAGAGTCTATGACGTTCCCCGGAGATCTGGGAGAAAAGATGGAAGCGGGCAAAGTCGACGAATGGCTTTCAGCTCACCACTGGAGCAAGGCCTTTCTGTCAGGTTAGCGGAACCAGGAAGCAACAAAAATGTCTCTGTTATCAATCAATGAGACGTAGGACAATTAACGATTGACCGGTGTTTTCTTCAAGCCAATTTCGTACCAACATGCCACGGCAGTTCCATGGAACAAACTCCTTGATTTTCCCTTCGCCGCACATGTCGTGGACATTGGCTTATCTGTTATCAATGATCTTTATCCATCTTGATACTTTCACTTCCGTGTTGAGTCCTCATTTGAAACCCATGCCTCCGTGATAACATGATATAAGATAGTATGGACCGGCCGACGCCGACGATGAAACTCGTGATATCGCAATTCGCTGGCAGCCAATTCCTAAGCGAAGCATCCGACGTTGAGATGTCTTGCCTGATTGAGCACCAACGCCGATGCGGGCACAACAACCCGTGGCCGCACAGCATCACATGCGAGCCTGACAACATGAGAAGCCAAGAACCCAAGGAGAAGGTGCAAACAGGTCCGGACGTCTCCGACGAGAGCTCAAGACCACATACAATCAAGTAGAGAGATATGCCTCGAATCAGGTTGTCCGGCATCGGGTGAGCGGCACTTGATCCCTGCGTCCAGGGGACGCATCTCCCCCACTGAAGCTTGATTAAGGTTAAGCAAGTTCGCTTGGAAACCGGTTGCGAGAAATGAGAATGGAGCACTTGTGCAGTTCGGGAACTCTCAACTCTATTGATGTCGTGCAATAAATTTGGCTCGCGGTTGGATTATTTACTGGCTTGTGCTTTAAACACCCAAAGTAGACTACAAGCTCCTGCTTGGTATTGCTCTAATCGACGGGAACAAAGATGAGCCAAGTACTTGATGACATAGATCTGTGAAGAAAGAGAACGAACGACTTCTCCACCCACTGAATGATTACCTACGCTGATCTCCCGGCGATGGGACGAACGCGCCACGGCTGAGCTGTAACCCCATGGAGAAGGTAGGTAACGAGGCAACCTGTAAGCTTCGCTGCAAGCGCTTAAGCTGAAAGTCGGCTTACCTTTGCCTCCCCCAGACAGATTGCAGCCCACCGGAGCGCAGACAAACCCCCGTGGCAGAATGATAGGGACAGCCCGAACGTTTCAAAACCCACCTTGAGGTTAAGCCTATTTTGACAGCTGGTTAAGAGGATGGTGGATCGGAGCTGGCCGCAAGGGGGGGAAATAGTAGGCCACGGCGGGACACCGCAGGGAATAAGGGACTGAGAAGGGCGCAACTCAAGACTCAAATGCGGGGATCTCGAACGGCGTGTGGGACGGGAGACACGGGAAAGACTTCCTTACCCGGCTTAGGAACGCTTTTTGTCTTCTTGTTGACATTACACAGTTGGTGCTTGGCCCGGGATTGGGGTCGCAATGCCGTCGGTAGATGCGCCTGACTAGCGCACGACATCCATGTCCGCAACACCACTCCACGGGTGCCATGAAGCACTGGGCACGACTTTATTTGTTAGATCTCGACGTGTCAGCAACCGCGCAAGTCTTAGCAGAAGGAACACTACGGTTACACTAACGAAGCTGAGTGGGAACCTATAGAGGCTCGAGTGAACCAAGGCGGACCGGACAGGTTTCCTATGCGTTATGGCCTCTTCATTTTCCAGCCAACCACGTTGGCGTTCCTGGCCATGCGCGATAAGATCCCTAAAAACACCTTCCGCATTCAGGACCGGGGATCGACAAGTGGGCACGGCGGAGTCGCGGACGCGCTGACACCGCTACCCTGGGGGACGTGGGACTTTGTTCTTTCGCTTGGCTGTTGCTTGCCGTACTGTAGCATCACACTGGAGTCGGGGTCCTCACAATAATTGGAAAGTCAGTTTGCCTTCTATTTACAGCCGATTTCCGTGTATAAAGACGATGAGGTTTCCCACGATAGAACAGACTTGAGAGAAGCTCTTCAGGCCCAGTCATCCAGTCTCGTCTCCCAGCCCACAGCCACCCCTTCCCAACAACGCCAACACCAACCGCCAAGATGCAGTTCTCCGTCGTCCTCGTCTCCCTCTTCGCCCTGGCCGTCTCCGCCGCCCCCGCCGAGATCCAGAAGCGCTCCACCACCTGCGGCAGCACCACCTACTCCACCGCCCAGGTCAACGCCGCCTCCAGCGCCGCCTGCACTCACGTCAAGGCCGGCACCGTCGCCGGCAGCTCCACCTACCCCCACCGCTACAACAACTACGAGGGCTTCGACTTTGACGTTACCGGCCCGTGGTACGAGTTCCCCATCAAGACCAGCGGCGTCTATACCGGAGGTGAGTTATGTCCCCAATCGTCATGTGCGCCACGTTCGAGTGGTGCAAGCGTCGCCCGAGTGGTACACATACCCATTCAAACAGTTACTGACTCTCTGCCTAGGCTCTCCCGGTGCTGACCGTGTCGTCATCAACGCTTCTTGCGGCCAGGCTGGCCAGATCACCCACACTGGCGCCAGCGGCAACAACTTCGTTGGCTGCTCCGGTACCTCCTAAATGCTGGATGAGAGGACTTTGTTGGGATTGGGAGGGGTGTGGTTATGAAAAGGTCGGAGGGCCTGTTTATGGGTTATGAAAATTCACTTCTGCACATACTAAGCCTTTTGAACGTACATAACTGTCAAAATTCTACGCTTTGATGTCTTAGCAGTCTTCTCATCGTGACATGGTCCTGGCAACGTAACGACAACAAAATGATGCAAGTATTTGGGCACACAGCCGTGCGTTTTCGAAGATGGCTCTAAGCGGCTGGAAAAGTATTCAACTAGGGTCCTGTAGAATCCATCTCACTGCCGTTTCTCTGTCGAAATGTTGGCGTGCATCAGTACTTTAGTATTCTGCAGCTCTGGTGACATCTTATCTGGGCCGTCAGTATTGCTGCAAAGATGCGGAGGACCAATACCTCATGTCCGCACCGCCGATGACATTACCTTGACTCACTCACAGCCGTCTCGCCCCCGTAGTGCGGGCCGCTCCGCTGTGTCCCCACACGGCAGTAGTGTGGTGGATTTGCCGTCTGCGGCTCGGCTACCTATGTCCAGGACTCTTCGGCTTAGCTTGGTGGCACGTATGTATGTGTGTGGAGGCCTGGGCAAGCTGAGGTTTACGTCGACGGATCGATGGAATTGCCGTCTTCCTGAATCTCGATCAGTGTAATCTCTACACGTTTCCGGCCCACTGGACATCATTTCTGAATGTCTCATATCAACGTCATCTGTAAAACCAGCTACTTCAGGCTAGGGCGAGGAGTGTTTCTCATTAACGTTGTTGGTGACTTCCTAAAGCAGGCATAAGTTTCAGAAAGGCTCTCACCAATGTGAATCGGATCATCAACGTGTCAGGCACCGGTAAATGCTGTTGCCGAAAGCCTGTCGATCCCATCTGAAGGGCACGAACGGTTACGGTAAGGCCTACTGCTATGATTCTAGACTCACTTCGAGCTAACGTCGACAATGTGTAAATCTCAAGTCCCCAAGCCTTGTCTCTGATCTCGATACAGACCAGCAACTTAGCATGTGAATGGTTGCTCTTATGCCTCGATGTCTGACAGACTTGGTATTTCTTGCCATGATCGGTTAGACGATGGTGACCTCTACCATTCCGTAGGGTCGGTAACACCACATCTCCGAGACAGACAGAGCCAAGGCAGATCATTGCTGGCGTTTGCAGTCGAATTCCCCATTTGATAACCTCCGAAGCTTGTCTCAACGCTGAGTGCTGTACAAGTCCGACTTGAGGAGAAGGCAGAAAACTTATAACCAGCGTGAAGGACCTTTCTATCGAGTAGCATGGCTTCTGTATTCGCTAGTTCATCTACCATCATTCCCAACTTTCAACTTCATAGAATACCTGCTCTTCAACATGGCGTCAGCTACTAGTGACGGTCAAACATTCTACTCCACGATCCAGCTGCCTGAATCACAGCAGCCAGTCAAGGAGCCCAAGCTTGAAGACTGCGCTCACAAAACAGGCAAACTTGCTAACACTAAACGTATTATCGTCTGCTGTGACGGAACATGGAACAATTCGTAAGCATCCTAATCCACTCGCCGCGTTTCTATCGCTGACTCTGGTTGTGGGGTAGAAACAAGAAGGGAGGCATTCCTACCAATGTGGCCCGCCTCTCGTCCGGCATTGCCCATAAGTGCTGCACGGGTATGCCACAGGTCGTCTACTACCACCGCGGAGCAGGCACCGAGGAATCAAAAGTTGCCCAAACTCTCGGTGGGGTTTTCGGAAAGGGCATCGTTCAGGTCAGTCTTTCTTTGAAATGTGCATGGCAATGGAGTGACTTTTGCTGACATTTGATTGCGATCGCCCAGGACATTGCTGATGTTTACCGCTTCGTTTGCGATAACTACAACCCAGGAGATGAGATCTTTATTGTCGGCTTCTCCCGCGGAGCTTTCACCGCGCGATCGGTGTCCGGATTGATCTGCAATCTCGGGCTTTTGAATCGCGTTGGCTTGTCACAGTTCGGGGCAATTTTCCACGATTACCAGACCTTCCCCAAATGGCATGGAAGTTTTGACAAAGAAGACCACTTGGTAGGCTTTACGCTTACCAACTACGAGCGTCTTCAGAAATTCGAAGCATCGAAGTGGGAAAGGGTCGAGGAACGTGATAGCGCTGCCCTACAAGCTTTGTTGGACGAGGAGAAGCAGAAGTTCTTCAAGGAAATGACCGAGTGTCGCAAGAACATGAAGGGTTACGGACAAATGGACCTTCGCAAGATGGCTAGAAAATACAGAGACCAGCTTGAAAAGGTAACGAGAGACCTATCTCTTTGGTCTAGGAACTTATTCACTGATCAATGGCTCAGCATGAAATGGTTCTCACCGAGAGGCAGAGGCAATGTCGCGGGGGAGAATCGCGCGAATTCTTGGTCCCGACAAACGTCAAGGTCAAAGCGGTAGGTGAGTATTACACATAACAAAACGAGAACCGAACCCAGCTTAACTGTTACCAACACAGCCGTATGGGATACTGTTGGAAGTCTAGGCTGGCCCAAAATGCCCTGGGAAAAGGTCAACTTTGGCCGCAGCGTCGAGGAGGTGAGTTCAAGCCTTTTCAAATGCCCTGAAATTACCGGATATCGAGAACAAAAGACCAACACGATCAGCTTCGCTTTGCAAGTCTCGATGTCAACCCTAATGTCGATTATGCCTTCCATGCCCTCGCACTTGACGAATGGCGCACGGCATTCAAACCAACATTGTGGGGTAAGGACAACAATGAACATACGCAGCTTCGACAAGTCTGGTTTCCCGGCAGCCACAGCGACGTTGGTGGAGGTTTTGAGGACCAACAGATTGCCAATATTGCACTTGCCTGTATGATCTCCTAATGCGACTCAACTGAGGGGGAAAGTCAGCTTACAAGGTGAACAGGGATGGCGGATCAGCTTACCTCTGTCGGTGTCGAGTTCAACACGTCTGAGATGAAGCGGCTCTTCTACACCCTCACTCCTGGTGTCAAGGCACGCAGATGGGGAATGGGTAGAATCAACAACCCTGGAAAAGCCACGTCGATCCCTGATCAGACATACAACGCGATTTGGTATCCGTGGCAAAAGTTGAAGGGTGAAAACACCGTCTTGGGCACCCGAACTCCTGGCTTATACAGGACCGACGATGGGAAAAGTAGACTTGTGAGCCCTAACCAGCTTGTACATCCCTCCGTACGCATCCGTTACCTCTACGATGGGGCTGGCCTCGATGACGCTGGCGAATGGGAATGCGCAGCCTTGACGAAGAACGGATTCAAACTCAAGATGAGCATCGCGCCGCCCAAGGTTGATGATCCATACCCCAAGACCCCCATTGCCTCAACTTACGAAACCCTCGCCGGTGCCGTCTCATCCGTCCACGGCGGCCATACAATGGACCTTGAGTCCCACAAGGGCCACACACTTGTCGTCCACCAAGTGCCGTTTGAGGCTGACCTCTGTCTTCTGGAACAAGCCGAAAATCACTGGATCTGGACCCGAGACTCAGATGACAAAAAGGAAGGCTCGCGAACTTTGCATGAGGAGCGCATAGGAATGTGGGAACGTTTATTCATCGACATTAACCATAAGATGTTCTTGCGCCAAGAAAGTGAAGAGAGAAAGAGGGCCGAGATCAAAGCTGAGAAGTCCAAGGAGAAGCAGTCTTGGAGACAGTGGTTCACGGAAAAGGCTAATCAAGCTAAGGGTGCTGCTGGACATGCTCTCAACAACACTGTCGTCGGAAGATTCCTTGGGCCATCAGCCAAGCTCAAGCCCTTGGGCTATCCTCAGTATTTCGGATACCACGATTTGATTTCTTGGCAGCGAGGTGATGTCACACATACGCGGCAGAAGAACCCTTGGCCAGAGAGTAACAAGATTGAAGCATAGTCGAAAAGAACCGATGATTATAGATCATTTATCTTAGAAATGAAGTAGGGCAAATGAATTTATGCTATCGTATCGTTGAGAATTCTGTTCTAGCTTGACCCTACAATGCTCATTACCTATATGATGGATACGGTGAGCGAATTACCCTACACTAATCCTGAAAGTCATGCTATATTTCCACCCCGTCCAGAAGGAGACAATGTACAAAAAGTCGAATTTGGCTGTCGCGCTTTGCAAACATCATGTTCTCTTTGCGTAGCTCACTCGGCACGGATAGAACCCACTCGGGTTGGCTGCCCCTCCACGGCTCACCAAATACACAGGATCCCCGTGATACTTTGCGATGTGTCCAGCCTCTTCGTAGGCTGGCTTGAAATCGAATTCCCTCGCAGTCAAGGCACACATCATCTTGATCTCGGTCAAAGCCATTTCTTGCCCCACACAACTCCTAGGCCCTCTCTCGAAGGGACGCCAGCCATTCGCCGGAGGTCGTAGAGGATCATCTTTGCCCTTTACCAACCAACGGTCTGGCAGAAACTCGCTGGGACGGAACCAGTACCGTGGATTATGATGAATTGCATAGTGACTGACATAGACGTTGCACTTTTCAGTCGGCAGGAATCTCAGAGTCATTGCTGGAATTTCGCCGGTAGCAGGCACCATACTTCCAGAAGAATCCTGAATGGAAACATTGAAATTGCGATTGCCCAATCTTTGAGTAGCTCCAGGTGGGTAGATTCGCAAGGACTCCTTGATGACAGCATTCGTGTATGGAAGCTGGTTGAGAAGCTTCGGCTGAGAGGCTATGAGCCCCGCTGTTGCCCTCACATCAGACCCGAAAACGTAGTCATGCTCAGCTCGAACGCGTGCCCGTACTTCCGGATGTTGCGACAAAAGGTTGGTCAGGAAAACAATCGATGAACCAGTTGTGTCGTAGCCTGCAAGCATCATGAATTTGATCTGTGACCGAATGACATCAGGAAATATCCGGAGATGGCCTTGGTCTTGTGGTTTGTTGGCAGTATCCAGTATCGAGATCAATTTGGTTTGTCCGCTCTTGGCAGCTTCCGAATTCTCCTGTAACACTTTTTTGATGTACGAATCCATCAGCCAAGTGTTGTAGCGCTGGACTAGAGGCCTGATGAAGTTCAAATCTCTCAGCGGTGAAGTACCGCGATAATGCAACCAACTTAGTTGCGAGGTCATCGCGGCAGCAAATCCGTTGAAGCCTGTCTGACAATGCATGTCGTGGCCCATGATGGCCTTGCTTGAGAAGTCCATGGTAAGATTGAGAGCCATCGGGCTCAGAGAAACCACCTCGTTCTTCCTCGCACACTGGCGCAGACGATCACAGAAAATACCAGCCATCTCGACGAAACTCGGCACCAGCGCTGCGACATTCGTGACTCGGAAGCCAGGGCTGAAGATATTGTGCCAAAATTTCCATTCCTCCCCTTCCATCGTGTCCAGGTCGTAGCCACCTGTGAGTGGCTTCAGGAACTCTTGCTGGCCTGGCTCTTTCGGGAGAGATTGGCTTTGTGTCACTTGCCGAGCTCCATCTGGTGACAGGACGACCAACATGGGTTTGAAGAAGGGCCACTGGTCTAAGTAGAAGGCCTGGTCAAGATGCGGATATCGCAAACGTATTTCGTGAGCAAGTGCTGCGGATGGCATGATATCAGGCGGCAAATCTTTGAGAATCTTTCCGACCAGTTTGAGATGGCCCCAGACTGGGTCATGAGGAGGCATTGGCAATCCTTGACGCTGAAGTGACCTAAAGAAGCTGCGAGCTCTGTATAAAGAGTAAATGGAGTAAATAGCCGCCAGTAAACAGCCTGCCGCCAAAGCCTTCAAGGCCGCTGATGAGACAATTGTATTCATGGTGGTTCGATTCCGACCGCCAGCGAGTCGTGAATAGTTTTGCAAAGTCAGGCAGTTACCAGCCCGTGAGATCTGAGAGGATTAAAGAGCACATATCTCGAGCAAGTACTACTCAGAGATTTTTTAACTAACGGCTTACCTGCAAATAAGAATGCTTAGACGCGCGTAGGGTCTGTACCATATCAATGCCATCGAGAGGGGGTAAGGTTCATCTCTTCAACCCCGCGCTAGAGTGAAAAAGCTTAACCTTTTCGACACCCAGCACAATATTCTGCGTAGCACCGCGGGCTCGTGTTCGGTATCGTATCAAGTGACCCGGTAAGGTTCCAGTCTGATTCTTCAATGTCATGCTACTTATGTGAAAAATCAGATGATGTCCTCAGAGGCGAGTAGGTTAGGAAAGGTTCAGTAGCGACGCGTCGTTAAGATTGATTGGTCCCCTATGGTCTGTTCAGTGGGGTATGTTTGATAGCGAATCAAGGGAGATGAATAAGAAAACCAAAGAGACGGGTCAACAGGATTTGGTCCAGCTGAACTCTTACAACCCTTGCGAAATTGTCGTGAATCAATAGACTCTGGGGGCGCCCTCATATCATTCGCTTCAGATGCGGGTGATAGCCCCAAAGGTGAGGGGTTGAACCGCCGAATTCGATGATACACTCTTAGTAATTCTAGCAAGCTTATCATCAAATCACAACACTTAGATCTAAATCTAATCAGCTGGCTTGTGGTTCCTCCTAGCGGCATTGTCGTCAGATCTGACTGCTCCACCGCGAGAAAGAGAATGCGTATTTTCCAACGTTAAGCCGAGTCGCTGTGCCTCAATACCTCACGTTGGGGATCAGGAATAGTTGAGTCTGAGGCGGAGGAAATGCCCTTTTAAGACTTGTTCATTACCTGCCTGCGACCTTCACGATTAATAAACGCGTGGTTTTGCCGAGATATCAAGCACGCCATTGTATGCCTGCTGTTCGTCGATATTATTGGTGTTTACGGACTCGCACTTCCTCGCTAATTGTAGGTACCCTACCGAAAGAAACGGTCCAACCCATGTTCCCGACATCGGTAGCTCCTAAAGAGGCGCCTGCATTATCGACATGTTATGCTGAAAATCTGAGTACTCATTGGTCTCACAACACCTGGGAGACACATGGAGGTCCTGTGGCGTTATTTAACATGACTAGTAGACTCGTTCTGAGTTGGCTGTCGATGTCGCCATGGGACCCGCCTAAGACGACAATCAACCCGGCTTCCGAGCAACGAGATCTGAACGGAAAGCCACAGAAATTGAGTTCGTAGATAAACCCACCAAACTCCGTCGCGAAAAGTTGACGTGGGCAGATCCATGCTTCACATCACGTCTCTCTTCTAGACACAATGTCGCTTCCTCACGAAAAGAACCCGAAAGGCGCCGTCTTCATCGGGGAGAGCGAGAATGAAAACCATGATGGAGTCAAAGAAACACAACAGGCAGATACAGATAGAGAAGCATATGTCGAATCCAAGAGAACGTGGAAATCATTTTTCTGGTCAAGTCAGCTGTTTGGAATCAGAACGATAAACGGCTTCATTTACTGACTTCCTATTATTGTAGCACTCGATGTTCCGAAAGATGAGGCACGATTCCTTACGAAGCTAGATTTGACACTCATATCAGCATCGGCTCTCGGCGTAATGTGTCGCTATCTCGACCAAGTCAATATCACGAATGCTTTCAGTCAGTATCTGAGCCATATTCGTCTGTTGATTCTTGCTAAGAATGTTCTTCCAGACAGTGGTATGAAAGAGGATCTTTCGTTATATGGAAAGGAGCTCAACTACGCCAACGCTATCTGGAGTGCAGCTTACGTCTTCGGGCAAATACCGTCAAACCTGCTTCTCACTCGAGTAAGTTTACATAATTCAAGTTTCAGAGGGAACAAGAACTTCTGACAGCTTTCTAGGTTAATGCTCCGCTTTACATTGCCTTCCTTGAGTTTGCATGGACAGTCTTCACATTTGCCACCGCAGGTGTCAAAGATGTCAACCAGCTTTACGTATTCCGTTTTTTGTGAGTTCCCACGTTTAGGACTGTCGTCGTTCCCATCCATTTAAATAATATCTACTCACTATATTCCTTTCACTCCTGATATGGACTCACTAACTCGGCTCTAGCGTCGGCTTGTTTGAAGCAGGGCACTTCCCAGCCGTCATGTACGTGTGTTCGAGTTACTACAAGCCGCATGAACTTGCGCGGCGTAACACGCTGATCCAAGTATTTACCTCCGTCGGGCCACTTTTCTCCGGCTTCTTGATGGCTGCCGTGTATGCCGGCTTGGACGGAAAGAGTGGTCTCCCGGGCTGGCGATGGATGTACATGTGAGTGCACTGGAATCCCAAGCCCACTGGATGACCTCTCAACGACGAGATTGTGCTGACGGAAGATTAGCGTTTGCGGTTGCATTTCCCTCCCTTGTGCGATATGGACTGCGTTTGCCATGCCTCAACTGCCTTCTCGGGCTAAAGCGAATTGGTATATATGTTCCGGTGGAGTCTCCTAGAAGAGAAGCAACATTGAAGCTGATATTCACCCAGGATTTTCACCGGAAAGGAAGTTGAGCTGGCCCGTGCTAGGATGCCAACTGAAGTCAAACCGCACACTGGACTGTTCAAGTGGAAGGATGTCAAACGCTGGCACACAACGTGGCACGTCTACCTCTGTAAGTGATCCGGTTCGTCGATGACTACTTTCATGGAAACTGACTTATGAAGTCCCGCTGTTCTTCACGTTTCTTGCACAGCTGGGCCAGTCCGGAGGATCAAGTAAGTTCACACACACATGAACTGTGTTGCTCGTGAGAGTACTCAGTCATTAACCGCCTGTACTTATCTTACGTGCAGTGATCTTCTGGGTCAAAAGCTACAACGTAGCCGAGAAGCCACCTCGCTTTTCCGTAGCAGAGATCAATATTATCCCACTCGGAGTGAGTTCTGCGCGTCTTACCCACTGGGCTACATCGTAACTTACCTTTTGGCCAGATCAACATTATTTCCATCTTCGCAACCCTGGTCAACTCTTGGGTATCGGACAGCTTGCCTGGAGCAGCTCGATGGCCTGGTATGTTGTTTGCCAGCGTGATGGCCATTATCTTCCCCATTGCACTGGCAGCCACACCCGTGCACCCAGAAAACATCGCAACTCGATGGGCATTGTACTGTGAGTATCTCCTCATCCGCTCTCATGGAATCCGTCTCACTTTACTGACAATCTCCCTTCGTCAGACCTCACGGCTCTAGCAGGCACGTGCGCTGGCATCACATGGACATGGGTGAACGAAACAAATAGACACGATCCCGAAAAGAGGGCATACGTGTCTGCCATGGTATGTCATACAATTTTCAAAGTTGTTCTACGGCCTCCAAGTCAATGAGAGCTAACATCGATTGCCACTATCAGATGAACGCGTTTGCCTACATTTTCACGGCTTGGGTGCCTATTTTTACATTCCCTGCCAATCTCCAGCCGTACATCGTCACTGGTAACTACATTACAGCTGGTTTCGGAGCAGCGGCCGCGGTGACTGTACTCGTTATCCGCCACTTCTACAACCGGGATATGAAAAGACAATACGACCTCAAGATCTGATAGCGCTTCGGCTTCAGAGATCAAAAGCGGTAGACGCATCTTTTGGTCACAAGGCTTGCGTTGGTGTTCGTGGGCTCAATATCATAAGTCAGGTGGTCAGCACAGCGAAGGGCAGGCTAGTTAGATGCTCCTGCACGCCATGTCTTAAGTATGAAGCGTGCTGTTTCGACGCATTCATTAGTTCACACCACAATGATTACCGATCGTTGTTTCTCTTCATCCTGGCCCTCATTTACCAGATGTATCTGTCGTGTTACCATGCCTCAAAGCCTGAATGCCGCACATGTCCCGTTACAGCAATGTAATTGTGATTGGTGCGCGTAAAACTATCATGTCTAGAATCCGAGTATCAGTACTGGTGCAAGATGTTAGCATAACGCCTCATTTGGCATAGATAATTAGTAGTTATGTACGGATAATGTTCATGTTTAGGTTCATCTTGCCGGCTCTGGCCTTGGACCGTATGGGTCGTCGCAAGACGATGATGTGGGGAAGTGCAGGACTTGGCGTCTGCATGCTCATGATCTCGATACTATTGTCGCGGGTGGGATTCACTGGCGGTCAAGCTTGTGCTTCGGCGTCTGTAGCATTCTTCTTCCTGGAAGTTCACCTGTCGCGCACATACGAGGTTTTTCGGAAGGTCCACTAACGAGGTACCCAGATACAACTTGATATTTGGCATGGGAATGTATTGCGTCCCATGGGTCGTCGTTCCCGAAATCCTGCCCCTCCATGCACGAACTCGAGGTACTGCCGTCCGTTTCAATTCCAACTGGCTATGGAACTTCCTTGTCGTCATGATCACCCCGGTAATCATCAATCAGCTTCAGTGGAAAGCCTACCTCATCTTTGTCATCACCAATTTCTTAATTGTGCCAATCATCTACTTCTTCTATCCTGAGACTAGCAACTTCAGGTTGGAAGATATCGACGAGTTTTTCACCTCGGGTGGTAATCCAGTCAAGGTTGCGAAGGAAATGTCAAAGGTAATGAGGGCTGGAAATGATGCCGAGAAGCTGTCAAGCGTTTCTGAGAAAGAAAAGGTGGAGATTGAGCACTCGTAAGAACTCGAGCAGAGTTAGGAGCTGGTACCTCGTGGCGTGCCATGGCATGTAAGACGGGGGATAACTTCGTGCCATAGTTCTCAACAAGTCTTGCTCATCAACGATGGTGCGATTCGGCTGACTCAATGAGCTCATGACCGCCCCAGCAACGCCATAACGTTGCACCCAAGAAGATGCCCTAATTTACTAAGGTCATCAATGGGGATATCGTCGACGTGGAAGCAGATATAAATACCTGTTTCCCAACACAAAATCATGAAGTCAAAAGGTTGTATTCTGGACTCATCACCACTCCTGATTGCTGAGGCCTCAAAGTACTTCAGCCCAACCCCCATGACCGCGATGGCAGCTATCAAAAACGTCGCCATATTCGGTGTAAGTCATTGATTAATTGTCAAGCCCCGTCATGATTCCTGATCTGTCCCAAGGCAATTGGTGCATTAGGAGAGGTTCTCGTCCCGGCACTCCTACAAGCCAACTTCGAGGTGGCCTGCATCACTCGACCGGACAGTGGAAAGAATCTTCCCGCCGGCGTATATGGAAGAGTCTCCGATTAGTCAGACTTCAAGACTCTTACAACGGTACTGAAAGGTCAAAACGCGATTGTCGAAGCGTTCAACCCAGTAGCTGCATCCTACCAGACCAGCATCTTGCAAGCAGCCCTAGCCACAGGAGTCAGACACATCATCACTCCAGACTTCAGTGGCAATACGTTCCATCCCAATGCCGAAGAGGCACTCATATTAAACCCCAAGTTGCAAGCACAGCGCGAGCTTGAACGCATCGTCGACGAGTCGAACGGGTCATTGTCGTGGACGGCAATCATATCCGGCCCGTGGTACGACTGGACCCTCGAGCGCGGTATTTTCTGGATCAATAAAGAAGATCGTATCATCACTCGATACGGCTCCGGAGATCAAAGATACAGCATCAGTCGCCGCGCACTCAACGGCGAGGCCCTCGTTGCTGTGTTGATCAATCCGGAGAAGTATCGCAACAGGGCCGCCTACTTTGCTAGCCATACGGTATCGACGAATCAGTTGATCACAGTTATTGAGTATGTTGGTCTCAAGGACTGGAATATTGTCTATGTGCCGCTTGACGGGTTTGCGGAGAAGGCTCGTACTTTGTGGCGGGAGGATACGGAAGAGGGAGTTGACGATAGACTCAACTCCAGGGCGTATGCCGCGCTTTCTACTGTGGCACTTCTGGACGAAGAAGATCGTTACGGATCCAACTTTGAGAACAAAGTTGAGTCTGGGTGGGTTGAAGGCGAAAATGCACTGAAAAAGAACTTGAGAAGGCTTCTTGAATAGGTAGGTTTAGGCGGTGGATCTTAGTTGCGGCCTCGAGGAAGAATTGCGGATTGTCATAAATGTTAACATCAAAGAACTACGAGATGTGTTCGACAGCGGACAATGCATTTCAATGACCTGACAGAAGAAAAGCGAATGAAGGTAGAATTGTCCCCAGACCAGAAGCTTTCGCAGTCGTCGCTGCAGATCATCAGATAACAAGTTCGATGGCAATGAAACTCGACCGCACGAGACTTATCGGCCGACAAGCACAGTCAAATACTTCAGGCCGTCGAGGGCAGACCACGGGCTTTGAGCCGCAAATGTTATTCGTTGATGGGCAGACGATAAATCGCCTTGGTCGTTATTTAGTTCCTTGGCCAAAGGGCAGCGTGTGACAGCCATAACCAGGGTAACGGGATTTGCCCGTAATGGTCACAAATGACTGGTGGTAGTGAACGCCGGAGAGACAATGGAAGAATCACAGTGGCTTCAGCAACGCACGTCTCGCAGAGATACTGTCCAGCCAGACGTTTCGGAAACAGGATTGGACCTAAGGAAGTCAGTTGAAGGATATTGCCGGTGGAAGAGTATAGGTGAGGGAAGGCCGGAGATCGACCTACATCGGGGAACAACTGTAAGAGATGAGCTTTCGGAAGAAACCTATCATATACTTCGTAGAAACTGCCAATTCGACACAGGGGCGGATACGGGGCGTGGGAGGAATCAGACGTCGACATTCGTCGCAATACGGTTGACTGGCGGAGCCATTAGAAAGGTGTCGAGCTCCTTGGCCCCTTGGCTGCTTGGCGGGGAGCACAGGATTTATAGAAATCTAAGTTGTCAATGGAGAAGTTGTCGATAGTGCTGGCGACTCGGTTGCGATGTTGGAGATGAGAAGCTCCGGGAATGCAGCCCGGGGAAATCCACAGGAAGGGACGGGATCCAGCACGTGGTGAATTCGGGACCGGTGATTCGGCAGTTACGGGGTCAAGGGCGGGGCCGCTGCTCTCCTGCCAGAAGCGCTTGGCGCTTCCTGAGAGCGTGTGTCTTGGCGCTTGAGCGCGCCAAGTCGCTTAGGATACTCCACACAAATGGGTCTCGGTCGATGGTTTGAAAAGGGTGCGGCGAGGATGTATCTCCTTCCCACCTCAGGCAACCTGCCATCGTCCATTTGTTTCCCGGTAAGTTCGAATGTCCAACATCCAACGTGCAACCTCCACCTCTCTTCATCTGTACATGCTACACCTGCTGCTTGCATCGCTCATATTCGGCCGTCACCGATGCTTCCTTATAGGCTCGGCGAGAAAAGTCAATATTCATCCTATCCTTCTGACCTACTTGGCCGTCTATGACCACTCCCGGCATTAGGATCTCCTCGGACTACGGAGCTCTCGGTCTGCTTCTTACGCTTCTAAGCTATCTTCCCAACAATACCTCTAGTGAGGCTGCGGTTTTTGCTGAAAATTCCGAGTCCTGCCAAACAGGCAACTCTGTTCACGACACGTGGGTGGCCCCGGAATATACCCTGCTTCTCACAGGCTTCCTCACCGGGCTACTCAATATCCATTTATTCCGCCCCGCGCAGGTTGATGTCAGCCAACTCCTCTGCTATGTTGACCTTGGCATATACCCTCTCCCACCGATGGTGTGCTTATCAAGGCTTTCCATAAGGGGATGGCTCACGGCTCCTCCTTGATAACTTGAGCCGTGCCCACGACCCCAAGCACACAGAAACAGGGCGCAAATGATTACGAGAATCAGCGATTCAAAGCTTACGGGAATGGATTTTCTACTCTGCGCCAAATCTCATCATGGTAACGACCAATGGCAATGGTAGATGCCCTCAGAGCCACATAGCGGATGCTTCTTCAATGGAAAGGGGTCTTCTCATACCGAATAGGCTCGTGAGCACCCTGGTAAGACAATCAAGCTAGGGTCGTCGAGGACTGGTCTGCGGATGAACCATGTCAGTAGCATTGCAGATGATGGATGTGGCAAAGTACCTTTGGGTGGGTTGGGCCTGTACGTCTCGCAGAATCGAATGTGCCCACCCTGTCTTGCCTGTGCTGATGTTGGTGTCTAGCCACTTCTTCATCTACGCCCGAGCATCATACACCGAGGGTGCCCCGGCGGGAAGGGGGTACACGTGCATTCCGAAAGGTGGACAAGGATGGACTGCACTGAAGCAACGTCTTGGCTTTTCTGCCTTCTGGTATATATGCTAGAGTTCGTCCCAATCTCTACCTTCCTGCTCCCATGTCGACTTATCGAACATCATTTCCTCTCCGGCCTTGCTATCCGCGACGAAGCCAGGGTCTTCCATCTCTTCGCACACCTCTTTCAGGCACGTGGACCTAAGTTCCAGTTCGAAACATCATCTCGATCATCGTCACCTTTCCTGAACATCGGCTCTGCGCAACCTTTGCGAGACAATACGAAATGCCTCTCCATCAGTATGACTACATCTTCGCCATTGGCACCATATTCGCATTCCTGGATGCGTGGAACATTGGTATGTACCCTCGAAACTAGAATCTCTCTTGTATGGCCATACCCAAGCTGACCCTTCCGTTCTGATAGGTGCCAACGATGTTGCAAATTCGTGGGCAACCTCGGTCTCTTCACGGTCTATCTCTTACATTCAAGCCATGACCCTCGGGTCCATCCTCGAGTTCGCCGGCTCGGTTGGTGTCGGTGCCCGTGTCGCAGACACCATTCGCACCAAGATTGGTAGGATCTCTGCTCTTCTAGTTAACACAGACGCCATGGCTAATTGGCTGACACAGTGGATATCGACCTATTCGAGAACGACCCGGCTCTCCTCATGCTTGGAATGACCTGTGCTATTGTGGCCTCCTCAATCTATCTTACCTTTTGCACCAAGATTGGTCTCCCGGTATCAACCACACACTCGATCATGGGAGGCGTCATCGGTATGGGTATCGCACTTATTGGTGCCGATAACATCCACTGGGTCTCTCCTAGCGGCGGCATTGATTCTGGTGTTGTGTCGGTCTTCCTTGCGTGGATCATCGCCCCTGGTATCTCCGGTGCATTCGCAGCCATCATCTTCACCATCACCAAGTACGGCGTCATGTTGCGAAAGAATCCGGTCATGAAGGGACTGGCTTTGGTGCCCGTGTACTTTGGTATCACCGCCTCACTCTTGACTATGCTGATTGTCTGGAAGGGCGGGTCTATCAAGGTTACCTTCAACGATGCCGAAACCGCCGGCATGATCATTGGAGTGGGTGCCGCCTGGGCTCTCCTCATCACCATTTTCTTCCTTCCCTGGCTCTACCGTGTGGTCGTCAAGGACGACTGGCAACTACGTTGGTATCACATCGCCCTCGGCCCCCTTCTGCTCCGCCGGCCCGAGCCCCCTGCACAGCCTGAAGGCAACGGCAGTGGTATTCGCGACTTCTACGCCGGGCACATGACCAAAGAGGAGCTTGAAATGGCTCGCAGCGGTGGTGTTGTTCAAACGAATAGCAACGACATCGAAACTGGCTCTGCTGATGGAGAGAAGAAAGTCGGCCAGGGCTCTACCGACTCCCCTGCAGCCACTCTTCCTCGCAAGGACTATGTCCACAAGCCCATCGTTGGCCCCCGTCCTGAGGGTCCTTGGCACAACGGCTCCGTTCTCTTCTGGATGGTGAAGAAGATCTTCCTCTCTGGTGTCGATCAGGATATTATCAACATGCAGAAGAAAGAGAGCGTCCTCACTGGTGACTTGGAGGAGATGCACGCCCGTGTCCAACACTACGATAACAAGGCTGAATTTCTCTACTCATTCATGCAAGTTATGACCGCATGCACCGCTTCATTCACGCACGGTGCCAACGACGTGGCCAATGCCATTGGACCCTACGCCACCATCTTCCAGATTTGGAACACAGGTGTTCTCTCTGGCAGCAAGTCTGAGGTCCCAATCTGGATCCTCTGCTTCGGCGGTGCTGGCATTGCTCTTGGTATCTGGACTTACGGATACAACATCATGCGAAATCTTGGTAACCGCTTGACCCTTCATTCGCCTGCTCGTGGTTTCTCTATGGAGTTAGGTGCTGCCTGCACCATCATCTTGGCTACACGTCTCAGTAAGTCGAAAAAGCTGACTTGACTATGCCGGAGTATCACTAACTGTCATGCAGAGCTCCCTGTATCAACTACACAGTGCATCACTGGTGCTACCGTAGGTGTCGGCCTTTGCTCCGGTACTTGGCGATCAATCAACTGGCGTATGGTTGGCTGGATCTACATGGGTTGGATCATCACGCTGCCTACTGCTGGTATCATCTCCGGATGTCTCGCGGGCGTCATCGTCAACGCTCCTCGCTGGGGCATGGCGAGCTAAAAGATGTTGACAGTTAGAATTATCCGTCCACAGACTAATGGTATCATCCGACACGTTTGGTTGGTTGTGCCGTTGGAAATGGCGACAGGGTGAAGCTCAAATGTGAAGAGCACATGAAATCAGAAGAGGTTTCTTTTTCAAGTTAGTCTAGAGAAGGCTCTTACCCTCACTAGTATAGATAACAGTAGCAATCAATGCATAACTCTGCAGAAATACGGGTTGTGATAACGGGCAGGAGCTCAGATGATCCACTGAAGAGTGTCGTTTCGATGTGCCCCCAAGGGTTTTGAGAGCCCCGGCCATTGGGCAACTTGCAGCTCCAGCAGGTATCTGTTTTAGGGCATGTAAGGCGATACCGCGAAAACGGCCAGCTTCTCAAGAATCTGCCAAGGAGACGAGCTAGTCATGGAAACAGAGTTAAGCTTAGAATCATGTTGCAAACCTTCGTCCGATCTCTGACCCCCGCTTCGTTCGCCTCATTCGCCCGGTTGTCTCATGTTAACAAAGTTAATGATTGCAATGCCCCTTAAATGAAGGTGCAAGACTCTTGCTTGAAGAAAGTTCGTTTGTTTACTAATGTTGGATTCGAAATCATGGCAGGTGGCAAGGTGCTACCAACATCACAAGTCAAGATGCACCATCTCATTCTGCTGCTGAACGCCTTGTTGGTACCGCTTTGCTTATGTTCACCATCTGTCTCAGGCCTAGATTGGCCAGGAAACAGAGCTCTGCCCTTGTTCCCGGAAATTGCCAAAGACATAGACTATGCCAAACTTACTGCACTATCTGGCGATGAGCAGGTTCTCTTGGTATCGTTGCAAGGACTGGTCAACCGAAGGCAACCGCGAATGTACCTTTATTGGTCGCAAGATTCCGCGTTCCCAGACGACATTGTCAACGAAGCCTGGCTACGACAGCTTGAGAGTCAAGGATGCCGGAGCGCGGATATGACAAGCACCCCTTTACAACTAATTGACAAGTACAAGTCTGAGATTCGGGGTGCCATCATCTATGACACTAAACTGCCAGATACTGTTAATCTGGCATCGACACTTGCTGGTCTTCATGGCGCTATTCTCGCAACCGAGGAGCTGGCCCGGAGCTTCAACATCTCTATTATCGAAGACTTACGAGGTCGATTCAAAGATAAATTCGAGCTGTACGACCATGCAGCTCGGGAGGTGTGGCCCAAGGTGACCAATCGCATCATCACAGCGATAAAGCCTCTTTCGACTATCCTGTACGCTAACAGAACCTGGACCATCCTTCTGAAGGCAAACTCGTCCATTAACGACTCTTCCAATAATGGCACTTATACCGTCGATCTATCCCCTTTCATGAACGGCAACGGAACTGTCTACGTCAATATCACAGATGCTTTTCCCGCAGATGGCTATGGCCCCTCCGTCTACCACGTCAAGGTTATGGGGGATGGAAATAGGACCATCGCAGACTTTAGTCCCGGCAGCGAGGAAGAAGACTCCTTTCTATTCGACGATGGTGGCTCGCACCTGGCAGACTACCCCGGAGGCTGGCGTTTCGCAGACGGCGCATCCGCAATGATTTACAAGTTCGACTATCCGCCTCAGACGACTAATCTTACAATCACCCTGTCCATGTGGAATCAGTTTCTCGTCTCGGCAACGTCAGCTCAGCCGGGCTACTACAAGGTCAACTCTATCTTCCGCGACTACATCGTCAGCACAGCGGCTCCCTGCATATGGCTAGATAGCAACAGACCGCGGGAAGCAGCGCTGCTTGACAAACTCCTACGCGAGTTCCAGCCCAATGCGGCGTACCTCGGCTGGTTTCCAAACGGTGATGAAATGACCGGTGTCACGCAACTCGCGAGGAACGGCTTATATGTAGCCGCCACGGACTTTTACTTCAACCCCACGATCTTCAGCGGTTTCAATACTAAAAGTCAGTCTCAGCAGTCTGCGCCGGATGGGCCACCGTGGCGACCTCCGCCTCCTCCAAAAGGAACACCAAAGGTCTTCTTGTCACTCGTCTACCTCGAAGGCGACAACATTCAGTATGACCAGCGCAGCATGTTTCAACATTGGAACGACTCCGCGAGGGGATTAGTCCCGCTTGGGTGGACTATCAGCCCGTTGCTGCGCGATATTGGGCCGGGCATCCTGTCGTATTATCAAAAGACGTCCACGGAAAATGATTTGTTGATTGCCGGGCCCGACGGCGCAGGGTACACGTATCCCGGGGTCTGGCCTAGACGAGCTCTCTCTATCTTCTTGATGCAGAGCGGTGAGTATATGCGGGCAACACAGACGGGCGAGGTGTTGTTCATGTACGACCGCATCAACGCCACCGATAACCCGCTCACGCCGGGGCTAACTCTCGACTTTCGTGACGCCGTGGGGAGGAATAGGCTGCGGGGAATCTACTACGGGTCCTTTGTTTCCACGGCGGATGCACTACAGGTTAATGTCACGGATGGGTTCCCGGTGACAAACATGGTAAGTATTGGGAACGAAGAGAGTGGTGCGGCGACGTTGCGGAATATCTCGGATAATTGGAGGGGTCGGGGGCCTCTTTTTGTAGCAGGCGCGATTAGTGCCTTTGATATGACGCCGACGAGTATTGCTAGTATGGTGAAGAAGTTGGGGGATGAGTTTGAAGTTGTGAGGCCTGATATGTGGTTTGAGCTATTGAGGAGACGGGAAAGTTGGCCCGGTCTTGGTTAGGGTAGCTTTTCATTCCCCGGAGGAGTGCCATGAGACTATGAGCCTCTTAATGCCTTAGGATGGACGATGGGAACTGAAAGACATTGTTCGTGCGGGATATACGAGCAAGAGAGGGGGTTGCGTTGGCAAAATCCGGTGGGAGGGTGCTGGCGGGAGAAGCTTATTGCATCAGGTTATTCATGTTGGGTCGAGGAATTTGGTAGATGATAAGCTGGAATTTTCCCTCCCCTCATCAAGGATCACGATTTCACTCTTGTTGGCGATGTGTCTTGTGTGTTTTCCTTTGTGCTTGGCCCCCTCATGACTGTATCATCAGGCTCAACTCATGTTAGTTGGTGTATTTCTTTGGCAGTGTTCTCCATCACCACTACGTCATGAACAGACATTATTATTAATGTTAGTGCACAATCGAGGTGGATTAAGTTTCCTTGCGCGCCAAGGTCCGAATTCCACGGGGCTCGTAGGCTGATTAAGCAGGAGAAAGACCGCGCCGATTGCTACAAGAAAACATGCCTGCCACGCTACATTTGGCTGCCTCACTTTCATATTAGAAACTCATGATGGCTCCCCATCAGTCTATCCCATCGCAAGTGTCACAAGTCTATTTCTATTCTGAGCGAACATGGCCGGACAACAAATGCAAGCTCTGGTGACCGAATCCTCGGCCGGTGGGTCGACGAGGATGGTCAAGAAGCAGATTCCTGTCCCGGAACCTGCCCCGCATCAAGCCCTGGTAAAAGTGTCACATATTGCACAGAACCCGACAGACGGTAGGTCGGAACCCGTTACTAGTCTCGAGACGACAGAAGTTCGATTTCCTAACTATAGGCCGCAGTTCAATCCCTCGACGGCAATGCTTTCGGTGACGGCGCCGTTCTCGGGTGCGACTTTGTGGGGACGGTTGAAGCGGCCGGCGACAAGTGCAACAAGCTCTCCAAGGGAGATATTGTTGCTGGTCTAATTTGGGGAGGTCGGTGGCCCTTCCGAACGAGTGACTTGAGAGCATTTTGTGACTTCCATCTAGGTGAAATCAAGGGTCTCGGCAGCTACAGCGAATACACCCTCGCGGATGACAACATCAGCTTCCGCGTGCCCAAGAACATAAGCCCTGAAGAGGCCGCTACATTACCGCTAGCCTCAATGACGGCTTGGCTTGCTCTGTTCTCCAAAGAGTGCCTTGCAATCCCTCAAGAGGATGGATCGAAGACGTCACTCCTCGTCTGGGGTGGTAGCTGTGTGCCGGCCCAATACATGCCCCGACTACGTGTAGCCTCTTGCTAATCGTGCACCTCTACAGCGAGCGTGGGATTATACGCCATCCAGATAGCCGCGATGCAAGGCCTTAACGTTGTCACGACATGTAGCCCTCGCCACTTTGACTTGGTGAAATCCCTGGGTGCGAAGCATGTCTTCAACTACCGCGACGACGACGTAATCGAGTCCATTGAGAGGACGACGCCCGGCCTCAAGTATGTCTTCGATACTATCGGGAATAATTCCTCCTCGGGCCTGGCATCCCAAGCTATTGATGAAAATGGTGGACGGCTCTGCACCGTGCGCCCGGGGAAGGCCAACACCGAGGACGTTACGAAGCAGACGACTGTGACGGATGTCTTGGTCTGGACTGCGTTCTTGAGGGATCATCAGTACGCACAGTTCAAGTGGCCGGTAAGTTGTGTCGCCACAGGGCTTCGTGAAGGGTGGTTACTGACAGCGGAGTAGGCTAGCGAGGAGGACCACAAGCTTGGTACCGAGCTCTACGAGAAGCTCCCCGGCTGGGTAGAGGCTGGCAAATTCAAGCCTAACAAACCCAAGGTGATTTTTGGGGGTCTTGATGGCGTTGAAAAGGGGTTCCAAGTGTATCGGGACGGAGCGATCTCCGGCGAGAAGGTAGTGTACAAACTCTGAGGCCCTGGGTCAACTCGCTACGTTCGCGCATGCAGCCACGTTGGTACGGTACTTGCATACTAGCGCATCTTCGCGCTTTCTTTAAGCTGGAACTCATGACAACTACTATGCTGGGTTTCCGTCACAACTCGTTACACCCGTGAGAGCTCCAGTGCTTTGTGGTAATCAACAACTCCTATTTATCATGTAGATATGGGAGCCTCTGTGTCTATGTTGGACAAATAATGCGGAAAGCCCGACCAATGGGAACCTGCTACACGCGATGTCAATCAGCACAGGAATAAATAGCTGAGACTTTGCAGCAAGGGGCTTCCATCATCAAGGGCTCGCCGTGACATCTGACTTGACTGAAGGATGCGTAAGCTGTACTGCAGATAAGACAGCTGGGAGCGGAGGATAAGCTTAACCTGCCACTTGGAGACCTGTTGTTCCAGTGTCATGAAGACTGATGTAAGCACCTAATAATGGACAATCATGCAGCGCTCACTGTTGTTGATGAGCGTCCAATGGTGACAACTTTATTCTGCATGACAGCTCGACGGGTAGACACTTGGAAGGATGACCCCGCCATGTCAGGAACCAACAGCGCTCGTCAAGCTTGGGCAGATAATTCTGAGCTTAAAGCGTGTCATGGCCGCGTTCTGGGTCAGCTAACCATTGCTAGTCTTATCGCTCGGGAATGACAGACCGCGGAAGTACGGCAAACTTATCGAGGTTTCCCGAATGCCTCCCTCATTCCGTGGTGCCGGACCCGACCGCTAAGAAAGGAATCCCTGGTCGCCTTCCAGAAGCAGACGGCGGATCCCCGCAGCGGCAGATGGGGCCAAGATAACGCCAAGATGCTCAATTGGCCAATGCCGCAGTTCCGATGCCGCGGTAGGGGAAAACGCGAAAGTCATTACGATTCGTGATGGTTGTGTGTGTAGAGCCAACATGAGTGGACGAACGTGTAATCTGGGGAACTTTTTGAAATCCCCAAAGGCACTTTTTGAGAATCCTATCATCGGCTGACCACCGACCAGGGGCGAACTGATAAGCGGGAGAAGATGTCTAGGAGATTGTCGTACGCGTCGGGCCATGTCGCTTCTATCAGTCGATGCGACGTTGTACCCTTCATACTCACATTAGTGTGACCAGCACCACCCTTCATAATAGCTACGATGCCGCGCCGGGAGCTACTCTCTTGGCACCTCTGGGCGTTTGCTTGTTTTCGCCGCAAACCCATCGTTGCAAACCCTCAGCCTCAGCAAGATGGCAACTGACATTAGCCATACGCCGCCAGAGTATGTGGACCCTGAAAAGTCACTCGCGCAGGGAGAGAAGCTCAACATCAAGACGGCACATAATCTCCACGGCCAGGACATCGAGCTTGAAAATGGACATCTCGCGGAACTGGAGGTTGATATGGAGAGGGTGCTCGACGAGGAGGGAGAAGGGGATTACGATGCCGATACCTCACCGTTTCCTCAGGTCAGAGCTGTTGTGCCGGAGACAGACGACACTGCGATTCCCGTCAACACGTTCCGCGCCTGGTTCCTTGGAATTGTAGGCAATTGGTGGTCCAACCGATGTGAGAACGCAATACTGACTTGCAGCAAAGGTCTTCGTCTTCCTTGGCGCCGGCGTAAATCAATTCTTCTCATTGCGCTACCCTGGTGTCCACATCGTGTCTCTTGTCGCAGAGCTGATTGCGTTCCCCATCGGCGTTGCTCTCGCTAAGATTCTGCCTATCAGCCGCTTCAACCCCGATCGGCACTTCAACATCAAGGAGCACGCCCTCGTGACTATCATGTCCAACGTCTCTTTTGGCTTTGGCTCAGCTGATGCGACGAACATTATTCAGGCAGCCAGGTTGTATGGTTTCTACATCCCGCCAGGATTCTCCGTGCTCGTCGTCCTGTGTTGTCAGCTCAGCGGATACGCCGTTGCAGGTCTCGCGATGCCGTGGCTTGTCAAGCCCGCTAGCATGATCTGGCCAGGCGTGCTCAGCAACGTCGCTCTTCTCAGCTCTCTGCACTCAAGAGCAAACGCCGTCGCCGACGGATGGAGAATCACCCGCATCAAGTTCTTCATGATCGTCGGTGGATGCGCTTTCGTCTGGTACTGGTTCCCTGGCCTCATCTTCACGGGTCTCAGCTACTTCACCTGGATTTGCTGGATTGCACCCAACAACCTGGCCGTCAACCAGGTCTTTGGCATGGTCACCGGCATGGGTCTCTTCCCTCTGACCTTCGACTGGTCCATGATCGCGTACAACACAAACCCGCTTCTGAGTCCTCACTGGGCGGCGCTGAACGTCTTCTTCGGCTTTGCGTTTTTCTTCTGGATCATCACGCCAGCGATCTACTACACCAACACCTGGTTCACTTCGTACATGCCCTTCTGTACGGCCGACGTTTACGATCGATTCGGCAGCCTTTACAACGTGACAGAGGTTCTCACGAACAATGAGTTCGATCAGCAGAAGTACTCCTCGTACTCTCCCCCGTATCTGCCCGCAACGTTTGCTTTCGTCTACGGGTTGTCTTTTGCTTCAATCACAAGGTATGAGCTGAGTCATGTCAACTGCCGGTAACTCTCTTCTAATCTTCTCACGATAGTGTCCTATCCCACGTCTACTTCTTCCACTTCGAGGAAATCATTCATGCTATGAAGGGAACACTCAAGCTCGACATTCACGCGCGCCTGATGAAGTCATACAAGACTGTAAAGTGGTGGTGGTGGTTGGTAATTCTCCTCGTCGTCTTTGGCATGGCAGTCGGTACCGCAGAGGGCTACGACACCGGTCTTCCGTGGTGGGGAGTTATCCTAGCCTTCGTCATCCCCGCAATCTACATGGTCCCTTGCGGCATGATCCAGGGTGTCACGAATGTGGATGCCAACCAGCTGAACGTGTTGTCTGAGTTCATTGGAGGTTACATGTTCCAGGGCAAACCCATTGCCAATATCCTCTTCAAGATTCTCAGCACAGATGTCGTCGGTCAGGGGCTGTACTTTGCAGCCGACATGAAGCTCGGCCATTATCTCAAGATTCCGCCTACGACTCTCTTCTTTGCCCAAGGTCTTGCTACCATCCTCGGAGCATTGACCCAGACTGGCGTCACACTTTGGATGTTGGGCAACGTCGACGGTATCTGCACCGAGGACCAGCCCAACGGCTTCTCCTGCCCCAACGGTCGCACAGTGTTCTCATCCTCAGTCATCTGGGGCCTCGTCGGACCCGCTCGCCTCTATTCCGTTGGCGCCATCTATTCAGGTCTCTTGCATTTCTTCTGGATCGGACTCATCTTGCCGCCGATTACGTACTTCATCTTCAAGAAGACGAAGTCTGACTTCATCCGTAAGATCAACTGGCCGCTCATCTTCGTTGGAACCTACAATGTGCCGCCAGCCACGGGTATCAACTATTCTTCGTGGTACATTGTCAACCTGATCTTTAACAAGATTATCTACCGCAAGTTCTACGCCTGGTGGAGCAAGTACAATTATGTTCTTGCTGCAGCATTGGACACTGGGCTCGCCATCAGTGGTATTGTCATCTTCTTCGCAGTCACATACGGTAAGTCATCCTACACAGCCCATTGAACTCTAGATTAACTTTGACCTTAGGCCCCAATGCACAGTTCCCTGATTGGTGGGGAAACACCGTCTGGAGTGAAACCGCGGATGGACAAGGCCTGCCATGGTTACAGATGCCGGATGTAGGCTACTTTGGACCTGCGAACGGAACGTGGTCTTAGAAATGCGTGCTCTCAGATTAGAACAAAGGCTATTAACGACTAAAGCGCGACACTGGACCGAGTTCAAAGAGTGGTCTCCCGTCCAGCAGGCCCTTGCCAAACATGCAACTAAAGAGAACACTTCGAACAATTTCACTTAGCCCAAGCGTGTCGATTCCTCCAGAATCCTTGATGATTGAGATAGCACCTTGAATGTGTTTCGAAGCCATGTGCATGTCACAAAGCATGATCTACAGCAGAAGGTCAGATTTATTCCTGGAGTATCGCACTTGGTGACAGGATACTTGAACCTAACAAGTTTGAAGTTTACCTACCTCGTCGAATGACAGCACCAATGCTTTCGCAACACCAGTACGTCGTAATGGTATTTCGCCAGAAAAGAGGGCACGGCGCAGGTCGCTTATGTGCTGGAGCTTATACTTGACTGCCCAGTTTCCCCACTCCTTTCCGTGATTGAGGGACAAATGACGGCTGGCTGCGAACAAGAATCCCTGGAGGAAGTCAACGTCGGTAGAACCACAGAGCAACCAGTTATTCCGTATGTGGTCGAAGTTCTCGCCGAGATAGCACAGCACAGGGCATTGCGAATCCATATTGGGAACAATGACTTGACCATCTACGACTCACCTGTCAGCATACAACACCCTTGCAGTGCCAATGACCTCGAGCGAGCTTCAAAAACGGCATAAAAGATATGTGGTGTCTTACAGTACGAAAATAACATTTTTTCTTCGGTTGTGGAAGACTTCAGAAAGCTAGCCAATGGCTCATGCTCAAATGCACCCGAAATTCTGCTTGGGATTGACGGCGCAGTCACATGTTGCGACTCAACGATATCTCTTTGTGGACGACTGAATTCATATTCTTTCCCTCCTTGTTGTCTCAAACTCATCGACCGACCATGACTTTCAGCTTCTATTCTCAATTCTGGATTGCTGAGATGGGCCAGCTGGCGCTTTCTTGATCGGGCATGGGTCACCCGTGCTGCGTGAGAGTGAGCCTGTCTCTTCAAGCGGGCTGAGCCTCTCTGGTTGGGATGCACCATTACAATGAATTCCATGTTGGTAATTCGGAGTGTAACAAATGTCAGGAAATTGCGTCTCAAAAGAATCACTTGCTACGGAAAGAAGTTACGACTACTAGTAGTTCGGATAACAATGGCCTTTAGCAACAAGAATAAGAGATACTTGTAGAAGAGACAGATCATAGGTAGGTAAGTAAACACTGATATTTGTCAGCGGTGAAGTTGATGGCTTGATGTAAGCAGTCAGCATTGCCAAGGTGTACTCCTACTCCATCGAGCTTAGCGGTTGACTCTATTCCAAATGAAGCTACCCTACTCCGTAATGCTTGGGGGCGACATAGTCTACATGTGGTACGGAACTTTGTCGACAAGCTGTCCGTACAAGGCTTCGAAAGCAGACACAATATCCTCTGGAAGCGGTCCTTGTTCGATCATGTCGAGATTGGTCTCCAGCTGCTCCGGGCTCGAAGCTCCAATGATTACCGAGTCGTCGTGCTCCTTGCTGAGGATACTGTGATACACCGTCCACCGAAGCGCCGCGGCATGGCCGCCGATTCCATGCTCAGACGCAACTTCGAGCGCCTTCTCCGTCGCCGCAATGATCGATTCTTTGACGTACATTCCTGCGTATATGCTTCCAACGGGAATCTTGAGCGTCATTAGACATCTGGTCAGTGTCTTACATCTTAGTCGAGACGAGTAGGAAAGTCTTACCGATGTATCATATCGCCCACCTGCTTTCACCTTCTTGTGGTTACCGGCAAAGAACCCAGCCGCAGCGGGGCTGTATCCGTAAAAAGCGATATCGTTTTTGCGCAAGACAGGGAACAAATCCTTCTCGCCTCCTCGCACGAGCGGATTGTAATGGCCCTGGTACGCACTTGGCTTGATGAGGTCTCGTTCCTGACAAATGTCGACAAACCGCTGGACCTCGGCAGCGGAGTAATTTGAGATCCCCCATTTCTTAATCTTACCCTGTCGGATCGCCTCATTCATCGCCTCACAGGCCTCTTCAAATGGTGTCGTTCGGTCCGGCACGTGCAGATACTCGATGTTGATCTGTTCGATCTTTAGAGCCTTTAGGGATTCGTCAATCTCTTTCAAGATTTTGTCCTTGGTGTGACACCCTGGCGATCTGGATGTGACCTTAGTGTCGATCGTGAAGCGCTCTCCCGCGTTGGCTGCGCCGAGCCTGGGTTCAGAGCTTGTAGGCGCTTTGGGCGAGTACATGCGCGAGGTATCAAGCTGGTTGTACCCGCGTCGAGCAAAGACATCGAGAAAAGCGTTCACTTGGTCGGGTGTGTCGTAGCGTGCCATGGGGTCGGCAGATGAATCTCCAACCTGCGGAAATCAGCTTTTTGGAGCCAGGGTAGATCCTTCTCACGCCGTGGGCAAGCTTACGTTCGCCACACCTAACACGAGGTTGATGGGCAGTTTGAGGGCGGATGACATTGTGGCTGATGAAACTTGACGGCAAAAGTGAGGGGAGACTGGCTTGTGTGCGATCGTGTGATTGCTGCACGTTGATGGGATTAATACATCTGAGAGGTTAGCTAGGAATTTGATGGAAATCTCTCTGGTTTAAATGGTTTCAAAGTCCGACTACCTTGTGGTTCTCAGAATCATCAGATGCATCTGACAATGCGCCCAGTGCTACTCCTTCTTGTTCGGGCAACTGCAACTATGAGCCACTGACTAAGACGGGCATCAATTCGTCAGCAAAACAAAGCTTACCCCTCTGGTCTTGCGTCAGGAAGTACCTATCTGGGCAATAAGCTATGTGACCATGTGTGACGCTTTGATGAGTTGAGGTGAACCTTCAGATGACCGGAGTTTCATGCCGTGTCCCGACGGACTCGACGGACTCGACGTACTACTTGTTGCATCTTACTAATCTCTATCAATCTGATGATCCGATCATGGTGGGGAGCTTCACGATTTGGTTAGTTTTCAGGTCTTTTAAGGTTTGAATCACAGCCTACTGCAGAAAACAGTAGCTTCGAAAGTGCAGAAGTTCAACAACGACATCACTCGCAGATATAGAATGACATCTCCGCGGAAAACATACCATGGCTTCACCCAATGGCTTCAAGATCTTCAGCGTTTTCCCAGTTCCCACATGTTTCAAGTACTTCAAAGTCAAGACATGCGAGTGCATTCAACTTTGAGCAAGGTGTTGCGAGAATTGTCACGTACAATGTTATATAACGATAATAACGGGCCACGATAGAGCTTTAACAGAACCAAACGTGACTTTTATTTGGTCATCGTCCAGATGAATGATCTAGTGCAGAATTTGGTTATTTCGCAGGTCTATATGAAAATCCAAAGTTTCGGAGACGTGAATTCTGGTCAGGTCGCGCGTCGAATGACAATGATCATGAGCCAAGATGAATTCATGATAGCATCGACGAGCTGGGCGGACGTCAGAACACGACCGGAGAGCCGAATAGCCCCAAGCTTTTCTAGATCAGGTATGATCGTGCCACGGCTCAGCTTATCATTTCATCCAATTCACACTTCTCTCCGTGGCTTGAGATGACCGCATGGGCTTCAATTTGATGTTTAAATCTGGAAGATTCTTATCTTAAACAAGACAACCAAGAGACTTGGCTGGCATAATGGTGCGCCCCAACGCCCTGGCCGTTTTGGTCCTCACTTCTCAAGTCTCAGTCTCAGTGCTACGCCGGCAAGGGTAATGGCTTTCGAATTGCACTGCCAGGTTCTTCTAATTTCACCTGAACGTTGGTATGCTTACAGGCTGTCTGATAGTTCTCTAGATGAAGTTTCCTAGTCGCTTAGCTAAGGGCTGAAGGGTGTAGCATCATACCCCATAAGAGGGCAACGAAACGAGCGCGATGGTCGCCTGATTGCTTCCGTCAACTACTGCCATATCTTCCGGCTCAGTTTGATCATCGACGGCAATCACGATAAATTTCGGCACAAAATTCTACAATATTTTTGTCCCCAGTGCCGAAAAAGGCGAGGACAGCCGTGATGTATGGGGCTCTCGCATATCCTTCATCTTCGCCGCGATGGGCGGCGCCGTCGGTCTCGGCAATCTCCTACGGTTCCCCTCAATTATCTACAACAATCACGGCCTTCAATTCTTCATTCCGTATCTGATTTCACTCTGCTGTCTGGCCATACCCACGTTACTTCTCGAAGATCAGCATTGGTCGAGCTTACAGGGGAGGTTGCGTCCTTGCGTGGCATCATGCCAAAAAGCGTGCCAAGGGCGTTGGATTCGGTGTCGTTTACATTGGCTACGCCATTGTCATTTACTTAGTTCCGATCATCGCCTGGATTATGACTTATTTCCGATACTCATTTCATAAAACGCTTCCATGTACAGGACGGAATACCGGATTCTTCGCGGGAGCAGTCCTCCAGAACGTGGACCCTATCGCTGGAAACTTAACAGCGAATGGGGGTACTGTCCAAGACTATACGGCTTATCCCGGCATGGGCATGGTTACCGAGACTACTTTGTGGAATCTGTTCACATGGTTTGGTCGGTATTCGTACCTGTGGTTGCATTCCCAAGTCGTCCATCGCTCCTTATGACTAACCTTTTCCAGTATACTAGTCGTGTGGCTATGCATGTTCAAGGGGATTGGAATCACTGGCCGAGTAGTGTACTTCATAATGGCAATGCCGATAATCCTCATGATCGTTTTGGTCGGCCGTGGGTGCTCTTTACCAAACGCTGTTAATGGCATAATAATCTGCTAGACTGAGTGGCATGGTAAGAAGCTTGCATCGGGCACCATCTCGCAAGAAGCTTGCGTTCAAGTCTTTTTTAGCACTGGAATCGGCATGGGGTGACGTTCCACTTCCTTGAGCTTTTGGAAGAGGACCTTCAACTGACGTGAGCTCCAGATACTACACGAGTAACGCTTCCTACAACCCCAAGTACTCCAATGCCGTCCAAGACGCTCTGATAATCTGCATCTCCAACTCTCTTATCGAGGTCATCGGCTCATTGTCTGTCTTCGGGATCGTTGGATACCTCGGTATGCACCCCGAAACCAGCAAAAGACTCAACACATTCGTCGTTGGATTACTCATATACCAGGAAGCCATCGCCGAGATGCCCGCCGCAAACCTTTTGGGGAGTTCTCTTCTTTGCGACGCTCTTCATCTTGGGTCTTGGTGACTTTGGTGACTATGGCCTGCGATACAGACTGGGGCAAGAAGTTCTCCCGCCCTTATGTATCGTCTGTCATTGTCGTTGCCTCGTTCCTCATCTCTCTACCATTCTGTACCGAGTTCGGATACGTTCTAGTTGACGCGGCGGATACTTGGATCAGTTATATGGCTCTATTCTGGATTGTGTGGTGCGAAGCTGTGTGCGCTACCACAATCTACCGCTTCCGCGATGTCGTTGATCAGTGTGGCTTCCTACCTTGGTCCTTGTGCAATATTCTTGGCTACATCGGAGGCACCATTATCGGTCTCGCTGTCGCTCATTTAGTATCTCCGGAAACTGGTCCTGGTGTTGATGTTGGTTTTGGAATGTTCGTCATCGGCATGGTCTCTTCGGTGCTGGTCTCGTCCGACACTATAGCTTACACACCTAAGTTCTTTTCAAAGAACACATATCTGAGACGCTTTTGGTATCTAAGATCCTACTCCGTACGTCCTCGCGTTCGGCCGTTCGCTGACAGTGTTGGTTTGCTTGCTTACTGATCCTCTTAGGGAACCAACTTCGCCGAGACCTAAATGCTACGATCTCCATCAATGGGCAGTGGAAGATCCCGACCATTTGGGGATTCATCCTCAAGTACAATACGGTGCCGATTGTGGCGATCATATTCTCCTTTTCCTACCCAAACTTCTATGCCAAGAATCGGATGGACCCGCTACACATTGCTGGGTTTGCCTTCATGCACAAAGTCCTTGTCAGTTCCCTCGTTGGGCTGATCATACCCCGCTGGTTCAATATCCTCATTCCTGAAAACAAGAAACTCGAGGGCGACGATCCTGTCATGCCTGGCGTCATCTTTTCGAGGGTCAACGCGGAGGGAACGCTCAATATTGATGGGGTGGCACAAATTGCCCATGATTCTACCATCGATGCTCAAGAAATCTGCGATGAGGGAAACCCTACCCGAGAAACAAGGTCGTCTGACGAAAAGATCGATGACAAGCAACAGTAAGGCGGTCAGGCACATGCATGTTTGAGTACCAAGTAAATGCCCATTATCACAAGTAAACAAGTGAATGCAAATGATGATGATTTGCGTCATAAGTCGCGCGGGCACGAGCCGCTCTCTTCGTGCCTCTATAGGAAGGTGATAAAGACAATGAACGATTCGCGGGCTTGGAGTCCTTGGCGTCAACACCCTAGATATGTCCACGTACTTCTGAAACGTAAGGAGGAGCGCCTTGAAAGACTAAGTTTCGGCTGGTGTGACTCTTGCTTTTGGGGGATTGGCCGCAGTGAGACTACGTGTTTTCCCTTGAAGGGTGCTGCAATAGCACAGAATCGAAGAGGTTGGTAGCCAGTCGATACGGGCTCTCCGCAACAGCATCCCTGCAAGCCAAGACCCCAATGCCGAAAAAGGATGGTGGTTTGTACACCGACGATTAATGAACGAATGACGGTCGTCTTTCAAGGAGGAGTTGATCGCCGGTGGTGTTACCTGCTCGTGACTTCATAAGAGCTCAGATGCGCTGTAATGGTCGTAAACTATCTTCTCCTCCCGTTGCTTCAAGTTTCGTTCCGTGATACTATCAATCCTCAGCATCAAGAAGAATCAATATGAAGGTGGTCAACCAAGTAGCAACGCTCTTCTTCGTGTATGAGTCCGTCAACCTTCCTCACAGAGACTTATCACTAACATCAACAGCGCGGCACCGATTGTTGCCCAGACCAGTTCAGAATCGTTTCTTTACTCGATCCTGCCAACTGATTCATTGACACCCCTTCCTACCCCGGTGCCGCTTCCTACCGTGGTGGAAGACGGCTGTCCCACCGCAACAGAGCTATCCCTGTGTCCCAGTTGTACCGGCGAGGCACCGCAATGCGTTACGGTGTCGACTCTGACGCAATCATGCGGCTGCCCTAGTGTAGCTGCGACAGAGAGCTTCACATTCGGCTGCGACAAGAGTGCCTGCCCTAGGGTTGGCTGCAGCACCAGCTACACCATTGTCTCTGGCGAGGAGGCATGCACAGGTAGTGCAAGCGTGTCTGGCACGGCCGTAACGACCGACGTGGTCACGGTGACAACGACACATGCCTCTACAGCCGCGACGGGCTCGCAAGCCGGTACGGCATCAGGTGCCTCGGGGTCCTCGGCTTCTGCTAGTGCGACACCAAATGCGGCAGGAAGACTGGCCGTCCCTTTCAAGTTTTGGTAAAAAGCACTTGAGGATTATGTTCTCATACATGGATGAAATGTATAAAAAATGGCTGCCTTAACAGCGCCCCCGAACCTTTCTGTAGAATGAATGATAGTGTGGGATTACCCAAAGGCAGTCTCTCTTCGCCTGATTTCGTATTTTCAAGGCATACACGTGCCCTGAGTAGCTCTTAATATCAGGTTGACATAATGGAGACTCAAGTTGCTGTCCACGTTTCGGGCGTCCATGACTCCGGGCTAAAGTCTGGCCAGTAAAGTCCCTGAGCTCCATCGTTGTAAATCGACGCATCTATGAACTGCAAGTCGAGGAGTGGCTGCGCCAGAAGCTCCTGCAACGACGGTTCGTTAAGTGCCATACCAGCGGTCGTATTTTGCTCCGCGAAAGGTTGATTGAGACTGACTGCAGCATCCGTGAAAGCAGCCGTCGTATCGCTCAGCAAAGCCGTCGAGTCTGCCGCCATGGCGAAATCACCACGGCGTACATGAGCTGCGGCCATTGTAGGCTTCATGGCGTCGATGTGATGGCAGAACTCCTCGGCTGCATAGTTACCATTATCTTTCAGCTGGGACAAGAATTGAGCAGCTTCTTCAAATTGTTCCCTATCGTTTTGACTCTCCTTTCCGCTTAGAAGGCTAGATGCCGCCAGGATGGTGGCAGCCGAAAAAAGGTACTGAGTGTAGAAGTAGTCAAACGTTGCAAAGGAGCCGTCGATCCAACATTCGGTCAGAAGTCGACAAGTATGACGAGCGCAGCGTATGCAAGTTTCTGCCAGAGTCATGGCGGTGGCCGGGACTCGAGGTTCTGGGGTCTCTGGTGTTCCCCAAGACGCTACATGTGTTCGCAGCACGTGGAGCAGAATCGGACGGGTAGTGCTGATAGCACACTGGAAGAAGTTAGCGGGTTGATACCCCCTCTGGTAACGATAGCCTGGCTAATTACCTGATTGAAGTTAAGATGCAGCGAGATTGGCTTTGGCATGCGTTCCGATGTAGGCTTTGAGTCGATGTGAAGCTGCGGCGGTAACTCCGCCGACCACCCACGAAGATCCTTCAACGCCTCTTGAACTCTGTGGGATAATGACGTGTCTTGTGCTCTTCTTCGATATATGGAAGGCACCACCTTTCCCAGTAAACCGGCGAGCTTGACACTGGCAACGAAGTAGGATGCATCGGCAAAGTCATCCGCTGTGTTATCGTCGACAACCGGGTTCGATGGCAAATCCACTTCAATATCGATGTCTTGGACGGCAACGGGGTGGCTTAACTTGGCTGCCCACATCCTGTCAAAGATGTAGGCTGTCCACCATACCCTGACTCTATGCTCTCGGGCGGCTGCATCCCTGAGTTGAGATTCAGGAACGTTCAGATGAAGGCCCATGACAACGGCAAGCCTGGTTGCGGAGCCGGCAAAGGTATAGGCAGTATGTCGTCGGTTGAGCGCGAGGGAGTAAAAAGACTGTCAAGACTCAGAAAAGTTAAACCACACAACACAGTCTTGTAGCGATCTTACCAGTAACAATCGTAACTCAACAACGTCGATTCTCGGTCGTTCGCTCACGATGCGCAAGATGCGGGTTGCCCGTGCAAAGTAGCCCATGCCAGGGAAGTGCTTTTCTGACGTAGCAGACCGGGTCGAGTACATGGCGCCAATAGCAAACATTGCCCACAGCTTACTTTTGAGAAGGGAATCGCTTTCAGCTGGGTTCTGAAGTGTCTGTTCTAAGGTATCCAGAATAGAACTCTTTCGGATAATGTGGTAGCAGCGGCTAACATATCTCAAGGCAACTCCGACAAGAAAACGTGCTCTTGCCGGGCTAGGCCAGGGGCAGTCTGTATCAGACAGAGCGAGCAGCCTCTCGTCTGTGGCGTAGTTCACCCGCGGGATGTGACTGCTCTCGGCTGATGATATCGCTTGACGGAAGCGGGTAGCGAATGCGGCGTCTGAGGCCTCGCCAATGAGAATCGGCGTGTGAGGAATATTCATGTCGAAGAACCATGGTCGTTCATCAAGCGATGGCGCTGGTATGGCAGTCGCGTTGCTGTCTGCTGTCTCTTTTATTGGGGCAACGACTGTGATGTCTGGGAGCAGGTTGGCTGCTCGAGGTTGACTTCCAATGCTCCCATTGCTCTTCAACCGCTGATTTTCGGCAATGAGGTCATCGATGTAGCTATGGGTCATTTAGTTGATAGTTCTTTACACTTGTCGCTCATAACCCAGAAGTGTTACATCCAAGGTAGGCAGGCTACGACTATAACATACCGTTGGCTAACTTTGACCATGCGGTTTCGTCGAGGGTACGTGCATTCTGCGCCCTTGCTTGCTTGGCGACAATTCTCACACGGTTGGCCACCCGAACACCTCACTTTGCGAGAGTGACACCTACGACAGCTGATATGGCGAAAACGCTGGTGTTAACCACGAGGGAACCTTCCGCAGCTTTGCGGCGCGGCAAGTGATACTCACGCGGTAGGTTTGGTTTTTGGTCGGGATGAAGCCGACGAGGATACCGGGTCGGACCTCAAAGCAACCCTGTCTTCCGCACTGGACGCGTCGCCTTCCGATGTCATGGTGGTCTATCGGTATGCCGGATTAGGATACTGCCCTCGTGAGGTCCGATGTTTTCGGGAAACGTGAAGGGACTCCGAGGGGCTCAATGGATATTGGAAGACACCCTGTCACCTTCCAAAGTTCCTATAAATTGTGACGTATCCTGGAATACCATCGCTGGCTGATAGTCATCAGCACTAGTTTGGTAAAAGTTTCTTTGTTGTCACAGCGAAACGTTTGGGGGTAAAGACTCTGGCCTAGCCGAGATATGTCGGCATAAATGGCGCATTACGCCGAGAAAGGACTGTGATTTCTCCACATAATCGGCAAGATCCTAATTTTGCCGAGATTCCCGTCATGATCTTTACCCCACAAACTGTCCAGGGGGTTAACCAGTTTCCCAAGTCGGCTTCATGCCATGTTGCCGACTACTCAGACCAAGCAACCAACCACCGGCGCCCTATTTTATTCGCATTTCCGTCACAAGCCCGGACCGGGCTTGATCACGTCGCCTTATGCGTGCATCACGTCGCCCTACAAGGCCCACTTAACGAAACATTTGAGTCAGAGGAAATGTAGTGAAAAAATGGAAGAAAATTCGCCTGCCGAAGGGGTTCCTCCCGACCGGCGGAGAGCTGCAGGAGTCCGAGACTATATACACTCGGAGGATTCCCCGATGCATTCTGGGTCGTTTGACGATACTTCTGCATAGAGATCAGCTTACTTTCCTTTCTTTAATGAGAGTTCACTCGCCATGGATTATTCAAATGCCGAAAAGCCAGACGGCGTGACCGCCGCTGTCAAGATCCCTCATCTCAGCCCCGATCCGCTGACCGGCCCCATTCCGGCCGCGGCCGCCCCTCTTCGGCCCGTGGCTGCAGCAGATGATGAGGTGATGGAGATGCCAACATGGAAGAAATGGGTGACACTTGCGGTTGTTTGTTGGATGGCCTTGCCCGTCACCTTCTCCGGCAGCTCCATCTTGACAGCGACGTCCGAGGTTGCTGCTGACTTCAATGTCTCAACGCATGCCATCACCACAGCGAACGCTGGCGTGTTCATCGCCATGGCTATGTCTGCCTTGATATGGCTGCCTACTAGTAACATTCTTGGCCGCAGAACAACATACCTCGTTGCCAACTGCCTCTTGACCCTGTGTTCAATAGGTTCGGCACTCTCCAGTAGCTTTGCCTGCTTCACGGCTATTTGGGTCATAGGAGGAACAACGGGCCCTTTCTTTCTAGTTGCCGGACAAACCATCTTGGCAGATATATTTGAGCCTGTGAGTAAGAAATAAGCTTCCTTTTTCTAGTCTATTGAGTCTAACAGTTTTCAGACAACTCGCGGAACTGCTGTGGGTTGTTTCTTGGGAAGTTGCGTGGCGGCAAACGCAATTGGTAAGTTAATAGACCATAATTCTGCGAATGAGCCTTCAAACTGACAGTCTTCAAGCGCCATTGACGGGAGCTGTCATCGTGACCTTCACCAGTTGGCGAGTCATTTACGGGGTCCAAGCTGGCATGACATTCGTCGGTCTCATCATGGCCTTCTTCTTCGTGCCAAAAGCGAGCCAACTGGCGCATCTGAAGATCGCCGTCGCAGAAAGAGCTCCTATCCGATCTATGGGTGACTTGGCTCACGCATTCAACCCTATGGGTGTTCTTCGTCAATTCAAATATCCTAACATCGTTGCAGCTGTGAGTTACTAGGCCCTCTCCCCATTGCTCAACTCCCTTTCACCACTTCTGACCTGTATTGCAGAACTTTGCCTGCGGACTCCTGGGATTCAACCAGTACGGTCTTCTGAGTTCTATCCGACGAGTCATCAACCCTCGTTTCGGTCTCACCACCCCTCTTATCAGTGGTCTCTTCTATCTCGCCCCCGGAGCAGGTTTCCTAATGGGAAGCACGATCGGGGGCAGAGTCTCTGACCACACTGTGAAGCGATACATCCGAAAGCGCAATGGTCTTCGCCTGCCTCAGGACAGGCTCAAGAGCAGCTTGCCGGCGATCTTCGTCGTATTGCCTGCCGGCACCTTGATTTATGGATGGAGCGTACAGAAGGAAGTAGGTGGAATAGCTTTGCCTGTCATCAGTTGCTTCTTTGAGGGCCTCGGTCTCATGTGGTCCTTCAGTGGTTTGAACACATATTCCGCCGGTAAGACTTTCATGGCACCTTAATTGTCACTTGGGCCAAGATTAATCTCTTTCTCCAGAGGCAATGCCCGAGCGTAGAACAGCTGTCATCAGCAGCAAATACATTGTCCAGTACAGTTTCGGAGCTGGCAGCGTTGGCGGCCTAGTGCCGATGATCGACGCCATTGGAGTCGGCTGGTCTTTTACGATTAGTAAGTCCCTCAGGTTGCCTGTTTTTTCCCTTTTAATATCCCATACTTTACTGACCATAACTTAGCCGCATTCTCCGCTCTTCTAGCCGGCGTTCTGGTCTTGGGTATCTCCAAGTTTGCATCAAGGGCTCAAAATTGGGCAGAAAAGAGCAACAGCGATGATTCAGATTAAAGTTGGATTAGATTCAGGCCTGACGCTGCGGAATTGCATTTTTTTGGGAGTACATTGGCATAGCGAATGGCGTTTATGGGGTCCCATTTCAATGTTCTGGCCTTCATTCAAATTGCCGTCTTTTGCTCCTTGTCCAGGGCACCACCATTTATCTCCCGATTCCGATATGAGTCAGGCCAGAAAGGGCACACAAGCAGGTTCCGTCACAAGAGAAATGAAATCTCAAACATTCAATATCGTCTGTCTGACCCAGCATCTGAAGGGATGAACGGGACGCCTTAGATTGCATGGGTACCTGATGTGGCGTCTCGTTACGCCCGTTGACAGGCGGACAAGGCATCTGAGATGCATGAATCCTTCAAAGCCTACTGGCTCTTAATCTTGTCAACCAATGAGTATATAAAGCCTTTGGTACAGTGGCACAGCAGTCGTTTCGCGGCACTGCCACAGAAGCTGGCCTGCCAATTCGTCCGACCGACCTAGAGCCGCCGCAGAGCTGAGAGGCAGGGCATTCATGTTGTTCGATTCCGGCCACCGCCCCCCACCAGTTTTCCACACTAATCATACCAATTCACTTCCTCGCCATTGAGGCCACGAGCATCAAACCGTTTCTATGCGCGATCGACTTCTTGCCGGGCGTCTCTACTCTAATGGTTCCGGTTCTATAAACGTCGACGGACAAGTCGTCTGGACCTCAAGACAATCAATGGGCAAGAACAATGCCGAAGAATGCCAAATATTCCGACAGCGATAGTGTCACGAGATATAGGTGAGGTTAAAACTGCCCATAAGAAGTGGTCCAATTTGTGTGACAGGTAGCGACCGTGGGAAAGTTGAGGTCTAATTTCCGTCTAGCTCAAGCCATATCAGAATTCGGCGCCGCTATCCAGAGCCGCAAAGATGACGCTCACATCCGGTTCAAGAATCTACAGACGAGAAGTCCGTCAAACGCGACGGAGGTATTGCGATTGACGGAGGAGATCAACAGCGATGGAGCTCGTCACCATGGCGCTTGGAAACTCTACGCTACCCGCCTTGTCAACGTTTGGGACAGAATCCGTCAGTTTGCCCCGTAGGTGATGTGCTCGTTGGAGGTGCCCAGAATCTCTTGGCTTCCGGCGTCTGGGCAATAGTCAGGATGACTCTCGAGATATGCAGTGTGCCATTCTAAGCATCCATCACTGAGCCTTACTCTTATCGCGCTCACAGGCCCTCTTGAGAAACTGATGAAAATCACAGGAACCGGTCAGCTTCTTGCCTTATTTCGACGAGGTTTCAGCCCTGCTACTAAGGATTGGTGTTTCGATCTCACTGCAACAAGACTTTGTACTTCTCTTCACGACGTAGCCGAAGACTCAAAAGTACATTGGCGAATATACATGTATAATCGTTTTCGTTCACATCTGTCAGAAGATCACCGTCGATGCTCAAAAATCATTTGCTTCCCAGTTCGCAAATGTCTATCACTTCTTCGTTCAACGCAGTTTTCAAATCTCTGGAAGACGAATTGCTATCATGGGGTCAGTTCGAAGACCGCGTCTCAGTTCTCGTTGCAAGAAGCAGTATTCAAAGTCACTCATCTACCTTAGTGCCCGGATATACCATCACGGAGGGACAAACGAGAAGGGGTTAAAACATAAATAGGTATTCCTCAAAAAAGGTTTAATTTGAATTGGTCGGAATCCTTCCCAGGTCCCAATAATCGTCATAAGCCGTTGCAGTAACTTTTGGACAAAGTCGAAGATACACTGAGTGTGGCTGAAATATCGTCGAGTGTAACAATAACTAGAAAACTACGCTCTAATTACCACGTTTTGGCTGTCGCCATAAGTGGCCTAATCGCAGCCAGAGATGCGAATCTAGCAATCCCGTATTGCCGTATGTAGTTCATGTTCAGTTGATGACTTCTGTCCGGAGGAAAACTCAGGTTGCATCTCTTGATACAGCTTTTGGAAATTAGGTTAACTTCTTGTGACGTATATGAGCCGATCCATAAAGGCAGTATGACTTACAGGTCCCAATGAACAAAACTGGCTGCATTATGTTCTTCCCTACAAAGCTCCATACAAAGAGTATACAGGTTTTTCTCTGTCGGAGCAAGTGCATCATCATCATTCCGTGAAGCCAGATTTTCTGTGATAGAACTTTTCTGAATTCGATGTATGATATTCCTTTGTGAACTGTCAGTTACTGGATTTGTGCTTGATGTTTGATATGATTTTACCTTGCAGAGAACACCGCATCATTTTCCTCGGCCCTATCATGTTTCAGGTTATCCCTGACAAGAACTGAGCGTTTCTCGATAGGACCTGTCATTGTCTGTGAGCCACCTCGGAAGATGTCGCCGGCCTCGCCAGCATTCTTTACAAGAACAGCATAGGAGGAAAGAGCGGCCCAGACGGTGAGAACAAGAAGGTGAGAAAGTGCCGTAGTCCTCATTTTTGACGGAGTAACCAAGATCTTGGAGAACTGTTGAAAATGTGATCAAGAGCTAACAATAGCGTTGGCTGAGGTAGAAGTCTGTTGAAGGTCTTGCTTTGTGGGGGTTGTTCAAAGTTAAATACTCGACTAAAGCCCTTTACGCATTTCGGTTAGTGATCACTGATTTGCCTCACGGCAACATGTTTGCTTCTTGGTACTGAAGTATCAATGGAGACATCGAAGACAGTTGTGGCCTTGACAGAAATCAAGATCACAAGGAAAGCAAACACTGATCGAGGTTTGAAAAAGCGACCATGGTCTGCTTGGCGGCCAAACGAATCATGTAACATGTTGTAAACATGAGAGTCTGAAGATCACAGCTTGGTGCTTGAGGTACAGAGTCTTTGAGCACTTTGTTTGCTTCCCCAACTTGTTGCCTGCAGTGTGTTGTGTTATCGCTTACCAATCGACCCAGAAACGCCACAAAATTAGGACATTGCAAAAAGTCAGAATTTCACGCTTATGTGACGAGATGCTGTCTTTCAGACAGGTGATACAACAATGCAGGGTGTCCGCAGGGGTAGGCAATGCAATGGGAACAATGGATTATTATGGTGCAAACAGCTGAGTAGCTTCATGTAGTCTCTAGGAGATATAAGCAGCTCGAGAATCTTTGATTGCCTCATCAAGCGATGTATACACCGGTTCTGGGCTTTGGCATCCGACAAATCAGCAAAGTTTGCTTTCCATACTTGCTTGATAGTGATCTAGGAATGAATAGAAGCCCATGTAATTTTCGACAAGAAAGATCGGCAACATAGCAATTGACACGAGGACGATCATTGCAGCTTGCTTGCTTTCGAAGTGATGAGCTGGAAATTGCTCTTGGCCTTTATGGCAGCTTGTCATGCTCGAAGTAGCAACTTCCCGGATGTGCAGCCCTTCATTTTGAGTATAAGTACTCGGTCTGCTTGCCATAGAAGAAAGCACCATCCCAAAGACTCAATCACTGACGAGTCCTAGAATAAAGCGGCTATTTTCTCCAGTCCCTAGCAAGATGCGTCTCATCCAAATTCTCCTTCTGGCCCTCCTTGCTGAACCCTCCTCAGTTCTCGGGGAATGTTACAAATCAGGACCGCGAACAGGATACGCCAACGATAACGACGTTCTAGATCTCGGCGTTGTGTGCGGCTTGCTTACAGGTCTCTACAACAAGGGCGAGTTCCGACGGATTTGTGTGCATGACAAGAATGGCATCAAGTGGGACATTGAGCTGAAGGTATCGACTCTATTTCTGCAGATTTGCAGTTGATTCTGACCTTTCGCAGTATTTTGGCAGCGGTGCAACGCGTACCATCCATAGCCCTGAGTGCGTGAATGGCTTCTCAAAGGAAGCAAAGTGCGCGCAAGGGGGGCGTACGGCGTACGGTAATTGGGAATACACGTAAGCTTTCACAACCCTCATGACACTGGGATTTAGCAGTAAGCTTATTGTATGTACACAGGGCCGATCCAAATAATGGACGCTGCTTTCGTAACCCAGATATTTAGGCTGGCTATAGGGAGCCCAAGGTCGTTTCATGCTGTGTTGTACAGTCTAGCTCCTCCTATAGGAGCGTTGCCTCAAAGCCTCTCATTACTACCTGCCCAGTGGTAACTCCCCGTCAAGATGGGCGCTAGTCTCGGATACTTTGGATACATTGAAACCAATGTCAATGTCACAATGGAAACAGTACTGCATGGAATCGCTCGATGGACCTTCTGATGCGTGTCCCCGAAACAAGGATTAACGGAATGGCCACCACATTATTCGCAAAAACACTCGCAATTGGGACTTGTGCATTTCCATCCTTGTTTTCCTTGCCGTTGGCACTATCATATGAGCGCGTTAGCAACGGCCTGAGCGTGTGGTGTTGTAAATAGTAAATACCTCGGCGGAGCATCCGCCATCAAATCCACCACACCAAGTCATGAAGTCGCATCCATATCGTAGATTGTACTCGAAGTCTGACATGGATCCTTGCGGAGGGGGCCAGGTGAAAGAAACGTCAGAGGTAGCACTGGCGGCAGTGATGGTACAGGCCATAGCCCAAGCCCACAAGTAGCGATGGTACAACATTCTTGTCTGCGGACCACAATATGTAAACACAAACACCTGGTGTGGACTTGTATTGAAACAAATGATCTTCTGAAAATGTTCAACCTACGCACTATAAGAAGAATTGTCATCCTTCAGCCTACCTTGTGCATATAACAACATCTTATAGACATTGGAGACTAGCAGTAAGGCATCAGAGTGGTTATTCGAAAAGATATCGCCGGTAATTTATCAACCCGCAAAGTGGGCTTGTTGGCGAAGCATGAAGACGGTGACCTCTCGATGCCTAGAATACCCACAAAGGATAATTAGTACTGTGGGTAGCGCACTTTACTCGTATTCGAAGTGGAAAAAGTACCATCTGACGTGTCACAAGAATTGGCCTTGGTGGGCAGACTCATCCTGTTTCATTTCAAGCCATTGTTAGGTATTAAAACGGGATATGCTTCCTGCTTGCCATTATTCGCGATGGCATCGTCCTCATACACTTCATATCTTCTGAATCACACAATATCTTGTTAATCTGGCGAGAAAAGCCATAACACGCTAGGAATATAATGTGTCAAGTCGATGCATACGGCTTAGTTAATATGCGTTAGTCAACCGAGAACGAGGTTGAGGTGTGTGCCAGGAATAGAGTTCATTAGCTCGCGGGTGTATGAGAGAAGCTTAACTCTACCGATGAGATCAACAATGTGTAGCTTGACTCCGATGAAGCCGTGAATTGTCTGAAGGGTGAGGCAAATTTTTTTGTCATTGGGTACTCGGCGGCGCATCATATTGAGTTCTGTTTGCAATCTACATCGACGTACAAAGTACTAGGTAATGTTATTACCTCATTGATGATAGCAAGAAGTATCAGGGGGTCTTCTCAACAGAACACTGAGTTCATCAAACGTATCGCAGTAGCCGTAGATCCTGTAGATGAGAAGCAACACCACAAGGAATGAGCAGTAGTCACATGCCGCATTCTCGGGAGGATCCGACAACCAACAAAAGTTCCCTACAGGTAGGCCTTGCATAGAGGTAGACCGCGGGTCAAGCTAACGCGACATGGTTGAATTATGTCAGCAAGCTTTACTTTGGATGGATCAATAAGAATTTCTCTCCGGCCCAGGGTGGTTGACTGGGGTCTCGCTTGAAGGCTCCTCGAGGAGGGTTAAGAAAGTCGGGATGAAATTCACACTTAATCGCCGTTTGGGTGGGGATCCGGCGCCTATAGCACGGAGGACCCTGCGGGGCAACGCCGGAATGCGCTAAACTTAGCAGACTCGGGGGTGGGAAATGCAAAACAGGGGGCTCTTCTCAGCAGGCTGAGACGAGCAGAAAATAAGTCTTGGGGTTTGCCTTGTGGCGGCCAGGATAAGCCGATCCGATAACTGGGTTTGGCAGGCTGACAGTAGCCGACCAGGGAGGTTGAGATGGCTGGTGACTCATGAGTTGCTTGAAGCGGCGATACCTTATGATGGACTGGAGTACGTATCTCGTATCTGCACTTTCTTTTAGGCAATGATATACCTATGAGGGTGAGTGAGTTCCAGAGTGAAGAGGTCCATATGTCTTGGTGAGCACCTACCCTTAGTACCAAGGAGATAACGGTCCGGCACCTATCTTGATGAGAATCAATCCGGTAACGGCAATGGACCGACTTACGGAGAATTTCATTAGCAAGGAAGGCAGGAAGGCAGGAAGGGAAAGATGTCTTGCGTGCTTGCATTTTTTTTTTTTTTTTGATCTGCCGCCACTGGTCAAACTGTCTCAGGAGGCAGGAGCGCAAGTGACGTAGATGCGGAGAATTTGCTGAGGAAGGTGCACCTCAGAGGCTCAGTCTGACTCCTGCAAAAAAAAAAAAAAAAAGGCGACCGCCCATGTTGGTTGGTACCTTACCTTACGGAGTAGGAGCGTAGGAGCGTAGGACAAGCGTGGAAAGGCGGGGCAGATTAGGTAATTGCCGCTCACCGACGCCTCCTCGTCGCTGGTCTCACCATCTCACAGAGGCACAGAGGCAAGCCGCCAGAGACCGCCAGAGAGGTGCCGGTCTCACAAGTGACAGGAGAGAAAAAGAAGAATTTGGAAAGAAAGGACGGCAGACTTTCTGCCCCGCAATGTCTCCACAAATGTCACCGTCACCGTCTCTCTGTCTGTCTGTCTGTCTGTCTGTCTGTCTGTCTGTCTGTCTGTCTGAGTCTCCTCCTCTTTTCTCCTCCCAGTGTCTTTCATGGAAGGTACGGATTCGTGGGCCGCTTCCATCTCCAGCAAAGGAAGATTCCTTCTCCCCTCTCAAACTGCATTTACTCGACTCTTCCCTGTCAACAACCCCTTGTTCTTTCCGTCTGCCCCCCCCTTCCATTCTGCCCTGCAGGAATTCCCCACTCCTTCGTCCTGGTCTTCCCGAAAATCCCCATCTGCGTATCTGCGTCCGCCGTCTTGTGTGTGCTGTTGCTGCTGCTCACATTCTCGTCGTCCCAAGGAACAAGCCCGGACTTTTTTTCTCCCTCGCATCCAGTTCGCTTCGCTGCCTCCTTGCCCGACGAATCATCGAAGTCTAGAACGAAATCAAAGACAAGCGACACCCAACGACGCCATTACCACTGACAAACAAGCCCTGCTTGTTCCCGGTCACCGACGAAGCGAGGACCACCCAACAGCGTTCCCCCTCTTTCGTCGTCACTCACTCGGTCGGTCGGTCACCGCATGCACCTCGTCCCGAGAGTGGAATTAAGGAATTCGCACCCATGTCATGGTGATGCCACATATTGCGACCTATCCATGTCCAATTCCTCCCGTCTGCCAGCCACGACTCTGCTTGACTCCAGCCTATTATTCGCTGATCTGACTTGCGAGCGACCTCACGCAACCTTTCGCTGCTTTGCGGATCGGATACCTGCACACGCTTCCCGCCTGGTCTGATTCACCACCTAATAGCTGTGCTACCTACGGACCCCGGATAATTGCTGGACCACCACTACTGCAGACCTACCCAACGCGACGTTGCACACACCGCAAACGCTGTCACGGACAACACACCACCAACCGCCGATAAATCACAAATCCACTAGACAACTCCTATCCCCGAGATTCGAGTAGAGCCCTGCTATCTACGACCGCCGATCAAAGACTTTTGACCTTGTTCACCGACTCACAACAATCACCTACTCCTTGGCAACTCGACTCGCGCCAAAAGTCCATCTTTCGACCTTATCACCTCGATACTCGCCTCCGATCGCAATCTCGTTGGGAAGTGCTAAAACACGGCCCTCATATATACGACCGCGTCCGTTACCTGGCTTCTCAGCCGCCGTCGATCTACCCGAATTCAATAGTCTGACTGCCGACGATACCGCCTCGATCACCACGATACATCCCACAAACCACCAAAGCATGACACGATGGATCCCCCCGACCCCTTGCCGCTCCGAATAACGAGGAGCGCCTCCTCTTCCTCGTCACTCCATTTCAAACCGCGCGACAGAAAACTTCACCTCTTAGTGGCCGCCAATGGGCCCCGCGACATATCATGGGCACAAGCTCTCGTTGTCCGTCTCTCCAAGAGTTCGGCCATTGAAATGCGCGCCATCGTCGACGATGCCGTGCCCCGCCTTAGCCAGACTGTCATCACCATGCAGAACCGATCCATGACATTACCGCTGTGTCCGTCGCGTGCCGGCTCCGAAGCAGACGTTGACGATATCGAGTTCTACCGCCAGCAGGCATTCGAGCTGGTCGAGTGGGCTGATCTCTTGGTTCTCGCCCCGATTGACGCCGACAACATTGCCAAGATGATGGTGGGGATCGCCGATACTTTCCTTCTTGAGGTCCTTCGCGGCTGGGACACGACAAAAAAGGTGCTCCTCGTCCCTGGAATGAGCACGCACATGTGGGAGAATCCGGTCACTAAAAGGCAGTTGAACAAAATCAACAGCAAATGGCCTTGGATACGAGCTATGCCACCTATCCTTTGGCACTACGACAGCTCGCATAAACACCCTAAGCGAATTGTCAACTGGAACGGCTTTAATGATGTGTTGGGCATCATCAAAAATCAAGCGGACCTGCTGGGCCTGGGTCGGGATGTGGACGTCGTCACCCACCTGGGCTACCTCGCCTCAGGTGACCCGCGAGTGTACTCCAATTTACCGCCTGAGATCTGGACTATCATTCTCGACTTTGCCGATGACTGGGAGTTAGCGCAGGCCTTGGGGATTTTCACCAACATACCCATGCCATATCCCTGGAAGCTGCAACCCAGGAACCCCAATGATCCCCTAAAGGTCTACGAGCACGAGTTGGAGTGGATTGTACTTACAGGGGACTCAACCTCTATCTGCAAAAAGCTGCTTCAGTCACCGCCTACCTTCCACGAACTCCCGGCACTGGTCATCAAACTTCTTATCCGCTTCTCACTCATCGAAGTCCTAACCTGGATGGAAGCCAACCGTCCTGATCTCTTCCAGGCTTTTGACGGCAAGGTCCTCGCGACCAAGGCTTCCGCATACTTTGGACGACCCGACGTCCTCGACTACTGGAAGGAGAGCCGAAACTTCCGTGGCCGCCACCAACAGTGCTACGACGCCGAAGTCCTCGATGGCGCGTCCAAGAACGGCTATATACAGATTCTAGACTGGTGGTGGCGTCGCTCTGGCTTACCGCTTCGCTTCACCGAGGCTGCTCTCGAGCAGGCCAGTGGAAAGGGTCATCTTCTCGTGCTTGAATGGTGGCGTGATGCTGCTGCCCAGGACGAGAACATTGTGCTCAGGCCTGGGAAGTCATTGCTGTGGGCAGCCCAGCATGGCCAGGTTGACGTCATACGTTGGTGGGTGGCCTCTGGCATTCCCGTTGCCAATGGAGATGGTGTAGCAAAGATTGCTTCACGGTGGGGCCAGGTCGGTGTTCTTGAACTTTGGAGGAAGCTCAAGGGCGACGACAAGCTTGCTTTCGATGGCGAAGTCCTCGTTCAACCTACAATCCACCAGCACATTGGAGTCTTGGAGTGGTGGCGCAAATTTGCATATGGCGAGCTTGAAGGAATGGAAGGACGGAAACACCGCGTCGAATACCGAACCTGCGATATCGAAGAGGCGTTAGAGGACAGCATCGGCGATCAAGAGCCGGTACGGAAGTGGTGGGCTGGTAACGGGCTCAACCTGAGCATTCGTAATCTGGAGTGGATGAGGCCAAGGTATCTGTAGGACTATCATGACACATTTACGGGCGTGGGCAGCATTGCTTGGATAGCACTACACATGGCGCCTGGACGTTTCTAGCATCAACATGGGCTCGAAAAAGTTTGGCGTTAACGGGGATTCTCTAGGCGTTAGGGAGCGATACATGGTTAAGGAATATGATTCAAATTATAGACTTATTCTCTTGATATTTATTGACACACTCGCGTTACAAATTTGTCGTTCTTACTCCTGGTATGTACTACCTACAGCTGATTTTCAGATCACTAGCGGCGCTGCAACGAGGAGGCCCGCAACCAAGACGGAGCCGTCAAGATATCGTCCCAAGAACGCTGCAGCCTGGGCTGACGTCGATGTCGGTGCCGCGCTTGTCGTGGTTGTCCCCGACCTCGTTGTCGACGACGAAGATCTTGACGACGATGATGTCGGTCCATCATCACCGCCATCAAGTGTCTGCGTGGGCTGAGGGAAATCTCTCAGAGACGTCGTCCCCGCTTCGCTACCAGGTATCGTTGCGAGCAAACTGGACGTCGCGCTGGTATCATCACCACCTCCTCCTCCGCCGCCGCCGCCGCCACCTTCACCGTTGGGGTTTCGACATTTCTTGTCCCCGACACAGGTCAAGCCGGCATTGCAGAAGTATGTCTCGCAGCAAACCTCCCCGGACGGCATACATCCCACGCCACAGGGTGTCTGGCCAGCCGCACACTGGCTTCCTCCTCCACCACCGCCGCCGCCGCCGCCGCTGCTACCCTTATTGCACTTCTTATTTCCCATACACGTCTCTCCGGCGTCGCAGTAGTAGGTGTCGCAGCAGACTTGACCAGCCGGCATACATCCCGTACCGCAAGGAGTCTCGCCCGCCGAACACTGACTTCCGCCGCCAGATCCGCCGCCCTTGTCGCACTTCTTGTTCCCGAGACATTTCTCGCCAGCGTCGCAGAAGTATGTATCACAGCAGACTTGACCGGCCGGCATACATCCCGATCCGCAAGGAGTCTGACCAGCTGCACATTGGCTTCCACCTCCTCCACCACCTCCTCCACCGCTATTACACCGTTTATCGCCCACACAAGTGTTTCCAGCAGGACAGTAATACGTCTGACAACAAGTCTGTCCCGAAGGCATACACCCAGTTCCACACAGCGTCTCGCCAGCTCCGCACGAAGTGCCTCCACCACCGCCGCCGCCTCCTTTATTGCACTGCTTGTTGCCCACACAGGTCTCCCCGGCAGGGCAGTAGTACGTCTGACAACACGTTTGTCCAGAAGGCATACACCCAGTCCCACACAACGTCTGCCCGTTCCCACAAGAACTACCTCCTGCCCCGCCTCCGCTGCCGCCAGAACAGAACCCATCACCAGTACACGTCTTCCCGGCATCGCAGTACCCTCCATTCGAACAACATACCGTGCCAGAGGGAATACATAGCCCATTGCAAAGCACTTTGCCAGCAGAACATCCTTGCGGCGGACCGGAACACGTCTTGCCGACTTGGCAGCAGCCGCCTGAGGTGCAGTACTTGCCCACCTCGCAATACCCGCCCGACCCCGTGCCGCAGCATGATCCGGTGACGGGGATACAGCCGCTGTCGCAGGATTTCTGGCCAATGGCGCACGAAGCCGCGGCCGCGGCGCCGAGGTTGAGGATCGGGATTGTGGAGCCGGTGCCGGGGAAGAGATATGTTTGGGTCGAGAGGGAGGTTGAGCCGTCGAAGTTTTGGGGTTCGTCGGCGTGGGTTAGAAACGGGAGGAGAAGAGAGGTGAGGGATAAGAGGAGGTGTTTGGAGAGCATGATTGGTTGTTTGTGGGTGTGACTCGTGAGCTCTTTGATTTGTTTGTTTTAAAAAAGACGATATTGTATTGAGGTAGCATTCGCCTGAAGCTCAAAGGCTCTGAGGGGCGAGAGACACGAGACTGTTGGGCAACTCCAGAGACTTACGTTGTGGTATATGTAGTTCTTGGCCAGACTCAAGTCAAGAAGAAAGACTGGCTTTGTAGGGCGGGCGTCTTCGACTTTGACATCTCCGCGGGTTTCTATCGAGTCCTGCGCAGGAGTAGCCACTGACACTAAGCCGTTGATCAGGCTGAGAGCATAGGCAACCGTACCATGTAGGATTGCAGAGCTGAATACCAAAGCTTCCAACCCCGGACCTTGCTCATCGCTCGCTAGCTCCCTGGTCGAGGCTTACCCGACGTCCATCTCTATTTCTTGGGTGCTTGTTTGCGGTCAAAGTCACACGGACACGGAGCGCGGGCGGAGGTGGCATAAACAATACGACGGGCGTTTACCTTGTTGCCAAGTCCTTTAATCCCTTGATTGACAAGGCGATTGTTTCTTGGCAAGGCGGGTTGCTTGTACTCTGTACAAGAATTGGAGTCTTTGGTGGCTCTTTGGACGTGGACATAAAGGGGTCTGGGGGTACTGGATGGTGGAAGGGGATAGGGCGGATTAGAGAGGTAGACTCGTTGAGATGGTGGGTGAGCCTTATGGGGATGAGCTAGACATGCAGGGTTTAATCACGCTTGTTAGATTTTAAGATGTTTCTTTTCTGCATGGCAACATGGTTTAATGAGAGGGTCGTGAGAGGCGTCTCGTGTTCAGATAAGCAGCTTGAGTCGTCCATACACAGAAGGGAGAGTAAGGACACCTACGAGGGCGGCAACGGGGTGGATCGCTCCGTTGTAGATCACTGTACGGGCTGTGGTTGGCCGGTTGTTCAAAGAAGTGATCCAAACTTCACGTAGATCACCGAGATATTGGTATCTACAACCTTACATCGTAGATCAACGATCCTGCCTGATTTCTACCAGAAGTAGATTGCCCAACTGACATCATCTGCCACCAAACGGCATGACTCCGAGTCCGAGTCCGCCTGTCCACCCCGTCCCCCGCATTCCTGTCAGCCTGGGCTAGCGAGCTCAGCTCGTTCAACCTTGTTTCTCTAGCTTCTCTAGCTTATCATCTCCTGCGAGTAAGCGAAGTGAAGCTCTCAAGCTAATGCCGATTCAAGGTCCAGATCGTCGACACGTCTCAAATGCTTACTTTGACTCGGGCACGAGATGCCCCGCTTAGAAGTTGGAACTAGGTACACGATAGGCAAAGACAAATGAACAACGCTATCAAGCGTGCAAGCGTACATGCACAGTACTACATAGTACAGACACTTGAAGCGGCACAGCCTTTTACACGCCAACAGGGCAAGATCCTGTCAGACCTTTTTTCTTGCGCCCTAACGGCGACTGGCGCGGTGCGGCTGAGTCAAATTTGACGACTTTGACGAATGGAGTTGAGGGGACCCCCAAGAGAGGCGTTCGCTAGTCTCTGTTGGACCCTGGTGTGAGTTGTGTTGTGGCTTGAAGTTGCTTTTGAGTTGGCGGCTTGGCATTCCTGGAGCATCGCTTGCGGGTTTTTGCGAGGTTGGGGTCAGGCAGGCTGTGAGAATGGAACGTTCGAATTATTGCCCGTCAATCGGCTAGATAGGCTCAGTATCCCTTTCACCTCTGACAAGATTATCAATCAACGCAAGAAAACCGTGGAATCACCCTTCGGAATGAGTACAGGTATTTTCCCTATGCGTTGACATCGTGGTGGTGTCATCGGACGCTGAGAAATCCCGCAGTGTATGGGATTCCGGCTGGACGGGATTCACGCCGTCTGACAGATCTGGATGGTAAAGACAAAGGGCGCTGGTTTTTTGGTGAGGCCACTTTCCATCATGACACAGATACACTCCGGTATTGTAACACGATTTGTCTTGGGTCCCGAGGCTTGACGTCCCGCAGAAGCGGTGGACAGCGATGCTGCAAGTCGAGGGAGACGCGCTGACATAAGTGGCGTTTACCATCTGACAAGGTCTCCAACAAAAAGACACAATGTGCAAAGCCAAAAGTTTCCACTTTTCCAGTGACCAAAATGCACGGGATTTGCTGTTCAAAAGTGCAAATCACAACCCAAATTCTTAACAAGATCAACAGCCAAAAAAAAAAACGCTAGCAAAGCAAAAGACATCGACGTTGGCCTGATTCGAACAGACGCTCCCGAAGGAACAAGATTTCTAGTCTTGCGCATTAGACCACTCTGCCACAACGCCGGAGTGTGGAGGAACCCGCTTTGAGACGGGGTTGCTGAGATTGGACTTGCCCTCCTTGATGATCCTAAGCGAGACGTTACCTATGCGCATGCCTGAACACCTGCTTGCTTGAGATGTACGTGTTGACTGTGTTGTCCCTAACTCACAGAGCTTGAGGTGCTGAAAATGAGCACTTGGAGCAGATATTCTCATAGCATGTGCCAACCAATGCTGTGCATCCCAGGACACCTGATTATCTAGTTCAGAATGTCTCCGGGTCTTGATACATGTATAATAGTTTACTTCTCAACTTCCTCTAATCCAAGGCCTCCCATAGCTTCAAGGTGTACGAGTGAGATGTCACATCAGAAGACAAGCTCAATCCCGTGCCCTAGAAGCTAGAAGCATCTGTTGCTCCATTAGCCAAGTTGAACATCTCGAGCAGCAAGCGAACGCGAACTTGCCGAATGTCCGGCGCCAAGGTTGTCAAGAGCCTCAGGAACTCTGCCGTTGCTGGCGGCACCAAAAAAATGTGCAAGATGACACGAGGTCTGAGGCTGCCCCTGACCCTGGGTCGATCAGACGAACGGGGTCACCCAGATTTTTGGGGAGGGGAAGTCCAACCGGCGGGGCTGCATGGAGCATTTGGGGTCTGAAATTTTAAACGCTAAACCCATGGCAATTCCGATTGCTGGCTGTCGTCCGTTCTTATTCTGAACACATCCTGGCGCGAGGTTCGGAAACTTGATGTAATCAGGAACAGTACAGTAGTCTTTATGAGCTGTGGATAACTCCGCTTGTTCTTGCTATTTTTAACCTTATTCTTACGTTTACTCACTCTCAGGCGAGTGTCTCCGTCTTTCGTTGACTGGAGCCATCCGCATGAGATACCTAGCGCAGATCCGAGATCACATTCAGACATTGAGCAACTCCTGTTTGCCAAGGCCTGATATGGTGTTGAAAGCCAAGCCTCGCTGTCGCTACTTCTTGCCATCAAGATTTCCCGCAAAGGTAGTCAATATGATGCCAAGTACAAACAATACCGAGCAAACTTCTCGGTGGTCTCGTTTTCGTCAGGCCCAACCATATCGCCGGGTTCAAGACGAAGACAAGTCGACCCGATGCCAAATGCTTGGCACTGAATGATGTCCCTTTCGAACGGCTGGGCGGAAAACTATACAAGAGACGATCTTGGCGGGGTAAAAGTCCATATCGCCCGGTAAAGAAATAAAGCTCCAAGTCAACGATGTCACTCGATACGACGGTAAAACTCCTTGGATTTCGAATGCGAGCCTAGCAAGTCGTCTCACGGCTCATTATCTCTCGTTTGACGAGCTGCCAAGCTTGTCTTCGCCGACGTAGCCGTGCCTGCATGCAGGAATACTGCTAGAGCCTCTACGGTTCTCTACCAATTTACGAAGTTCTCTCTCGAAATAGATCTTGTTGTAAGTTATGGCGTTGTCGAGGCTAGTGATGGCGAGGAGATCGGATTCCTCTTTTCGTGAGACTATTTCCGCCTTGCGTCCATGAAACGGCCAAAATATGGGGCTCCACACCGGCCTCATTGGCTGCACATCACGGATGATGCGCGACCAGGCCTTACCCCAGACAAACCGAAACGACTTGCCTGTCAGACACCTTGACTTGTAGTGCGTCGCTAAATCCTGCCAAACAACCTCGACATATTAATAGAACAGTCCGGGTCTGATTGCTAAAATCAGCCTTCTGAGAGGTCAACCACGATGCGTCCGATAGTCATCTGTTATGTGATGGAAGTTTGGACAGGTGCTAATCTTGGCTCAAACATGGCCTCATCAACTCCTCCTGTACGCCTCAATGAGACGAAGCTGTCACAACATGACGGCGTCTTGGCTAAGACTTACCTGGTGGACTGCGGACAATTAGAATATATAAAGTAGTTGGAATATCTATCTAAGTCAGTTTCGAGTAGATAGTCTTCAGCCTCCAACGCGTCTTCCCCTTTGAGTTTATCTATCCAATTCGGTCGTGCGCTGGTTCGCCGGCATATCGTAATCACTCAATTCGATACAGAGCCTGATACCACGATACCATCATGTCGTCACAATTTCTCCTGCCCCTGAGGCTGCTTAGCCCTACCTTTTTCTATTTGATCCTTCTCTTCTGTTCCATCGCCATCCTCATTGAGGCTGAAGATCCAACCTCTTCGCCGGCTCAGCAAAGCGCTCCATTCGTAGACCAGGCCACAGGCCTGGCTATGGAACGTTTCTTCGGCGCCCGCACCTCCTTCGCCTTTGCGATGGCTTTGCCGGAAACAACTTCCTCATCCTTCATCGGTCAGCTGTCTTTCCCGCTTGTCAACGGCGCAGGGTGGGGCGCGATGGGTTTGACTGGTGACATGGAAGGAAACTTCTTCCTCGCTGCATGGCCGGATGGCCAGGGTGGTGTTATGGCTACCTTCCGTCAGGGCACCAATGAGGACAACCCGCCCGAAGTCAGGGGCAACTTCGCCGTCCGGCCCATTGCTGAGGGTGTCTCTGTCAACACGACCTCTTTGACGTATACCTTTCTCTGCGAAAACTGTCTTGATGCGACACTGGGGCTCGGACCGGAAGCTACGAGTGCAAACGCCGTTATGGGATGGGCTCTGTCGGAGAAGGCGGTAAGAAATCCCGGAAATCCTGGAGCGACTTTGGGGTTCCACGAGCGAGGATTTGGTCCTTTTACTGCTCGTCTCGGAAACGCAAAGTCTGCGCAGTTTGATGCGGTGGCGGCTACTGCTGGACAACCAGTTGCTGGATCGAGTCGGGCGGTTGCGGTGACCCCGAATGCGTTCCGCGAGGGGGAGGGCGGGGACGATGATAAAGGAAAAGGGGGTGGAAAGGATGGAGATGATGATGATGACGACGACTAGGCTTCTGAATACATTGATAACACTTGATGGTCTGAATATGAATGGAATAGTGTTCGTTCTTCGTTGACCTCTGCCACCTCGCCGATACAATACAACAGTCCTGCCTAGCTCCTGCAAAATTCTGGCCATTTCTGGGACGCTTCCGGATCTGCGCAAGCTTGGACCAAGTCAAGCGCGTACTGCTTTTGTGATAGCACATATTGTTTGTAGGACAAATTGTAGGCCTTGATGGCGTATGCAGTTCCGATCGTCCCAAAGGCAATGCCCAGTATAGTCAGGATAGCAACCAGGAGTGCTGTCCAGAACGTGGAAAACTCTAGGAAATTTCGCCCCTCCTTGTCCAGACGGAGTTGCTGGGTCCCTCGAGGTGGCTTATTGTACTCCTCCAGTAACCTCTGAATGCCTGGCTTCCAGTATGAAAAGTCGTCGAGCTCAGCCTTCCTTGTACGGCCACAGCGCCCCAGTCTCCAGAAATTCTTCTTCTCTCTTTTCAGTAGTTTCATGGTTCCAGTGTCTTCGTATGGAAACAGAAGAACTAGAGTATCAAGTGTTTCTTCGAGCAGGCTTTGAGGTACAGGGCAATCTTTCGAATATTCCAAATGGTTCCAGAGACACACAATATGTTCGTACAACATCACGCTTCTTTGGCCCAACTTTTCTTCAATTTGCAAGTGTTCAGCTAGGTTGGAAGTCCAACGAATGGAAAAATTGTATCGTTCGCAGAGCACCGTAATGTTGAAAGTGGATGGAATATCACCCCGTTTCAACTCGGCAGGCCGATCGGCAAGAGTGACTGCAAAGTAACTGTCGATCACTTGGCGAAGGGTCTTGGTTTCTTCCCAGGCCAATTGTACTGGCTTAGGATAGATTTGACCGAGGGGCAAAGTATCGAAATTGATGGTAAGCCAAAGTCTGGCAACAAGATCTAGACTTCTGGAAACTTCATTTCCAAGCTTTTCGGATGGTACCTCTGTCATGCCATTCGTGTTTTTGGCTGTGTTCTCCCTGGGGGGAATGACTTTTGTAGGCCCCGTTGAGCGAAGATCGAGTACCTCGCTGATTCGGACTTTTGTTTCCAGTACGTTTTGCACCACCACATCAATGTACTGCGGGACATAATCAGGCAGACTTTCTGTATGATGAAGTGGTGCCCGGTGGATTTTGGACGTTTCTTTGTCGAGGAAATTGAGGAAGCACTTGTAATCTTCGAGGTGACAATCTGAGGTAGGTAGTTGGGGCCATAGCCGCTGGAGAATCCACATGTGGGCCTTTGGAGATATTCCGCTTTGCTCGAATGCCTTCATAGCTCTTTCTTAGGCCGATCTAACTCATGGGATGAGCGAATTTGTTTTCGGTGAATGGTTCGTTGTCGCCGACGCGGCTTGCTGAGATGATCTTGGCAGTCGAATTATGATAAATGGGCGTCGATGCAAATTAAGGGATCTATTGAGCTACTTAAATATTTTGCCATGCGCGTGTCGTCTGTCACACCCAATCACAGCAAGCACTCTCGGAGCAATTGACGCTGATGTCTGAGGATCACCCTGTCTCACCACACTCCATTTGACTGGACAGAGGACCGCATATGCACATGCAGCTTCCAGTAGCCACCAAGTCAGGCTCAAATCAACAGTCCTAGAGTATTCCTTGTCATACATCTGCGTAAATTAGAGCATGATTCATATGACCTAGGTCATGGAGTCTGCCTTGGTGTTGAGTCTACCCGGAACAGGCCGGGGTGCAACGTTGCTGTGGCCTTCCCAGGGGCTAAGCAATTCTGACTTTTGCACATCCAATCTCTTCAAGTAGGTTTCACCAGCAACTTCCTGGCGGAAAGCCTGTCACCATAGAGACTTTCGAAATCCCAACTCAACGAGAATGATGAAGGCAGTGGTTAGTCTCCAGCAACCGCCACTGCCATCAGCAGGTTCGGCAATTGGCCAAAGATCACCGGCCCCAGACCCCTCTCAACCTAGGGAAAAGCCTACCATGAGTCTTGCTGAAAAAGTACAAAATTGGTTTCGCCAACTGAGGACGTGGGCACCATCGGGTTCACACGTCGAAGTTCATGAGGATCCGCACTCACATATTTCATCCGAGGCCCTGCAACAGAATTCAACAGGGAACTTATCAACTGCATCCCCAGATTCTCCGTCTCAAAAGCCTACTGTAGAGTCCGACCAGATCGCCTCCACCGACACCTCTACCAGTATACCAGGTCATCCAGGGATCTTGGTCCATACAGATGATGGTAGAGCTCCAGGTTATCTCCTACCCGGGCCCGAGGGGTTTCTTCTCTCAATGAAGCCGGACCATTGGATGTCCCCCGAATCAACTAATTGCAGGGATCCTATGTTTGGGGAGGCAACTAAAGCCCTATTGAGGTTGAAGCCAGACATCCTGACTCAAGAAGTTCTACGCTTACGCAAGATAATCGATCTACAATTGCGTATGAGAGCAGTTTCGACACCCGTGGACAATTGTTACAAGCTTCAGCCATGTATACGAATCGCTTGCGGGGACAAAAAAACAGTCAAAAGGGTCGAACGGCAACTGAAAAAGACTTCGTGGCTTAGTACCGAGCAGCTCTCTCGAGTCCCTATTTTGGTTGACTTTGACTCATTGCTGGCGGCTACCTACCTCTCCGCTCCATCTACTGAGGCCAAGAAAACTGCTGCACATTCGAAATCCGCAAGTCACCTTTCATTCAAGGTTTCACCTCCTATATGTGATTCGTCAGCATTTGGCCTCAATCTCTGCGCAAGCTCATCCAGAGAGAGGGAGGAGCGGCACCGGCTCTCTCACATCGGCGGTCTCATCATCATAGAAAGCGGATATAGCGAGCCTCAGAGCGAGACCGTCGCATTTGTCACAACCGCACATGGACTCATGGAATTACTGCACGATGTCCACGATGTAGACGAAGCCAGCGCATCTTCTCAATCATCCAACCCTACGAGATTGGAGGAGGAATACGGCAATATTCAAGAGGACAAGAGCCTTGAAAGAAAGGGGGGAGACATCAATTTCAACGATGATAGGGACGATCAAATTGTTAATCCTACTTTCAAGGACATACACCGAGATTACTTGCAACAACTTTCGCTACAAATTGGTTCTTGGACTGTAGTCGAGCCTATTTTCCCGGTACAATTTGCAGAAACTCTATGGTTTGGTCCATCGCCAAACAACGGAGAGAGTGACGGTTCTGCAATCAGTGACGAAATCGAGCTTCTGAATGCCGATGATGCTATGACGTGCAGTGCCGACTTTGCCCTTTTCGGTAGAGAGCAATTCGAAAGCATGCACAATCATTACTATGCCATGGACAGCCCGGAGAGAGGAATATACGTCGAATCGTCAATTGAGAACGACAGGCTACTGGAAGGTGATGCGAGATTAATTCTGGATCCAAAATCGCCCATGTCGTGTCATTTGCTGAAGGGTGTCTTTCCCGTCTACATCGGCAAAGCCACCTTTCAAACAAGAAGGATCGTCATCGACAAGCCTCTTGGTAAGTATTCGGATGGTTGCGTAGTGTTCCAAAGCTTAGCTGACCAACCTTTTGTAGCCCAAGGAGCTTCCGGTAGCTGGGTCGTGAGGGACGGCGATTTTTGCGGTTCCGTTATCATGGTTTCCAGGTCAGAGCCTACAGCGCTCATTATGAGTGCAGAAAATCTATTTGATAGCATTCAACGAACCTCATCGCCACCCATCACCGTGAGAGTTGCCTCGGTGTTAGACTTGGAGATTAGCCGTATGCGCCCATGGACCGAAAACTGGGCTGTGAGCCAGCGTGTCAAAAACCACCACCCGAGGAAGGATTCTCCTAATCAAATGTGCCTCAACCCACAGTTTTCTATGGGAAAGCAGCGAAGAGGTATCAAAGATCGTGTCGTCAACGAACCTGCTAAGCCTCCTACACAAACTATTCTGCTTGGGCCAGAAGCTGAGGGAGAACACGGCATGGGGCTGATCTCCTTCTCTCGATATTGTCTCAAACATTCACGTGGGTCAACAATGTCTATCTTTAATGGAAACGAGTGGTCAAGTTCTAAGTCTGAAAGACCTCATGGTGTCGATGTCATCAAGCTTGAGTGGTACTACTATGTACCGGTTATCTTTTCTAACTGGGGATCGACCAATGCGAAAGAAACAACAGCTAAGGGAGGTTGAGAGCCGCAGAATTGCTAAAGTCGATATCCACATCTTTTTAGTGACTAGGTGCTGTAGGCGTGAAAACTTGACTGGATTTGGAAAACGCCTTTTCATTGCCGAAATCTCCTTGCAGCGGGATAAATTATACTTCAACATTGCATCTGCTCTGTTGTGTGACACCTATGATCAATAGAATTAAATCACAGGGTCTACTGTCAGAAGATCTCAACTTGGACATCATTATCAATGGGCGTGCCCCTGAGTCCCTAGTGTGTTGCTGAAAGTATTGCAACATTCCGGCGCAGCCAGATATGCGACTGAAGTACTCCGTAGATAAATCGTTTGCTGAACCAAAGCTTTTTTTTTCGGAGTGGGGTTCTGTGTAATTATGAAGCTGTTGCAGGCCCATGGGTCAGGTATGAACATAGGGGTTCGACCAATTTAAACAAGGCCGATGAACCTGGGGCTTTGGAGGTCTGGGAGAATTGGTCTTGCTGGTGGAGTTAGTCTCGGGCTTTTGTAATAATGCGAAGAAGCCTGCGACACCAGCGTATCCCACCGGGAGGTAACTGCGGCGGAGCTCCGCTACGACTCGTAACCCTGATCTACAGATCCTCTCGCATCTCAAAGAAGTTGATGAAACTGCCGTCCGCGGCAGTCAGTCGATGCATGGGTAACTTGCGGCAACTAGTTGTGACCCAAGCCCGCTTAGTCACCGACATATTGTCAATTCCTGCCACATCATGGAGCTATTTGAGAGCACTGACAGATATGATTGTGTTGGACATTCGTGGAGTATAAAGCTCCAGATTTGAGACCTTACCCTAGTCAAACTTCCCCGTAGCTTTCTGGACCTATTCTGAAATAAGTTCCCATTGCCAAAATGCCCGACTGCGGTTCAATTGTGGACGGGGTCGTGCGGTACCCTCCGTCTGGGATCAACGTTCTCATTGTTGGCGCAGGCCTGGGAGGCTTGCAGGCAGCCGTCGAGTGTTGGAGGAAGGGCCATGAGGTTCAAATACTTGAGAAGGGGGAGGCGATCTCCGAGGCCGGTACGTATTCATTTCAAGACTTCCTTTCCCCTGAAGTTCAACTGATGTGCGCCGCCTAGGCGATGTTATCAGACTCGGACCTAACAGCTATGCCACCTTGAAGGAGTATCCCAAAATGATACAGGAATGGGACCAATTCGCCTTTGACCCCGAGGCGTGTTTCTGTCACCGTGATGGGCAATTTGCCGTACCGAAGGCTGAAGTCGAGCATCACCTCCCGGGAGTTGCCACACATGTGATATGGCCCATCCGAGCAAAGCCCATTGTCGGCCGACGAGATCTCGCCATGATGTTCCTTGGTCAATGCAAGCGACTAGGAATTCCTGTAACATATGGTGTAGACATCACCCAATACTCAGAAGATGGGGAGGGAACCGCGACCGCCCACGCCGAAGATGGCCGCAGCTTCACTGGCAATGTTGTGATAGCGGCAGATGGCATCGGTTCCAAGAGCTGCAGTGTGACCCTGGGCAAGCCTGTTCGCGCAGTGAGCACGGGTTACTGTGCTGATCGTGTCATGTACTCAACCGACCACATCAAAGATACCCCTGCTCTGCAGAAAGCGATTGCCGAACTCCAACGACCTCAGCTCCGCATGTATACCGCGTAAGGGTTTTGCTCAACTCGGGACTCGAACAAAAGACTTCGCTGACAGATTAATAGTCCTGACATGTACATTATCTTCCTCTTGTCAAAGACACACATTTTCCTCGGTATTACGCACAAGGTATGTGCTGTCCGCAGCTTGTCGTCTTCTATCACGAACTAACATGAGAAACATAGGACGATGGAACATCTGTCGAATCCTGGTCGTCGACTGTGACTCCCGAGCAAACGGCGAACGTTCTGCCCGACAAGGAGGGCTGGGACCCAGTTCTCATGGAAGCGATTCACAGCACCCCACCAAACACTGTTGTGCGATGGAAGTTATGTTGCCGGAACCCACAACCAAAGTGGCACTCCGACGGTGGTCACATCATTCAGCTTGGTGACGCAGCCCACAGCTTTATCCCATCATCTGGAAACGGGGCATCTATGGCCCTTGAGGACGCCATGTCGCTTCCTGAATGCCTAAGACTGGGAGGCAAGGATCGCATAGCTCTTGCCGTTCGCGCTCACCAGCTTCTCAGGTAAGTCGGCAAGCGGTTTCATTGTACACGGCCTCATTTCTAATCAATCCATCCTAGATATGAGCGTACTTCGCTTTTGCAACACAACGGTTTCGTCAATAGGCGTCAGGTCCATCGCGATATGAACGAGATTCTCAAGGATGAAAGGCAGCCCATGCTCCTCGGGAAATGGGTCTGGACTCACCATGCCGAAAAATACGCCACAGAGAACTTCGAAGAGGCGTGTTCGGCAGTCGCGTTTGACAAGCCATTCAGAAATACCAACTTGCCCGTGGGTCATGAGATCCAACCCTGGAGTATCGAAGACGAGGAAGAAAAGGAGAAATCTGGTATCTTTGTCGAGGATTTAAAGAATACCGGCGACTGGGGTTTGTCGTGAGGTACGCGAAATCTGTTAGACGGATGTTTTGGAGATTTGGACATGAAAGAGTCAATTCCGGCAATACTGTTGCCGTCGAGTTTCCTTAGCTCTACCACGCCGGACCGGTAAGGTTGATGGTTGGCTGTCTCTTGCCTGAGAACTCTCCCACCAAGTTCCGACTGCTCTAACGTATGAAATGGCGGCTTCACTTTGAAAGAAGAAGACCGTGGAGATTGCCTAGAATACTTGTTTTGTCCTAACTGCAGGATTTGGACACTTTATGTTGTCTGAAGTCTTCTCAATCCGCCAACCAACTCTTTGGATCCTTGTCCACAGTGTCATGTACTGGTTTATCCCTCCTAGGTGCATCATCCACTCGAACCTCGACATCAACTTGTTTGTGAATGCCGGAAAATCTGCAATCCATCTTGTCCATCTCCACATCTCTATCTGCACTAGATATGATGCCCCTCTCGCTATGACTATCTGCGGTATCGATGCCACTTCCGTTACGTACATAGCCTCTGCTACGAGCAGGACCAGTCCAAGCACCTGATCTCGACCTTGTACCGCCATCGCCGCCAGTATCCGAACGTCCTTCTTTAACATAGCTTTGGAGCTTACTTCGAAAGCCAAACTTATAAGAGGCAATTCGAAGGAGAGGTTGTAATGCAGGAAATGAGGCAACCCAGAGCCCAATGTGTCCTTCTAGATCGGTCCAGACGCCTATAGTCGACATGTTGAAGGTACTGTATCAGGAAGACGTCAGCTGTTATTCGCAAAAGTGTCTTGGTTGCCGGAATGCTTACGGATCGGCGAGGAAAAGTAGTGTCTTCAACATTACGAGGCGGATACAACCTGTAACAATTACAAAGAGCCCCACGCTGAACACTAAGATAACCTGGAAGGCTCGTTGGGAGAAGATCATCTTCATGTAAACGACCCATATTGGTAATCCCATCAGTGCAAGATCCAGGATCAGACCAATCACTTGGTGAGCTACCATCATTGTATTCTCGGCTTCGGGAGGAACGCAGTTAAGCCCTGGCAAAAAGGGAGGTTTCCATATGTCGCTGGAAGAGGTACTTTCAGCAAAGTCCATGGATCAACGGAATGTCTATAGCCACTAACCCTATGGGGCTGCACTCCGTGAGGCGATAGAAAAAGCATCCGGTAGTCTGGGCCACCACAAAGAAGCCGGTGATGTAGACAAGTATTAGATACGTCCCTAGGAAGCACTATTAGTCCAAATCAATAATTGATTTCCAATTTTCGAAAGCGATGACCTACTATCTTGACTCAAACGGGGAAGAAAAGCCACAATCGACAGTCTCATCACCCCGGTTCCGACGAAATAAATCAGTGTCTGTGTTGTTAGCGACTTGATGAGGCCCGTTAGTAAAGTTATTCGCCCTATCGAGACCGCTAGTGAAACTTTACCTCGAACCATGTCGCTAGTAAAGGCTTTGGGACATATTCGATGTGTGCTCCGCTGCCAAACTGGACAACTGCCCACAAGAAAATTCAGTCAGCGGTTCAAACGATACCCGAAAGAAACATCATGAAGTGACCTACGGCGAATATCCATTGCGGACAACGCAGACACTAGTCCCTTTTGATATGTCTTAGCACAATTCTGCCATTTCAAGACGCGCAAGATGACTTACGAAGGCTAAGAACGCAAGCAAATCGTCGAGCCCCAATGCCTTGGCCATGAAAGCCCTAACATAGAGCCTGATACCAACTACAATCGTTGTGCAGATAATCAGGGCGATATTGAGGTGCAGAGTCTTATCACCGGCGTATTCTGGAGAGTCCATGAAGTGGACCTCGCCGTCCATTGCAAGCGCGGACGTCATTCGATGTGATTTCCGATACTTTAGGACCGAGACGGGCAGGAAACAGCATAAGGAGGAGCAAGAGAAAGAATTGAAGAATAAGTCTACCACGCAGCAGTTAACAAGAGAAAGTTTGTCCACGGACGAGATGAGATTGAATTCCGGGACTCGAGCCGCCAAGTGCGGCCAGCCGCGGGATTTGGCCACGTGAAATGTCTCTTCGAGTTGTGGTAGTAATCCAGGCGCCTTGCATAGCCCCCATCACATCTTCAAAACGCGAAGCGCAAACTCTTCGGCGGGCGAGCTACTGTGCCGCAGCCATGCGTAGCAAAGGCTTTCGCAGAATTGTCTCGGTCAGTCTCCGGTTTGTAAGTGACGAAAATCCTGGTTTTCGGTGTCAGGGTTGGTTACAGCCGCTGTGCATGCATGAGAGCGGGATGACAGTCGGCAGGATGTTGGATCCTGTTATGGGGAAAGGCAAATCGAAGTGTTATCCCTCCGCCGTGTTTAACCTCACCAATGCATACTAGAATGATCCTGCCACCTGTCCCAGTATGACCGCGGTCAAATTGATCTTTAAACGCCAAGTTTTTAAAAGGATCAATCTTTCACCATTGACAAATCTAAGGAAAATCAAAGACTCTGCCCATTTAGAAGTGTGAAGTTTCTACTTCTGCACGAACCTTGTGTACTTCAGGTTGCGTTGCATTTTGTAGTCCTCGCTCTCTCACCTGTAATGCGAGTGCGGTATTGTGAAATATTTACTATGCTGGCACACCAGTGGTCTATCCACCTTATTAAAGGAGCAGTAGGCAGCCGGTTAATTCTTCGGGACAAACCCCCATCGTTGGCAGTACGTTATCATGCGCGGTGTTGTTGGTTTTGGTTCTTGGCATCGGGCCGCTAGTCAGGTCTCTGGCCTGCATGTTGGTCGAGACCTGGCCCGAAAGAGCGCTTCGCAGCAATGCACATTTCGCCAAATGGGGATGTGGCTCAGAGAGCGAGACGTTACCGATGCCCGCGGCGGTTGGACCGGCTTAGAAGCCTGGAAATAGTGTGATGGAAACCATACCTTGCTGCATCGTGTTGGAAGTAGTGAAGCCGGATACCACGTCGGACCTAGCAGTACTATTCCTGCAATGGTGTTTACATTAGTCACCCCTTTTGATCCTCGAGGATGGGAGCGCCTCGAACCTCATATGGTTATGCTGAAATGACACCACGTTGGACATAAGAGGAAGCTCTGTAGCGAGCTGTAATCGAACGACCCAAGCTGTCGGTTCCGGCCTTGGCTAGCGATGATTAATCATATTTCCCCCCAAGAGGCCGATCGAGCCTTTTTCGAGGCTTCACTGAGGCCTTGCCTTCAAGCTTCGGAGATATTGGCCGGTGGTGCCGTGTCTGACAATATGGTCGAGCATGAACACCATCGCCGGTGTTGAGGCTTAAAGCAGTCAATCACTACCGTTGTAAGCCGGCTATGAAGCTTCCATGAAGGCTTGCCCGACCTGATCCAACAGCAGGCAAGAAGCTACGATGTTATCATGTTTCGAGGCGTGAACCTTGCCCCAATCAGAAATGGACCCATAAACTCTTCCTCCACATTGAAGTACCCGAGCTGAGCACGTCTGTCTTGGCATCAAGTCAAATTAGCCTCGTTACTTTGAAATGAGGTTCCATCGCCCCATAGAAACGAAGCCCCAGGAACCCTGACCAGATGTTGGCTGAGGATTCCAAGCGCCTCCCAGGCTCCCACCGCTTTGAAAACAGAACTCATTCAAGCCAGGCCACTCCCTATCACCACTGCACTGTTCGGCGACAGGAATTCAGACAAGATGAGCCCCTGAGGATCCAAAGCTCTTCTCTCGTTGGTTTCGGACCCTTGCTTATGAGCTAAGTCGACCTGGTCCTGAGATTTTACGCAATACTCGTCAATGGGCTGTGGCTGGCCTTTACTAGGTATCTGAGTTGTGCCAAATTTGGGTTGCTGCATTCATCAGAGTCTAAAGCACAATCAGGAGTCTTTGGGCTCCCCACAACCGTTTACCTGAGGTGAACTTCATTTCTCCAATCATCTTCAAACTTCCGCAACTCATCTCTCTACCCTTGAAGGGGACAGTCGGTGATAGCTTAAAACTAGTGTGATCGGGCACGCCTTCGGTGAGCAGGGTCGGTGGAAAAATCTTAACGGCAAGGGTTGGAAGCGTTGGGAAACAGGCATTAGCAGCGGGTCTCGAGGTAACCTCCACAACATCATCCGATCGAACCATCGGCCGTCGTTGACTACCTAGCAGATCCCTAGCCGAAAGATACGCGTCTCCCAACGGAGCATGCAACCGGAGCCAGGGCTTCTCGAAGTCGAGAACGCATTGCAACCAACCTACATCTTGATGCCAATGAAAAACTCAAAGGAGAAATTCGGCCGTTGATGAGGACCTGGTTGTGCCGCAAAGATGCATCGGAGCACACGAAAAGCAGTATGTTCATCTCGTCTTCTCCGGGTAGGCTGATAATGCACTTAATCTGCAAGCGCATGCCGACTTTGACAATATGTCAGTTTTCCTCAAATGTGAACCGATCCGCCTCCAATGCGTAAGTAGACAGTTAGCAAGAATGAGATTTGATTCATTTTCTTCTGTTCTGGTTCCATGTCAGTGTTCTCAGCTCTGAATCTCCTTTCTTGAATTATCATGCGCCCTTTCACCACCGTCGCTGCGGCCATTATCGGCCTGGCGGGCGTCCAGACAGTCGCTGGTGCCCCATCAAATCACACCAGCCCCGGGTGCTGTCGGAACCCTCTGATCCGATACGAATGGCGACAACTATCCTTGGAGCAGAGATTAAGCTACATCGATGCTATCAAATGCTTGATGTCTCTGCCGTCGGAAGGAAATAATTTGTGGCCTGGTGCAAAGACCCGGTATGACGATTTCCAAGGTATGCACATCTATGTCACAGAACAAGTGCACTTCAATGTAAGTCAACTCAATCTGCGTTCCAAGGCAAGTGGGTGGATTCTAAAATCTGATCTTACCATAGGGACCTTTCCTCCCGTAAGAGATAACTCTAACCTTATTTCGATCATTACTCCTAACACTTCCACTGTAGCTGGCATCGATGGATGATATTTCTCTTCGAATCCGAGCTGAGGAACAAATGCTCCTACCAAGGAACACTACCCTACTGGGACTTGAGTCTTGACAACACTGCGGAAAGTTTCGTCAACTCGCCAATCTTTGACAATACTTACGGATTCGGCGGTAACGGGCCATATGTCGAGGATATCAGTGATGACGAGGAGTTCCCGATCAAGACCCCCACGGAAATTCCGGGAAGGAGTGGAGGAGGTTGCGTCCAGGAAGGGCCATTTGCGAACCTCACGGTTCCTATGGGTCTTGGTGCGTTGGGGATTTCCGCAACCACAAGGTTTCTCTCTCTGCCCTGCATCTGCTGACTTCACATCCTGGTCCTAGGCTCCTCACTTGAACCGCAACCCCATTGCCTACGTCGAGATTTCAGTCCCACCCTCGTTGCCAGTGCCCTGAGAGACGAGATTATTGACCGTGCGCTCTCTGCGCCGACCTATGGTGAATTCAACTCTCACATTCAGGGCTACAGTTTCGAGTTCGACGGCCTGACTCTCCACGCGGGCATGCATCTTGGCATCGGCGGTGCTGTTGGCGAAGTACGTATGATCAGACGATGATGCTTTCTCATTATTCGGCCCTATTTGGTTCCTTACTTTGATTGTGAATTTGTGAAATCTCAGGAAGCTAACTGTTGGGACCAGAATGCGGACATGTACTCCTCCCCCGGCGATCCACTCTTCTACTTTGTCCACGGCGCACTGGACAAGATCTGGAACGACTGGCAGCGGCGAGGTAAGCATCTTTTTCTGCCCGCGAACTTGACTTTTGTTTCAGTGCCTCTTGTGAACAGACCAAGACACTTGGACGAGCGGCTAGACGCCCCGTTTTCCCCAGCAAAAGAGAATGTCAAAAGTAGTAGGCTCTGTCTTGCTAACAGTGGTCGTAGACTGGCCCGCGCGTAAAACCGCCATTGGCGGGCCGGACACCATGTTCGCGTACCCGTTCAACTTCTTCGGTGACGTGCCGTACGAGAACATTACGCTGCAGTACCCTCTCAAGTATCCCAACTTTGGAGAGGATATCCCCATCAGCGGTGTGATGGATATCCATGGTGGTCCGTTTTGCTACGAGTATAAGTAGTTTCGGATATCTACTATACTATCTCAGTCTAGTGTGCTGCAACGGCGTCTGGACTCTAGTCGCAGCATCCGATCATACGAACCCGTCGTACAGCGACCAATAGCCACCTTGGACTGATGAGCAACGTCGCCCGCGAGCTTAGTGTGTCGAGTTTAGGTTGAGCCGTCTCTGGTGGAGGGAAAGCTCCGTGCACAGGTTGAGGCGCGGGCCATTGCAGTTTGGGGTCTGGCACACAAAAGACCAAGACAGCCACGGTGTCGATGTGCCTGGATAAAGTTCCTCTGCCGAACTAACATCGGAGGCATCCCCATTTGTCCTAGCTTGCGATTTCAAGTCGCTGAAGACGGCAATCTTGCGGCGATGATGACTGAGGAGTCCCCGAGCGACAAAGGAACCTCATGTCCTACGCAGGTTGTGTGCGGGCGAGAGAACGAGGTAATCGTAATCACGCCCGTTGTAATCTATGACTTGCACTTCACAGAAACCTTTAGAAATAATGTGTGTTAAGAGGAAACTCGGTCCGATTAAGACATATCGCTAAGTAATGCGTGAATGTGAATCGGAACTTTTATTACTCATGGTCTCAATCGACTGCGTGATGGAGACGGAACGAGACGATCATATGACTCCTGATCATCCGCCATCCTCTTGAACCCTTCAGAGAACAGCGACTTTTCGCTCGGTTTTGTGTGAAGACCCCTTGATTCGACCTCAACTTTCGTCGACCTCAAGGGGGACTCATTAATACACCACCTCTCATGAACCTCGGCTCCTCCATACGTCTTGCTCGGTTTTTGTGGTGATGATGAAAAGTCGCACAGCTCAGCGGTGGCCTCCTCGTCGCGAAGACTGCTGAGACGGCGTATCTCGGAAGTGATTTCGATTTCTTTTGTGATAAAAATCTGGCCGATACTGCTTTGTAGGGTGGGCCAGAAGACGGGCAGGGAGGCGCAAATCGTCGCCAGGTTGATTTCGACCGCAGCGAGTACGATGGGCACGCAGCCGTACCAGCTGGGGTCAAGAGTCGGATAGGTGCCCGCTCTCGAGTGTGAAATGCCAATGAGACGGAAGATTCCAAGTACGTTCACACTAGCGAAGCCTAGTCAGACGGGGCGTGTTCGCTTTGAAATGGAAAGGAAGTTTTAGGCGTGGAAACTTACAGGACACCCATGGTGAACAGACCAAGTAGGCCCAAGCGCGACTTCGTCCGAGTTCCAGCCTCCAGAAACAACGGGATAGGTATCGCGAATACAATCAGGTCCAATGCAACGTTCATTCCGACGTGACTCTCGAAGCTGCGCGCGAAGATGACGGGATCACGGGAGCCAAAGGCCCATCGGGTCTCGGTCGTCGACGATAGGTCCCAGAAGGCTGAGACAGGGAGACAAGGGATCCAGGCGATGAAGGAGTAAGCTACACCCCATAGTGCGGTGATGACAATAATCACGATGGTGACGAATCGAGATTTGGTGTTGTGTTCGAACATTCGTAAGTATTGGAACAGTAAGGCCAATTTGATTAGGGCTGTTGCCATTGGGTATGCGCCGTTGCAAACGTAAAAGGCTTTGATGAAGGCTTGCATGCCAGAAACTCCGAGTAAAAGAAAATGCTTTCCCAACCCATAATCCGTAGCTATGATGTCGAAGAGTCAGTGGCCGAGTCAAAAATAGGCACCATAGAGTGAAGACACCTACCTACGCAAGTCGCAATAGATAAAAGCAAGCTGGTGAGCTGTAGATGACATGTTAGACGCTGCAAGTAACATGGGATCAGTGTCCGGTAGTCACGTACCAAAGATAATACAACGAAGAAATCATCCCATCCCGGACATCGGGCAATAAATAACCGAACATAGAGTCGAAAAGCACCGCAAATCCAGGCGACAAGCTGCGGTAAGTTGTTAAAAGCTGTCGTTGTTTGGATATGTTTGATGGGCGTCAGATACCAGAAAGGAAACGACCATAGCCAGGACCGCTGGTCGCTGGTTGAGGACCGGCTCAGGGTCTTTGAGGTTGTCGGCTTTGCCGAGTAATTCAAGTATGGAGCCGCCCATTTTCTACCAGGGTTCTCGGGATCGAGGCCGTTGCCGTTTGCATACTCGGGGGGACCTCGATTTCCGTAGGTCGAAGTCCAGCTCGCGGGTAGGTTCCGAGTCGGAGTTCTCAGCCGTTGGCCAGCAAGAAGTTGGCGGAATATCAAATCAGACAACTCATTCGGGATAAGATGGGGACGACCTAGAGGGGCTGGAAAGGTTGGACAAGAACGAAGGGGGGAGACACTGCAAAGATAAATGGTTCCCAAAGTCAAGCCGTCTGTCGAGCCGTTCTCGAGATGAACCCGACTGGGGGTGTTTGAGTAGCTCCAGAAAGTGGTGCGCGCCACACCCTGCAGTTTGGTACCTTGAAAAAGCCGTCAGCACCGGGGCCCCTGCACACGTGGTATGGGCAGTCCGGAAACGGGTTGGGGGACATGGCTAACGAGTGCCTTTTTGTTGCTGGCGAACTTGTTTCACCTGATGCAGATAGCACTGGCGTTTTGTCTGGACAAAGACGGTCAAGATCGCTCATGGCTGGCATTGAGACGAAGGTCTCAAGGTTCGAGGCTTCCTTGCCACTCACTCTATGGTATAGTATGTGAGTTATTGAGTACCTTTCTGCGTAGGTACATGCATGTTTACATGTGCGTGGGAGTTGAGGGTCCCCTTTGAATCTCCCTCTCCCTCTCTCTCCCACTCCTCGCAAATCTCACCCTTGGAATGGAGACTCAATTCAGTTCCCCAACTTTCCCGCCCAGATGAGAGGCTCCACAAGCCGATCAGCCGATCAAAGTGCGAACAGGCAAAGAGGAAACGCCCTGGACAATTAAAAATAAATGGCAAACATACGTAATTGTCGGCCAACCCAAAATTGCTGCTCACTGTGGATATGTCTTGGTGTTTGCTTCTGCGGACTCGTTTCTTTTTCTTCCATGCCGCTCATCGTTGCTTCTCTCTCGCTTCTGCAGCGTTAGACGTTTTTTTGGGAGACCCCGAGCGTGCAGCATGCAGATAGACTTAGACATGTTCGAAATGTCGCGCGTTTTTACCCCATTCCTTTTTCTTCCCCATCTCCTTTCAGAGTCGTATTTCCTTCGCTTAGACCAAAGGTGACAAGCAAACACTCATCACATCATCATAAATCACAAAGGGGTTGTGCGGACGGAATCCTTGGCCCCTCTAGGAAGGCAAATGCAACATGAACAAACCGTCTCGTCTTTCATCGCAGAGGCGCAACGTCTCGGGGACATCGCCTAGCGATTGGCCTTCCTTTCCTGGATTTCTGCCATGTTTTGAGGGGTGGGAAACATATGAAGGGACGAACAAGACACACACAACACACCCGCCTTGGTCGTTGCATAGGCTCTCCTGCAGGGCCACCAAGTCCAAACGAGGGGAATTGGCGAATCAGCATTGGGCTGGCTAAGCCTGGAGGGTTCGCTCGGACAGCCGCGGCGTCGGACGGTCTGGGGCCAAGGCAGTCCGGGGTCTTTCTAAGAGCCCTCCGCTCAGGATCTACGGCTAGCTCAAGTGGGGATCAGTGACGATTGTCTCCGTGCTTACTCTACAATCGCATCCGGGCTTTGCTTCTTTATTACTACCGGCTTCCCGGACTTGCCCTCCTTCTTTCATTGTAGGCCCAAATTGCCCAAGCCTTTTTCTGCGTTGATGGACAAGACTCCCCGGGTGAGACATGCTGAGGGGGCGCGGGATGATCGACATCCATTGGCAGATCTGGCCAGATCATAGAGCTTTGGCCGCCGGAAGAAGCAAGCTGTGTAACGCTGGCACTGAGCTGGCGAACTTGGCCTGAGCATTATCAAGAATTAGGCGCTGTCAAAGTCCATTCATCCACTCAGGGTGACTTCACTCTCACTCCGTCAACTATTGCGTGAATGAGCACCGGTTGACAATCATGACAACTCAATCGTCGTCTAATACTATACTGATCCTCATCTCTGCCACGGAGAAGAGGCCAGTCCTAGCCAAGCGTGTCGCTTCAGTTCAGCCAACTCGCTTCTGGCTGGCCTCTGCGCAAGCCACCGTCGTCCTCCGGTGCCGTTGAATTGGGTCCAGCAATAGCTTTAGCGACATAAAGAACTGGTCACATTCCAGGAATCTGGAATCCCTCCGAGTCAGATGCATTTTAACTTATCTGACAGTTAGACCACTATGGACAGGGATTCAGCCACAGTTCCTTCTGGTTAGAGATTATCTTGCGTCGGGAGGCAGCATAGACCGACTTCCTTTGACAACGGTTTGGCATCGGAAAGCGCCCCGTAAATTGTTTGCAAGAGAATGCATGAGTCAAACTGGGTTTCCTGACGCATCGAATGACTTTATGGTTAGACTTCAACAATCGATCGTTTTGGCGTGGCTCAGCCTTTGCCGGTGCCACTTCCTGCCTCTACGAGCGTGAGGTCCTGGCGCCGGCACACCATATGACAGGTTAAAGCCACCGATGCCATCCCCAAGAAGTGCCTCATACCCTCAAGAGTCTCGTTAATGAAGTAAGAAGATCTCAGATAAAATCAAGCACAGAGCATCACTTTGGTGTGGACGAGAGGATGCATGAAACCATACCGACGGGATACCTTGACCACGGCCGATGAATGGTGAGGCCCAGTAGGTAGCCGATTCAACAACGGTAATTACCGGCTTCACCAATTATTGAGTCTTTAGGCTTAGAATCACAGACGCATCCGGCTATTGTCAACATTCGTCTCGTTTCATGATGTCTTGCACAACAACGAATACACAAATCAACAGCGAGCCACCGCCAAGATACCTTCGCCTCACGAACTCCGACTGCCACGCGACTTTCAGGTCATCGGGCCATTCTGACAGCACCACAAGCCAGCCTCACCAGAGACTATGGCATTATAGCCTCCTCTCTTTTGCCCAATTTGTGAACCCGAGGCGGTGGGGCATCGGTCGATGCTGGCCAAAGCGCTATCGACGTTCCGGCCAGAATGCAGTCTGGTCCATGTTCGTGGCGCTGGGGCTGAGAGTCCGGCGGCTGTGTTGCTTTGGACCCACGTGAGCTAGAGACTCTTCCGGCCGAAAGACCTTCAATAAGAACAGAGTACGGGGCACTAAACCTCGTTGGTCGGCGGGAATCGCATCCGAAGACTGTGGTTCGCGGCCTGATTACCATGACCGCTAGTTCATCATAGAAGCCGCATCGAGGATCGATCAGGGCATTGTTCGTGCTGGTGCGGCCCGGGAATCTGGCATCGTGAAGGCAAGGGTGCTGCTGCCAATCCTACACTTGAACAAGAGCGGCAGGCAGAGGTTCTACCTTTTCCTAGTGCCAATACTTGTAGGACAGTCCATCCGCGTTCCAGTGAGAATCTTCACTGCTAATCCCACTACCTATTCTGCCTCGGAAGTCCAAACCCGGAGACGGCACGGGCACCGGACCTGAGAGCCCACTTCGCCGAGACAAAGGCGGCGGCGGGCGAGGCCTTGCTCGTCCACTGAGCGTTGGAATCCGATTCAATAGTAGATGGAGTTGAAAGGCGCGATACCTACGTCGAGGGACCGAATTACTCTCAACGGTTAATCCAAGTTATTTCACTTTCGGGGTTCCGTCTTCGGCCGCACTCGCATATTACGCCTTCGAGATAGATTTCTTCAGTGAGGTTCCGGTACAATTTGATTTCAGTGACTAATAATTCACGCCAAGGTCCTTGTTATCCAGTCACACCTCGATCTAGCTCGAATCGCGCCGGTTCGACACGATCTTTCTCTTCAAGATGCATCCCCCCCGTATCCGGCGCTAACAGTAGCAACCCACCACCCCTGTGGGAACTGCCATTGGGTGCGTTTACGGAAATCCGTGCACCTAGCGATATATTTCATCGTCCCAGCAACTAAAAGACAAGCTTCACAAAAAAAAGAGACCTCGTAAAGATATTTTCCAGTAATCTTGCCCAGCCCCCCTATATTACATATTCGGGTGGAATATTGCACGCTATCGACGTGTTTTAACAGAGTAGACTACCTAATCGGGATTTGACCTCATTCTACGTGAGCTTCAGACATACCAGATAATGATTCTCGTGCCGTCTTCGCCTAATGTTCTTCTTTCCGAAACAGACCCTTCACATCGTAAAATGCCAAATAATGTACAATTAATGGGCAGTTCAGACCCAAACAAATGGAGCCCAAGTATGTCACTGCAGCTGGAAAGAAAGTTGAAGGGCCTAGGTGTGGATGCTCGAAAGATTCTCGGAAGCATACCAAACTTGCCTTCAGGGCTTGAGGATTCAATTCGACTCGGGTTTCAATGCACCCTAAGACAAGTACCTTCGTTGTTCGCTTTCCTGGCTAACGCCAAGAAATGGGTAGAGATGGATACATGAGAGCTTAAGACCACAGAAGTGGAAGTTGAAGCCAGCAGGGGCAAGGAATAAGGAGTCTCCTGATCATAGGTCCACTCCAGGAATACCTCAGGATAAATATGGTTTGAATCCAAACTTATACCCACCAAGGCACTCGAAGATTGGAAAGAAGAGAGAAAGGTGGGCGGTTGACCTTATACAGCAACGAGAAGAAAGAAAATCTAAGAAGCAGGCAAACTTACATGATAATTACCCGATACCACTGATTAGATCGTATGTGTGAGGTGATGAGATGACCAAGTAGTACTCCTCTTGGCCGAATGTTGTAGCGATAGATCATAACTAATACACCTTCATCGTAGTCTCTCAAGTTAGAATCTACAGTCACTACTCTGAAACTTCGCAAGAAGATTACGCTTGCTCAGAATTGGCTTCAGGATTCAAGGGAGGGTCTACTTGACCTTGCCAAAAGCCAGCTGCATGATGCATCCGTCTCCCGTAGGCAGTAAAGTATGGGCTAAGTGTCTATATTCATTTATTGAGCCCTTTGTGACGACCTGTGCTTTTGCTGCATCCCCGAATCCCAGGAATTCCAATCGCTTGTCACAACTCTTCATACACCACTCAACAGCTCAGTGCTGCCGATGCAATTCCCTTGTCCATCCTGCACATACGTCTATCTACCACTAACAGTTGCTATATCCTTGTACCAAATTCGAATCATACTTGAGGGTACCGTGGGTACCTCCGCGGCTCAGTTTAACATTTCGAGGTCAGCCACCTTATCCACCTTGAAGCATATGCGAGAGGGCATGTCACAAATCGCAACTCTGAGTGGTTAGCCTTGGCTTCCAGTGCTTAGATTTCGGTTACCGACTGCCTTGGTACGGAGGATGATTCGCTGGTTCTGTCTCCGGCGTTTCGCCACTGCTCCATGCTACCAAACAAGGCGGCGAGGCTATTTGGTATTTTGCTACGCGTCCCAGACCACAAAAAAGCGTCCTCCTCGGGATGATATAAATTTCAGACGTTGATCGATCACAATCCTAACACGTTTTGCCATTCAAACTCCCAAATACGACTTTTGAACACTCAACCAACATTGACCTAATCACTCATCTACTATCAACACTCACCATGTCTGCCACCCCGCCTCAAGCGGACACACACTCCGTCTTTCTCCAGGGGTACCTTTCGAGCCCAGAGCATTTTTACGAAATAGTCTTACACGGCATTGATCCGCGACAATACAAACGGACCCGTAGACGATTCCAAGCACGACTTCTATTCAAACAAGCAGCCTTCAGCGGATATATGACGGATGCCGATCCTACTACGAACCCTATGCATGGGCAAGTAGGCCTCTACGTCTCAGGGTTGACCACCCTGGAAGTCCAAAAAATCGACGATATTTCACGGCACGTGTTCATGTCGCCTTGTTTCCAAGTGCAGGGCAACGTATCATTGATGTGCAATCATGGCACCGTCTACATGAGAGAGGTCACTCTTTGGATTGGGGTCACGAGAGACTTACTGGCGCAACCCTTGATCGATTCTCAAAATCAACAATTTGCCGGCAATGGAAGTGGATTTGGGAGTGGGAATGCGAACAATATTGCAATGCAGGCAGCCCAGCCCTGGGATGGATCTCAAAACGAAGTCGATAACGGGAGTGGATCTTCATCGTCTAATGGAAACGGTCAAAATAACACCATTGGAAACAACAGCCAAAGCATGAGCCAAGATTTCAATGGCGCAGCTCGGGCTGCTTGATTTTGTGAACTGCATACGGGTGCGGTGTTGGCTTCTATTCTCAGCTCAAATGATCTTAGCTAATAATGTTATAATAGCCAAACGAAGATGCACGAAATTATGTTAGTTGAGGCTGAGTTGGACATACAAGAACAGGAATGAACATACGCCAGACATGCGCCGCCACTTCCAAGTAATCAATCTTGCGAAGACACGTGGCTTGGAAACAGTTATGCGATGGGTCTTCGGCTTTCAGCAATCATAAGGCCAGACGAACAGTACACAGTAAAGGCAATTATAACCATCTGGAGTTTGGACAACCTATCTCGATCAGGATAGAGTGAGAAAGTTAGGAATCAATCAAGTCTTTCTAAGTTCACGTGAGGCTGCCCGTCTTTTGTCACTCATGCGAAAACTGTACCATAATATGAGTAGATTAACCTATTGCCAGCCACAATGGCACGCAAACCTCAACATCTATTGCCGAGCCTCCTCGAGACGTCAGTGAGTACGGGTAGGCTAAATATAAGTCGAAACTCAAAGCCGAATCAGACTTGAAGTTGGTCAATAGCGTAGAAATTGGTACGACGCTGACATGCTACGGAAATTCCCTCTGTTTCTAGCGAAGATCGCCATCTTGGCTCAACATAGCAGGGGAACGGCGGCAAGGGGTTCGCCATCTTCATTGTAACGCTAGGAGTCCCCGCACTTGACATTCAAACAACCCATAAAGACGGTCAAGAACTTTCCTCCAGGAGCGCGCCCCATAATACAAGTTTTCACTCGCGAAATTTGAGATTGGCGTCTGCTGCGTAAAGTAGTACTTTATATATGCCTAACGGCTTCATTGACCGACACCGAGATCATGACTCTCCTCCGACGATCAACGGTACTTCTATATGCCCTCGTGGCATCAGCAGACATCGCATCAGCTCAATGCAAAGTATACCCAGGTGACTCCTCATGGCCCTCCGACGAAGCTTGGACGGCTCTCAACGAAAGAGTCGAAAATCGCCTCCTCAAACCACGACCACAGGCAGCAGCATGCTACAATGGCCCCGAGTACGATGAGGACGCCTGCGCCACCATGACGGCCAACTGGACAAATTCTTACACCCACCTTGATGACCCCATTGAAATGTTCTCACCCGTCTATCAAGGTCTCACTTGTTTGCCCCCTCACATTTACGACTCTGGCAACTGTACTATGGGTGGATTTCCGTGGTACGTGATCAACGCCACTTCTGCAAGGCATGTGCAAGAAGGCGTTAAATTCGCGAAGGAGACGGGTGTGAGACTAGTAGTCAAGAACACGGGACACGACTTCTCGGGCAAGTCAGGTGGTGGAGAGTCGCTAAGTATCTGGACACATCACCTGAAAAGCATCGAATACATCGAGGATGTCACAGACGATACTGAGGGATACTCTGGTCCTGCTTTCAAATGTGGCACTGGTGTTCAAGCTTTCGAAATCTACAAGGTGGCGTCTGATTACGGTAGAGTCGTCGTAGGTGGCGAAGGACAGGTACATTGACCAGGATAATTCTAAAGGGTATCAAAACTAACTTTTTCTAGACTGTTGGAGTCATGGGAGGATACATCCAGGGCGGCGGTCACTCTCCTCTGAGTTCGATATACGGCACTGGGGCAGATCAAGCCCTGGCCTTCGAAGTTGTGACGGCGGATGGAGAGCTTGTGACTGCTGACCACAGCCAGAATCCCGATCTTTTCTGGGCACTTCGAGGTGGCGGCGGCTCAACGTTTGGTGTAGCAATCTCGGTCACAGTCAAGGCATTTCCGGATATCCCTACAACTGCCTCGGCGTTCAAATTCTCTACGGCGGACGGTATATCAAACGAGACGTTTTGGAGTGGCGTACGCAGCTACTTTGACTCATTCATTCACAACGCGGACAACGGAACTTACTCGTACTTCCTCTTGTTACACAATAACCCAAGCCCTGGAAATTTTCTCTTCCAGATGACCCCCTTCTTCGCGCCCAACAAGACAGCCGAAGAAGTGGCCACCTTGTTGGACCCATGGTTCAGCAAGCTCCACGATCTCGGGATTCATTTTGACCCTAACATCACAGAATATGACAGCTTTTACCCTGCCTGGAAAGACTTTTTCCCTCTCGAGGTGGTGGAAAAGGTTAACGTTCAAAGCGGGTCCCGTCTCTTTCCCCGCAAGAATTTCGAAAATGAGGAGCTGAAGCAGGCCACCTTTGAGGCTATCCGCACATCCCTCGAGACGAGTCACGTCTTTGTTGGGTTCAACATCAAAGCCATCAGCCCTGATGACCCAGACAACGCAGTCAACCCAGCTTGGCGCGAGAACATCCTATTCGCTCTCCAGTCAGTCAGGTGGTCTGTGAACGCAACGACGGAAGAGATTTTAAGAGTCCGCAAAGGTTTTACTTTCGGAGATATGCAGCGGTGGAGAGATGTTTCTCCAGGTGCTGGCTCATACCTTGCTGAGTCGGACAGGATGGAGCCGAATTTCCAACAGTCGTTCTACGGCGACAGCAAGTACCCCCGCCTGCTGGAACTGAAACGCAAGTGGGACCCTGAAAATGTCTTCTATGCTGCCACTGCAGTCGGTAGTGAGTTTTGGAATGTTGTCACTGAAGATGGGCTTCCTCACGAGAATGGAAGACTGTGTCGTGTTGCTAGATGATTCAGTGCAGAGAGCAAGGAGTATTTTGTAGTCACTCGGCATTGATTTATCAAATTGCTCATACATAATACTGCATCATTTCAATCCATGTCTGTTGCAGGTATTCAGATGATACATCTTCCTGTTCATTTCTAGGTATCCACTTGATGCCGCCCGAAAGTCTGGTGAGCAGAAAAACAACAAAGAATAATCAGTCGTCGAAGAGAATCTGATGTGTTGGAAGTCTACGCTTCCTATTCAAAGTCCTGCCGGATTTGCGCTTGGATCCATATCCGATAGCTTGGTCTGGCAAGGTATCAAGACTCGCGGTAAAAGACCCTTAGATTTAGGCCATACACGGAAGGTTTGGAATCTACCAGCCGAAATGCAGAGTTAAGACCGTGCCGAAATCATGTTGTATCCGGAGAAAGAGGGCAAGACTTCAGTCCTTCGTATAAATATCTTTCTCCCATCCTCTGTTGACCCCATATCACTCATGCCCTCAACCCATCGTCAATTCCTTTTCCATCTCTTGAGATATCTGGATCACCAACACCAGTCAAGCCACACAAGCAACAAACTTGGAGCACACCTCTACTATTGCTCATCGGAACCGACTAAACAGACTTTTTACCATGGACGGCAATGCAACTATGAACTCCATCCTGACGATGGACATCATGCCACCTACTCTGCAGGAATTGGCAAATCTATGGAATTACACCGGTCCCGAATGGAACTGGACAGACTCAGACTGGGATTACATCCATGGCGAGCCCATCGGCATATGGGAGTCATTGGTCGATCATTTTCTTGACCATCTTCGGTCACAGAGATATCTGATTCAGACAGACCTACTTCTCTACCCAGTCCTGGTCTACTTTCTCAATTTGGCCTGCCTCGCTATCGCCTTTAACTCCAACGGCCGATATCGTACCGCATTCGTCGGTACGTCTCTCGCTATTGCAGCCGCTATCATTAAGCAGATTTCAGTTCTTCCTGTTTTTTACGCTGTCAAAATTACAATTGTTCAGGTACTCGTTATCCAGAACATTGGCGCAGCTGTCATGATGCTGTGGGAGAACATCGCTGTCACAGAGGAGCAAAAGAAGCTTCCTTGGGGAAAACGCATCCTCGCTACCTACAAGCTCATGTGGAACGCACGATTTGTCAACACTGCTCGTCCAGCTCCTGTCCTCCACTTGATCAAGGCAGAGGAAGAGCGCAAGAGACAACTCTCAGAAGCAACCAATACAGCCACGATCGGCGAGACAGCCACCAAGGAAGCCACCATTGATAATAAAGACTTGTATAAGACTTTGACTATGACAAGCAACAACAAAAGCGTGATCGACCGGATCAATCGTTCCCGGGACTTGGTACTTCAAGTCAGCTATCCCGCCTGGAACATAGTCAGCCAGCCTTTGGCTCGCTCCTGGACCTCATTGAGTCCAAGAAGTCGCTGGATTATGATTACCATAACCAAAATCACTCTCGTCTTCATCTTGGAGCATGTCAAAGAGTACCTTTGGGACACGTACGCCTGGTTTTCCCACGATGATATTGCCCTCTACAAACGTTCCTATTTCCGTCGTCTCATTCGAAATGAGACCGACTTACGCGAGGTCGTTATCCGCTGTTACTTCGCCTTCGAGGGCCTTTGGGGCGCCTTCTACTGGTACACCTTCATACATTCTACCGTCGCCCTCTTCTTCGTAGCGCTTCACATCGATGGACCTGAAGAGTGGCCTCCAGTTTTCGGCGATATCCGCGAAGGCTGGAACCTCCGCCGCTTCTGGAGCAAATTCTTCGACCGACTCATCTATCGCACCACCAACGGCCTGGGCGAGATGATCCTGACTACACTTGGCTTAGGTCAGCGACCTTTCCGGGGAAATAAGCGCTGGGTTCTGAATGGACTCATCTTCTTCCTCAGTGGTATCTTCCATGCTGGCACCGAGTATATCTGTGGAATCAAGTGTCACGTTGGTGTGGAGATCTGGTGGTGGATGTTGAATTACAGCACGATGATCATGGAAACGGCCTTCCTCTATGGTCTTCGGACTTACTTCCCTCGATTCTACTACAAGATGAGTGGAAGAGTTGGCAAGGCGATCGGATACCTGTGGCTGTTTGCGTTCCAGTTCTATGCCAGTCCGAAGAACCAGTACACCGCATTGAACTGCCTGCCGCAGTTCTAGATTGAGGTTGTTGGGCCGGTGTTCCGATGGGAAGTGATGGAAATGCACTACGCTTGACGATTGAATGACTGATGAGGGATGAACGCTTTATGATTATGACATTGAATTAGGACTTGGATTGTACCATCCACTATGGAAGTCCCAAGAATAAAACTCCAAATAACCATTATGACATTAAAGACATTATACGTGCTTGTAAAACTACTCGTTCAGATACTATATGTGCCGTCGTGTGGACAAAACATCCAACTATCTTACCCAAGCCAGTCTTCTCGTTCTTTCCAGTGTCGAGGGACCTCCAAGAAGCCCCTCCCCCTCCCCCAAGGCAGTTTCTTCTACTGTATCTCTCTACGGCGGTCTCCTTGAACTCTTTCTGAGCATTTATGGTGGTAAAATCCTAGGTTATGCATGCTTCCTCACAATACGGTGTCCTCTACGCGCCTCTCTACCTGCAGTCTCAACGAGACCATCAGATGAAATGCCTAAAGAGAGGTCTCCAACAGCTTATGAATCCGGGGGACAAGTCTCGGTACACTGCTTAAGGTCTCTGTCTGGAAATCAACAGATCATAGAAAAGACCGAGATGCCACGCACTAATGCGACTGGGCTTACCCCCGCATCTGGGGCCAACATCGGTGTTAGCTTCCAAATGACAGCTGCCGATGTGCTTGACACCGTCACCTGAACTAGTCTAGCGCTATTAAGTCACAGTCCACGCTACGCCGATTCTGGAGCTTCTCAGAAATACGGAGCGACTACGTTTGCGCTGTAAGAGTTTCGTGGTGTTCTGAAATTATATCAAACACGCAGATGTTTCTTCTTCAGCATAAGGTTTTCGGTTCTCTCTCGTGGTACAGTTACCCTTCTCGTTACTGCTGTGAAGGGTATGCCCGGGATATTATCTGTACACCTCATTCCCAACCTCCACCGTGCGTTGCGTTGGTCTCTCACTTGCGCATGCAAGCCAGCCTCGCCAGTCGTGGGCTTGAGTAATCGAAACCGCTACTCCTCGTTATCACCCAATTTGATCTCCATCACGTGCGATTTTTTCCCACGTAAGAAGTCGAGGTATTGGGTGCTACAGGCGTCCTAGTTTACCCCAAGTCCTTTATGAACGCCGGTAGCTGCATGTGAGATCTCCCGCCTCGAACCACTAATCCCAGATTCGACTTACAAGGGTCAGTTAGTCACACACACACACACACTTGACTTGGAGTCACACTTCAAGAACCCACCATGAACACCGTCTGGGACTAAAAGTAAAGGCAGACCTTCCATCTCACTTACTAACTGTCACATCCATTACTTCAATATTTTTCTTACTCAAAGGTTGTAAAAAAATCCCTCTGGACAATGGCGAGAAATCTCAGCACTCTACCGACCTACCTCACCCGTCTCTTCAGTTTGGCGGGCAGAACAGCCGTGATCACTGGCGGCAGTTCAGGAATCGGAAAGGAAATCGCCCTCGCCCTGGGTCAAGCCGGCGCCAAAGTCATACTCATCGCACGGAGGCCACAACCTCTGGCAGCGACAGTCGATCAGCTCACACAACTTGGCGTCCCCGCGACGTCCATCACGGCAGACCTCGCAAACCTGGCAGACCTCAACCACGCCAGCGCTCGCATCAAGTCCGCACACGGCATACCAGACATCCTCGTCAATGCAGCAGGCGTCAACAACCGCCCGCCATTGTCACGGATAACACAGGGAGACTGGGACTACACCATTGCCGCGAATCTCACCGCCCCGTTTGCTCTGGGCCAAGCATTTGGCCCGGGAATGGCAGAGCGCGGAAGCGGGCGCATCATCAATCTTGCCAGCCAGCAGTCATTCCGCGCATTCGGTAACAGCGGTGCCTATGGTGTAGCGAAAGGCGGTTTGGTATCGCTTACGCGGTCCCAGGCCGAGGCCTGGTCACCGAGCGGGGTTATGTGCAACGCCATCGCGCCGGGCCTTGTGGAAACTCCGATGACGGAAGAGGTCTTTGCGGACACGGAGATTGCGGAGGTACATGCGGCGCGGACAATGACTGGACGTAATGGAAAGGCCGAGGATTTTGCCGGAGTTGCCATATGGTTGGCGAGTGATGCGAGTGCCACTGTCACAGGACAAACCATATGCGTCGATGGGGGTTACTCGGCTCACTGATCCGATCTGATCTTTCACGTAATTAACGCTCAGTTTGAGCATCTGTCGCCATATCACAGTACACACACTGTTTCATCTTGTACAACTTTGAGCAAAGGCTTATTCTGACGTCTCGTTGAAGAGGCCCTTCCCGGCATATCCGCGGACTCCACGAGAGGCAGCATCGGTTTATGCTTCGTCCGATTTACGCTCAGAGCTTGGCATACGCAACCCTCTTTGAGATGTTTCTGGCCTCTAGCTCAGGGAATGCAATGATAATATCTTTGCATGCATCATTTCGTAGCCATCGAGAGCAGAGGTTGAATGAGTCGATTCTCAGACTTGATTATGTCGGCGTTCGTCACCTGAGGAAACGTCGGGATAAAGAAACATGTAAGGGTCTTACTTCCCCATAACTCGGCTTCAACCTATAGTTACATCGACGATATATCATCGGTCCTCTACGTTACATGATGGACTTTTCTGGGCGTTAATGGTCCTAGGCGCACCGTATGGTGGTTTCCAAGTGTGTTGAATACGAGATACTTCGAGCCTTTGAATGATTGAAGCAGAGCACGTGGCTGAAGTCTTACGGAGTGTGAGAACACCCAAAGCAGCTCATTGGTCATGATGGAAGTGGTTGAAGTTGACGTTGTCGATACTAGGTACTGAG